ACATACAGGGTGATTTTTTTTAACTGTTAAAAAGTAAACGTCAATGGTGGTCCCTAAATCGAAAAATCGCGTGCAAAAAAGCAATGCACGTGATATATAAATTTGGGACATTTTGTATGGTGTCATCATTTGTCCTTTTTCACCGACGGCCTCAGCCCCAATGGAACCTGAAAATGTCCCACCAATCGGGCACGCATGGTCCACTGCCGTTCAGTAAGCAACGACACAAAACGATAATTTTGAAGCATTGGGGCAGTTCGAAGCATACGATGATCAAAGAGATACCTCAGAAAGACGTTAAATAACGCACGAACAAGCTTGTAGTCATAAATAACCTTCAAACGGTCTATCTGGCTAAGTGCAGACTCTGAAGAATCAGTCTTCAGGGAGAAAGAAAAACAGCGAATCAGACACCACCAGGGCCGTCAGTATCAAAATCCTCGACCTGCCCTCCTTAGACTTCTAGTTTTTGGATCCATCTATGGCAGCTATAACCAGAAAACAGTGGAAATATCTGGCAGAGCTGAAAATGGGCAATAGAAGCCTTTTCAGTCCGCCTAATGAGTCATGGAGTCCATGGTGCTGTTCAACACGTGCTCAGGCGGACTGATTCGTGTCGGTGAGAGAGGGGGTAACTTCAAGCACAAGTAAAATACACGATGGACGTTCCTTCACATCGTGTCTGCATGAAATCAAAATGTCCCAGAATGCTCGTCATCCTGGTATATAATTTTGCAACATATATTTGCATTTTAACGCCACTAGACCTCATTACTTTTTAACAAGTAAGAAAAATCACCCTGTACATATGCGCAGCTGAAACCAGCGGAGTTTTCAATAGTGTCACGGAGCGAATGCAGACGACGCGCCGTGGCTCAATCGATCGCATTAACTGGTGGTTTGGTGGGCGGTGGACGGTGGACACCACAGTCGTCGGCGAACTGTCGACGATGGGTGGTGGACGGTGGACGGCTGACTGTGGACGGTGGACGGTGGATGGTGGACGGTGGACAGGACGGCTAGGCCTTTGGCGGGGGATATTGGATGGCTCAGTTTCAGAGACAAATGCCGCCCATTTCCTGTCGATTTGTTCAGAGTTCGGCACTAAGGTCATTCTCTCGACTGGAGTCGCCCTGAGGCAGTGCCCTCCCCATAAGCACAGTCGAACGCGGCTGGAATTACACCAGCACTCGCACCAAACTGCGCCCAGTCGGTAAACAGGGAACCGAGACTCGAATGGAAAACAATCGGTCTCACTGCGCCAGAATGGTAACACTGGCTATACAAAAGGCCTACAGCTGAGCACAGATGGAAATGGAATTTACAGCAGGCTGAAAGGTAAAATATTTTATTTTATATTCCTTTCACGATTACAGCGAATATCTATATCAAGAATCGTATCAATTACCTATGACGTTAGTCGATATATCATTTAAACATATGATTATATGATATATTTCAGAGACAGTTTATCGACTACACATTCTAGCTGTCCGGAGTCAGGGTGGATTTATTTCAGCAGGAATGCAAAATAGATTCCATCAACAGGCCTACGATTTTGCGGCAACCTGCATGTTTTGGCCATAAATCTACGATAGTCGCCGTTTTGGACCCGGGAATAGACTGTCCGCTTCCGAGACTGTCTCAGTTTGACTGATAGCTTAGAGAAGACAATGAACCACCCAAGTCTCTGTCCATAAAACCTGGAAATGACACCTCCAAATGACACTTAAGTTCGCCATAAGTAAGGAGTTTACTTCTCACAGAAGTATTCATTATGCTCAAGTCTCAACAAGTTTGTGAGTTATGACTACCTGAAAAAAAAAACAATTTAGCCACCTACCACGTCGAAGCACCCATCAACTGTCTTTATTTCGAGGCAGGCCTTGTATGTATGGCTTTTCAAGTATTATATTATGTATGTATTCAAGTATTATGTTATGTTATATTATGTATGGTTTGGGCATGCTGGGTAAAAAAGCGTGGTTAGCGGACGTCGTTAGGTCAAATCACCATTGACTGTGACGCTCATTCACATCATGCCGGCCATTTAATGGGACCTTCATTGATTCCAGACGTGGTGGCTATTCCGACAAATTACTGTACCAAATTCAATGACTCACGAAAAGGAATTCAATGATTCACGAGGCAAAAACTTTGAATGGGCTCTGATTGAAGTAAGGCTGCTGTCGAAAGACGAGCACGCAGGCATTCACCGAATGAAACCAAACTTTGGAAGAAGTTATAACTCGTACAGCCGCGCCGGACAGGGGCGGATCCAAGGGGGGGGGTCACATGGGTCATGCCCCCCCCCTTGAGGCCCGGGGGCCCAAAGACCTGCCAGGGGCACCACCGGCCTATCAGGGGTATCACAGTCCTGACAGGGGCACCACAGGACCGCCAGGGGCACCACAGGCCTAGCAGGGACACCACGGGCCTGGTGCCCCTGGGCCCTGACAGGACTGTAACGCCCCTGACAAGCCTGAAGTGTCCCCGGTAGGCACGTGGTGCCCCTGACAGGCCTGAGGCGCCCCTGCAAGGGCGGTGGTGCCCCTGGCAGGCCTGTGGTGTCCATGGCAGGCCTGTGGTGCCCTTGCTAGGCCTCTGGTGCCCCTGACAGGCTTGTAATGCCCCTGGAAGGACTGTGGTGCCCCTGGGCCCTGACAAGCCTGAGGTGCCCCTGACAGGCCAGTGGTGCCCTTGCTAGGACTGTGGTGCCCCTGGCAGGCCTGTGGTGCCCCTGACAGGCTTGCGGTGCCCTTGGAAGGACTGTGGTGTCCCTGGGCCCTGGCAAGCCTGAGGTGCCCCTGACAGGCCCGTGGTGCCCTTGTTAGGCCTGTGGTGCCCCTGGCAGGCCTCTGGTGCCCTTGCTAGGCCGCTGGTGCCCCTGGCAGGCCTCTGGTGCCCTTGCTAGGCCGCTGGTACCCCTGCGCCCGGAGAGGACTGGTGCCCCTGAAAAGTCTGAAGTGCCCCTCGGCAGGCCCGTGGTGCCCCTGACAGGCCCAAGGTGCCCCTGGCAGGTCTGTGGTGCCCCTGGCAGGTCTGTGGCGCCCCTGGCAGACCTGTGTTGACTGGTGCCCCTGCTAGGTCGCTGGTGCCCCTCACAGACCTGTGGTGCCCCTGGGCCTCGACAAGCCTGAGATGCCTGGCTATGACAGGCTCGTGGTGCCCCTGATAGACCAGTGGTGCCCTTGCTAGGCCTGTAGTGCCCCTGGCAGGCCTCTGGTGCCCCTGCTACCCCTGCGCCCGGAGAGGACTATGGTGCCCCTGAAAAGCCTGAAGTGCCTCTCGACAGGCCCGTGGTGCCCCTGGCCCCTGACAGGCCCAAGTTACCCCTGCGAGGTCGGTGGTGCTCCTGGCAGACCTCTGGTGCCCCTTGCAGGTCTGTGGTGCCCCTGGCAGGCCTGTGTTGACTGGTGCCCCTGCTAGGCCGCTGGTGCCCCTCACAGGCCTGCGGTGCCCCTGGAAGGACTGTGGTGCCCCTGCCCCTAGGGGTGCTCATGGGCCCAACAGGTCCGTTGTGCCCCTGACAGGCCTGTCGTGTATACTTGCTAGACCTTTGGTGCCCCTACTTCCTGGCAGGCCTGTGGTGCCCCTGGCGGGCCTTTGGCGCCCCTACAAGGCCGTAGGTGCCCCTGAAAGGTTTGTGGTGTCCCTGGAAGGACTTTGGTGCCCCTGACAAGCCTGAAGTGTCAAGGACAGACCCTTTAGACGCCAGGGTCAAGTTCGTCGGACTGACAACGATTTGCTTACCTGATAACGTTCCTGGTAAGTACTCACTACTCAGCGTCCACAACATATATACACATAGCATCTATGCACATAGCACATTCATATATACTTGCTTACAATTGGTAAATGTGGTTGTGGCTAAGAGTTAAGATACTGACTAAAAATAAAAAATAAAAAGAAAAAAAACTGAAAATGGGGGCACCACCAAAATGAAGTGGACGAAATCCGTTGAGTTTTTAATTTTGGGTATAGGTAGGGGCACCACTTCGATTCATGACCCTCCCCTTGGAGTTTTCCTGGATCCGCCCCTGGCGCCGGAATAGGTTTTCACCTCAAGTTTGTCAATCCTAACTCAGTTTTGTTTTTCAGGCTATAGCTTCCATAGAGATCTTATATACATGATAGCTTCGATTTGGTACCTGATGAAATACTGTTTATCGATGTGATCACTGTCCATGGGAGGCCAATTCCATGGACACCTTCACCGCAGCACATAACGGCTCCTCGTCTGCTGACCATTTTGAGCATAAAAATCATAAATCCACTTTGCAAAAAAAAAACTATTTTCGAGAAAGTGAACTATTCCCTATAAACAAATTAGTTCCAAAGCGTCAATTCCAAAGCGTCGTAAGATTTATTAATTACTTCCTTCTTTCGTCGATGAAACTTCACTGCGAGTTTCTCTGCGAAACTTATTTCATATGGAGCCGGCTATTTTTGCGGCGCCCTTCCGATTCTATTGGCGCCGACGGGAAGAACGCGGTCAGCTCGTCCGAGGCTGGCTCCCGTCAGGAGGACGGCTGCTGAGCGGTGCGGCTATATAGGAACCTTGCTTTCTTTTTCCGACTTACGGGTGTGTTTTATTGTGGGGTGAGTAGAATGTAAGTTAAGTGAAGTAAGAAAGGTGTGAGTCATTTCGGTATTCACAGGGTTCCGCTCATTCTCTTTAGATGCCTCTACAATAAAAAAGAAGCTTACGTTAAAAAAGGAAACATGATTTTACAAAAGGAAATTAAGACGGTGCAAAAAGTGACGAGGTTATGTTTTTATGCCAAGCATGTATCAGGTCTGACAACATCAAAATCTTCCAAATCCGAGGCACGCACCAAAAGCCAAAATTACCTAGCACGCATACCTATAATCCAGAACTCCACAGCGCTCAGTGTAACTCCGTTTCTATCTGCTTCCAGATGTTGCGGTTGGTGGTGCTGGTGCCGGCGCTGGTGACGGTGGTGCTGGTCGGCCCGGCGGCCGGCCTGGACCGGCCCATGCAGCGTCCGTGCGACTTCAACCCCATGTGCTCGTGTGCCGTGCTGGCCGGCGCTGGCGGGGCACACACACAACAGGTGCGCTGCGTCGGAGTGCCCTTCGGAGTCCTGCCAGGTGAGTTCACGGGCCTGAGTGCCCCTAGGAGTCCTACCAGGTGAGTTCACGGGCCTGAGTGCCCCTAGGAGTCCTGCCAGGTGCATTGCATTCCGTGGTATTATAGATAGAATCTCGTTAGAACCCTTCTGGTAAAATAACATGATAACTTTCCTATATTTTCAAATAAAACTAACCCTCGCATGTGTAGGGGGGGGGGGTCGGATGGACCCCCCCATGGTTTTTCGCGAATAACTCGCGTAAAAAGCGGCCGATCGCGACGAAACTTTCAGTACCCTCGCATTGATCAATTTTACACCTACCTTGAAAATTTCATGACCCTGACCCAAATGACCTTTGACCTGTGACCTCTTTTCCGAGACCATGTTTGGCCGGAATCGCGGTTTCGCGTATGTCGGCTCGCACTAGCCGCGTGTTTGCAAGCTTTTCGTGGTTTCAAACGTTCAAACATGTGATTTGATGTTACTCCCGTGTGTGTCAAGGTCACCTGAAGGTCAGGTCAGGTCATTGACCTTTGGTGACCTCGGGTGACCTCGGGTCACTTTTTCGAGTTTTACATGTTTCTAGGCTAGTTTTTGGAGCTGAATTCGAATTTAGCAACCATTTGAACATTTACGAAGTAGTTTTGGTGACTTCGTAACATGTTACGAAGCTGTCAGAGGCGGTTGACACGTACTACGAATACCCATCACGACGCCTACTGGTTGACCTGACCTGACCTGACCCGACCTGGTCTAAATGCTTCAAGACATCATCTGTGATCAAAACTAACACGGTATTCGTGATCAGCACCCCGAAATACCCCTTAGCAGCCACACTTTACGACTTTCTAACAGGTCCCGATTTTCCCGACTTTGGGTCATTGACCTGACCTGGAAGGTCAACCAATGACCTAGGACCTTAAAATTGGGTATCATCGGCTTCCTCTCGTCGCGGGCAACACGCTCGTTTTTTCCGCGAAGCTCTAGCTCGATCAGGGGCCAAACGGCAAGGGGGGGGGGGTCCAACCGACCCCCCCCCCCTACACATTAGAAGCTGGCAAACGCCGAACACATGCGAGGGTTAATAATGACGTGCGGAGTAAATATGTATTTATTATGGCCTTGCATTTATTTTCATATCCTAGTAAACTGAAGCGCCGCTTGCGTGACTGCTCTTATAAGACAAATTTCACAATAACGTCATCCAATCACGTCATTGTTTGACGATGTCACTTAAATAAAACATTTTAAATTAAAAAACCCATTTTGGAGGGCATTGAAAACACTTTGGTGAACTCCTCTTTTACTTAGCATAAAACCGGACACATTTCCGTCAGGCGAGTTGTAGCGCAGACAGCCGTTCCGTCGTTTTTCGTCGACAGCGCTGGCCAGATTCGTCATTCTTCACTTGACGACTCGGTAATTCCGCGCCCACGAAGGGACAACGGCGACAGTTTGACCATCGAGCGAACTCATAACTGCCAAACCGGGTCACTGCAGTATGCTGCTGAGCACATGGTGTTCACGCGGCCGTGGCGGCTACAGTAAAAGGCAGAGTTGGGGTGTGTAGGGGCTAGAAAAATGAATAAAAAACACAAAGAAGTTGCTGTGAAGTGAAGGCAGCTGGATTTTAGCACATTCCAAGAAGAAAACGGCAACACTGATTACAGTCGCGTTGATACCGGATGACTGGGCTGATTGGCTGTCCCGGGCTGCTGATGATTGGCTGGGCGGCCATAATGCTCCGATCGGTATTGTATCACAACATGGCCTTCCCCTCCCCCCCCCTCCTCACTGCAGCCCCTATCACCGTAGCGCTACTCAGTACCTCCGGGGGGACGTTCGATGATGGTGCCCTGCCGGCCTCTCAGATGCTATCAGTCGACTGGGCCGAAACAGGGCATTGTGCGCACCCCATTGCCTTCGACACTTACCCATTACTCGGGGCCTCTCAGCAGATAACTGCCCCATTCTGAGCGACGGTAAACGAGCGACCGACGCAGGAAAATCACCGATCTCTCTCTCTCTCTCTCTCTCTCTCTCTCTCTCTCTCTCTCTCTTTCTCTCTCTCCCTCTCCCTACCACCGTACTTGGAATGCTAGCTGATCACAGTACTAAAAGATCAGTTGTCCTACTACGTCCTGCTAGCCTTGTTCCATTGAATTCCCAATTAGGACTTCTTCATTTCAGACGCACGTTTCCCGAGCGAACCCTATACCGACTTCTCTCATGCCTTTTCTGGTGTCGCCGCTCTCTCCCAAACAGATGTGCGGTACGTTCTATTTGCTGTGCCAGTTTTCCAAACAAGAGTTCCGGCGCGGCGCGGCTCCCCGGTTCCACACTCGCCTGCCGGGCTGAACCGGTGCTGATTGCTGATTCTCGCACACAAACTCCGGTGACGGGGAAGTTAGCGGACGCAGCCCGGCCGCTCTCCGCGGGCGCCGCCGCTCGTGAGGATCGTTTGGGGACGACGTTTCACCAGGGGGTACGCATGAACTGCAGAGGGATACTGCCCTTGGAAATCGTGCGGCGCTCTGGAGTTTGTTTTGACATTGTTTTGAGTCGGAGAAACTCTGAAAGCTCTGCCCAGATTGGCAATCCGTGAAGTGTCGTCGGAGGGCCGAGTGCATCCTTTTCCCGGGGTTAACCCGCGCGGGGCTGGGGGGGGGTAAATTTTACCCCCCCTCGCGAATTTTTGCGATATCTCAAAAACGGCGACGCGCAGCGCCGCCAAACTTTCAGTACCTTTTCTTACATCAATTTGACACGTTCCCTGAAAATTTGAGCGAAATCCGTCGGAAAATTTTTGAGAAATTGACGTTTTAGTGACGTCATGTTCGCCATTTTCGCCTCAAAAACGGCAAAAGTTAAAACGCCGCTAACATCTTCATTTTTAAAGGAATCAAGACGTAACAAAAAAGGTTATACGTAATTTTACTTTGTCTATCAAATGGCTATCTCGGTTTTTTGAAAATTTTGGATTTTGGCCTAAATTTTTTCAAAAAACTGACTTTTTTGGGAAAATCATTATAAAATCCAAAATTTTGAATCTATCGAAAAAACCGGAATATATGTCAGAGAAGTGGTCTATGTGCATCTACATACCAAATTTTAGAAGAATCGGTTCAGAAATGTGGGAGTTATTCAAAATTTTATGACGTCACGACACGCAAATTTTTTGAAAAATGAATTTTTTGGAAGTTCTAGACCTCGTACGGAAACAAAAATAGCACCATTCGATTCGCCGTGAAAAACTGCATCAGATAGACACCTTTTTAGGCCTTAACAACCAACTTCAAAATTTGACCTCACTTGACCTGACCTTGACCTGACCTCGACCTGAAATTCATCCAGAGGTGGTCCATATCACTTATTGAGTGTGCCTATTGAATTCTATGAGTAAAATGACCCATAAAACATGTGTCGCACATGCCCTTTTCTATATTTTGTTTTTTGGTGACCTGACCTGACCTGACCTGACCTTGACCTTGACCTCTGAATGATATTGTATGCAACGAATATTGTCTTGGTAGCCTAAGAACACGTTTTGGGCGATCAGTCTCAGTCCATGACTCCATTCTTCGGCAACTACGGTGCAAGGCCGATACTGTAGAAACTTGCAATTTGTACCCTTGACCTGACCTTGACCTTGACCTCAAACTTGAAATTAAGTACATGTTTTTAGTAGTTCGTGATGAGAGCTTTCGATTGGCGTTGGAATTTTCCAAATCGGACCATTAGTTCGGGAGATAACAGGGGGGGTAAAATTTACCCCCCCAGCCCCGCGCGTTCGGCTGGCGACCCCAGCCCCGCGCGGGTTAAGTAGACATTTCTCGGGCTGTGGTGTTGTTTTGCAGCGGTTCCAGAGCCATTGTAGCAAATTTTAGCGTAATGTCGACTGTTTGTAGCACTGTGTGGCTCCACGTTCCTAAAACAGCACCACCGTAAATTCCTAATTCTATGTGTGGGGCAACCTGGATAGGTTTTGCCTTGATGCATTTGTTGGGAATGGTGTTGATTTTTTGCAGATAAAATATTTCAAGAATCTCGAACACCTCTGACAATGCTTGCATTTCGAATAAATAACAGCTATTGTTTAGATATTGTAAACGGCCTAAACCATTAGACGTAACATTGTATATTCAGATAAAGCACAAATTATTAACTAACACTTTAAAACAACCTAAATACGACCAAACAGCCCAAACTGATGCCTGGTGCTGTCACATTGTCACAAAAGTTGCGAGAGCAGCAACATAGAAGGAAATTATGAGAAGCACCGTCCTGTGCTTGTTCCAGACCTACCTCTGGGTCCGCTGGCGTCCATCGAGCTGATCAACTCTGGCCTGGAGCGGCTGGACGAGGACAGCTTCCGCGGAACCCGGGTCGAGACGCTGCGCCTGATGAGCAACCACATCACCTGGATCCACCCCGCCGCCCTCAGGTAGGTGATCTTAATGTCGACCCGTCGCCCTGAGGTCAGTGACCCTGGGAACCACCCCGCCGCCCTCAGGTAGGTGACCTTAATGTCGACCCGTCGCCCTGAGGTCAGTGACCCTGGGACCCACCCCGCCGCCCTCAGATAGTGACACCTTTCTGTCTACCCGTCGCGCTGAGGTCAGTGACGCTGGGGCCCACCCCGCCACCCTCAGGTAGGTGACACCTTTCTGGCTACCCGTCGCCCTGAGGTCAGTGACCCTGGGATCCACCCCGCCGCCCTCAGTTAGGTGACCTTAATGTCGACCCGTCGCCCTGAGGTCAGTGACCCTGGGACCCACCCCGCCGCCCTCAGATAGTGACACCTTTCTGTCTACCCGTCGCGCTGAGGTCAGTGACGCTGGGGCCCACCCCGCCACCCTCAGGTAGGTGACACCTTTCTGGCTACCCGTCGCCCTGAGGTCAGTGACCCTGGGATCCACCCCGCCACCCTTAGGTAGGCGTTATCTTTGGGTTAACCTTGACATCAGCGACCTAAGGGGGTGGGACTTCTGGGGGCTTTCGCCGGCATGTCGTCGTTGACATGGCTATCATCTGAAGTTTGTACTTCATGGAGTGCGAATGCAAACAAGTTCTTTCTTAGTAAGCCGTAGGCAGTTGCCAATTGCCACATCCAGTCCACGTATAAAAGTTTCCAACATATAACTAAACTTTTGAAACTTTTGAGGCTATACATTATGAAACGATTAATCTCCTATAAATAGAAGTTTCTAAGCTTTTATTGTCATTCGTGTGGTTGGTTCCAAGAATGGCCGGTTCTCTTCACGCCTCATAGTGCCAGCAGAACCTAAAAGTTCCACAAAAGATGAAGAACTTTCAAATTTTAGCATTCTCGGCTACCCTCGAGCGCACTGGTGTCAAGGAATTGAAGTATATATAGCAGCATCCGGGCCAAAAATGGACACCTTTTCCGAGCTCGAACCAATTTTAGCCAGCCAGGAGTCCCGGAGTTCCAGACAAAGGTGGTGGGTCAAAAGTACGCACTCTTCGTGCTTGTAAAACCAGTAGATGTATTATTCATAAATCGACGATAAAAAAAATCACGCAACATATTGGGTAACAGCTTTTCTGCACCGACGGCATTGATCACCGTTGTCTCCATCCATCACAGATAGGTAAAGCAGCGCTATATTGGCTGCGCTGTTATGGCGGTGTTACGGTTTCCTGCGCCGCTGTACCGCTGTTGCCGGCTCCTGCACGGATAGCAGCTGGTGTGCAGACCCGCCATTAAAGGCACCTTTCGGCGCCCAATCGCTGACAAGTGGCGCGCCTTCCCCATCAGTGCCCCCTCGAAATTCGCCGGTGCCGTGGAAGCGACCGCCGTATAGCCGTCCGTCACGACCAGGGTTAATGACCACCCAGCGCCAACTGCAGGCCGAAGTCGGGCGCCGCGACTTTCCACGAGACCGTAGTAGCCGTGATCGGAAAACGACTCCGCTGCAATGAGTGACATCCGTGATCTTTCTCCTAGCCCGCGCCGTGCTGGTGGCCTGAACTTTCCGCCGAGTGCTGGGGGGGGGGGCGTTTTCACGCCCCCCCGTCTAACTCGGCTCCTGGGCCACGTAGCGACACGCGGTAAGCGGCAATCGAAAGAGCGTCAAAAATAAGGACGAAAACACTTCGGTCATTTTTTGGGTCAGGTCAAAGGTCAGGTCACCAGAGGTCACCAAAGGTAAAATGTTGACTATTTCAACATTTTGGAAACTGCCAACGGCTATCTCGGGAACCGATAGAGCTACAGCGCCGCGGAAAAGCGCATTCGATAGCCCTTTTACAGACCTTTCTGAGTAATGTCCTCAGATTTGACCTCAGGTCAACGGTTTAGCCTCCAGAGGGCAAAAACTCCAAAAATAGCCGTTTTTACGAAAAACGTTTTTTCGTCAATAACTTTTGACTCATAAGCGCCATGACATTACTTTTGCCAGCATCGTGTTTCTCTCGTCGAGACGCGTCGAATGAACTATTCGTTGACCTTGAAAGGTCATTTTGAAAATTTGACCTCAGGTCAAGGTCATGACCTGACCGAAAAGGGTCATGTTGCATATCAGTCGATCCGTATCGTCGAGCTGAACACATCTGACGTGTTTTCACCGCTCTAGCACGTCTCTATCAAAAGTTATAGCCAAAAAACTGCTGGCGACCGTTCATGACCTGAGATGACCTCAGGGGCACACAGAGGGGTCACAGGTGCATTTTTCCTATTCAGTGTGTCATGTTTACCTATGAACCGATGTTTGAGAGCGTTTTGAACGATATTCGTCCAAAAGAGGCGCATTTCAATTTTCTCCCATTGACTTACAATGGAGAGGTCGCAAAATTGACCTGACCTTAGGTCACAGATATCAAAAATCCGAGATATACATTTTATACATACTGTTACTCATATCAATCGTTGAAAGTTTCAAAGTGATCGTTCAGTCGGTGTAGCTATAGCGAGCCTTTGAACTTTTTCTGAGGTAAGGTCACTTGACGTGACCTGGTGACCTGACCTTGAACGGCCTAGGTCTGAAATTTTCACAACATGTGCGGAAATGATGTAGGAACACGTGTACCAAAAACGGCGGCGCTGCGCGCCGCCGTTTTTGAGATATTTGCGAAAAACCTGAGGGGGGGGGCGTAAAAACGCCCCCCCCCCAGCACGGCGCGGGCTAGAATACTGTCTCCCCTTTCTTTTGAAGGGTCTTTGACGATGCAGGTCGTTTTATTATCTCGGTTGAGAAGAGGTACAATGTATTTAAATAGACAAGGGCGTAAGGAGTTTATCGACATCTGCACGGTTCCATGTAGGATTCCAGAAAGGTTTGGTTGGAGCTCCACAGCTCCGATAAAAAACATGAGTTTCTTCACCTATAATACTACTGCATTGTATCTGCATGCACATTGCTAGGTGCTAATCGATATCGGATTCGTGAATCGTCCGCGTTTTACCTGGTGCCAGCAGTTCCATTCATTTGATCAATACAGTATTGAACCAGCTCGTGCGGTTAACTCACTGCTCTTTCTCAGGTCGGTGGCCGGATCTCTGATTTCCATCGACGTCAGCTTCAACCGGCTCTACTCGTTGCCGTCCGAGATGTTCCGCGCCATGAGCAACGTCAGCTTCGTCAACCTGCGCGGGTCAGTGACCTCAGTGTCTCCAGGGTGTCCCGAGAGAGAGAGAGAGAGAGAGAGAGAGAGAGAGAGGGAGAGGGAGAGGGAGAGGGAGAGAGAGGGAGAGGGAGAGGGAGAGAGAGATGGGAGAGAGAGAGAGGGAGAGAGAGAGAGAGAGAGAGTGAGAGAGAGAGAGAGAGAGAGAGAGAGAGAGAGAGAGAGAGAGAAAGAGAGAGAAGGACAGACGGAGAGAGAGGAAGGAGAGTGGCTCTAAGCTACAGGTGTGGTCCGACACTGGTACAGTCGCCGTCTTTATTGCCTCAGCGCCGCGGCCGACGGTGAGCCTTTTCGGCGGAAAAACAACACGCCCGGATTAGCTGACCAATCTGAGCCAATCCGCGGAGGCAATCAGAGAGTGCGCCATTAGCAAAAAACAAGTGATCATCGGAGTGCCTTTTATTTGTTTTGGTTTCTTGCTACACTGTTAGAAATAGCTGATCGCAGGGATTTATCAATGTACGACTGATGACCAATTGGTGACTTGCAAACGAAATCACGGACTCCCTGGCTGTTATCCCTGAATGCCTCTAAAGGCTATCTCTGTTTCTGTGTCTTACCGGCCATTTTCTGACGCGAAGGAACTTTCTGAGCGAGCTGCGGCCGTCCGACTGGCGGAAGATGCGCCATTCGCTCACACAGGCCTTTGTTGGTGAGAACGAGCTGTGCAAGCTGGAGCTGGGCACCTTCGCCGGCTTCAGGCAGCTGACCACGCTCAACCTGGACGGCAACCTGCTGAAGGAGCTGCCAGCAGACGCGCTGCCCGACACGCTGCACATGCTGAACGTCAACAACAACCTGTTGACCCGGCTGCCGACCGCAGCGCTGCACAAACTGCGGAGACTCAACTGGCTCTACTTTCAGGGTGAGACGCGTGTCGGGAAATCGGAATTTGGTAGGCCCGACCTAATTTGAAGTGGATTGGAATGGGATTTGATCTAATGGGAAGTGGGAAGATGGCAGCTAAGTGGTCACATGCGATAGGGTTCCCTTTTTTCCTCCTTCAGGTCCGTTGTTAACCTCCGTTCGTCTCCCGCCGCCGCAGGTAATCACATCACCGAGCTACCGGCCACCTCCCTGGGTGGCGCTCGCCGGCTGGTGGAGCTGCGGCTCTCCCACAACCTGCTCACCGAGCTACCCGGCCGGCTCTTCAACGGCTCGACGCGCGTGCACGACCTGCACCTGCAGTACAACCAGCTGAGCGCGCTGCGCCGCTCGGCGTTCGCCGGCCTCCACCTGGCGCGCCTGTTCCTCGGCTACAACCGGCTCACCTGGGTCGACGCCGACGCCTTCCACGGGGTGAGTGGACCAAGGTCCACGTGGTGAGTGGAACATCGCATGTCTTCCACTGCGCGTGGCTCATCACTCCTGGCTCTTGGCCATTGTACCCGTTTCTGGGCGATACCAATGTTGTTGTTTTTGTTGATGATGTTGAAGTACCATCGCAGTAGGTTACAGAAAGCCCGTTCTCCCGTGCAGGTGGGCCACAGTCTGACCTTCCTAGATCTGGAAGGAAACCAGCTGATGGAGGTGCCGCCCGCCCTGAGAACGCTCCGGAAGCTGCGCTTCCTCACACTGGCCAACAACGGCCTGTCGGAGGTGCCGGCGGGCGCGCTCATCCCCTTCCAGGACTCGCTGGAGTCACTCAGTCTGGCAGACAATCTATTGGAGAACGTGCCGGCAGCGGCCCTGCGCGGCTGCTCCCAGCTCACGTCGCTGAACCTCGACGGAAATCGTCTGCGCAATATCAGCGACCAGGACTGGGTGGGCTGGGCCGGGAAGCTGGTGCACCTCCTGCTACGAAACAACCTCCTGACGTGGCTCCCTGAGCGAACGTTCCAGGCGGCGCCCAACATCCGTAAGCTAAGTCTCTCTTTCAATCGGCTGCGGCACTTTACTTCCCAGTCACTAGCGGATCTGGCCAGTTCGCTGGTCAATCTAGAAGCAAGTTTTGCTGTTCAGGGGAGGGAGTTCCCCTACGAACTGGTTCAACCGCTCGCCTCGCTTCGATGGCTGGTGATGGACAATAACGGCTTCCGCAGGATAGGCGACAGCGCGTTGTACACGATGCCTGAGCTGGAGTATGTGAACCTCGAGTCGAACCGGCTGCGCTCATTACCGACTGCACTATTTCACAAAGATGTGCACAAGAAGCTGAGCGACGTGCGTCTCTCCTACAACGAGATCGCTCGGCTAGAGAGGGAGACGTTCAGCGGTCTGGAGGGTCTGAACACCGTGGTGCTCATGGGAAATAAGATCTCAATGGTCGACAATCTGGCCTTTAGTAACCTCGTCAGACTAATCACAGTGACGCTGGACTCCAACCGAATCTCCGAGCTCGGCGCCCCGGCATTTCACGGACTGCCAAACCTCCTTCAGCTGGATCTTCAGAACAACCGGCTCCGGGACTTCTCAATGAAGACTTTCTTCAACGTCACCAACGAGCACATGCCGCTGACGCTGAACCTGAGCAGTAACGAGATCAACGCTCTGTATCCGTATCCGACGGGCACCCCGCTGTTCGTGAAGACTCTCGACCTCAGTCATAACCGTCTCATAGAGGTCCCGACAGGCTTCCTACAAGGTGTGTCAGTCTCACTCCGTCACCTCGACCTCAGCTTCAACGTCATTGAGCGATTGGATGGCGGCGCGTTCTCGACGCTAGATAAACTCCAAGTTCTAAATCTGCGAGGAAACGCTATCCGTCAGCTGGACGAAAAGTCGCTGGAGGGCGTCGGCGCGGTGCAGATCCTCGACCTCAGCCGCAACTCCATAGCGCAGCTACCGGAGACGCTGCTGCGGAGACTGACCGCGCTGCGTCACCTCACCCTGGCGCACAACCAGCTGGAGACGCTGCCACAGCCACTGCTGCAGAACGCGCCGCTCGAGTCACTCGACTTGAGCGGTAACCGGCTGCGCGTGCTACCCTCGGCGGCGCTGGCGGCCGTCGGCAGCTCGCTGGCACGACTCGACCTCTCCGACAACCGTCTGGACCAGTTGGACGGCATCATGTTCGCCCGTCTGCCGCGGCTCAGCCGACTCAGCCTAGCGCGCAACAGGCTCTCGGTGCTACCGGACACGGTGTTCCTCAGCCTGCCGCGGCTGCTCAGCCTGGACCTCAGCGACAACCCGCTGCGCACCAACTACAAGGAGCTGTTCCACTACCTGCAGCAGCTGCAGGTGAGAGCCGCTGCGCCGGCGCCGATCGCCTTTGGTTAGTGGTAGCAAAGACATACCGATTGGGTCGATGTAACCGCACTTACTCGTATTTCCAAAGTTCCATTTCACTGACTTTACAAACATAATTCCCTCCGTAAGGTGAAATTGGATTGTGCAAAAAAAGATTGCCTGTAACGACTGATAAGAAGCTGTGACCCAATTATGAATTGATTATAGGTACTGTTCAGTCGAAAAGCTCTATCTTCACATAACTATACCAGTCACCGATCTCTGACGTCAGTGGTCTTCTGGCCACCCCCTTTCCGTTTCAGGAGTTGCGTCTGGCCTCCGTAGGTCTGGAGAAGGCGCCCGACCTGCCCCTGCCGAACCTGGTCCACCTGAACCTCTCCTCCAACGGCATGACGCAGATTCCGTTCGGATCGTTTGGAATGATGAGGAGCCTTCGGGTGCTCGACCTGAGCAACAACGCCTTCGCAGAGGTGAGGCTTCATTGGCGCTTAGCGTGTGGAACAATAGCACAGTGTTATGTTATGAAGTCACGATTCCCACTCAAAACTGCTTTTTTATCAGCCGCCTGTGTTTGAAATAAGGGCTCATTTTGATAAATGTCGACTTTATGGACGACGAAATGACATCACACCCAGCATTCGTCTCTGATCTCCTTATCTGTCACCGACACTCTTGAACAGCACTCAGTAACACTCGGAACAGACTTATTCGGTCGATTGAAATATAAGTTGAACGGAAGCTTCCGCGGCACTTGGTGACAACTGTTGCCGAGCAATCAGTTTCTGAGGGTTCCTAGAAAATATAGCCTCAGTGAGTTGCTGTCGTCATCCGAGTGTCGCGTTAATACCGCATATGACAGCCGTGAGCCCCACGTCATGTTTTCGCTAACCCGGTCAGACACTTCCGTGGGCTTTAGAGCGAAAATGATTTATGGAGACTGACGTTATTAGCATGCTCCCAGCGACCACCACGAGTTGTATTGAGATACCGTTTTTTCAGGTGCCCAGCAAAACCTGGATGCATACGCCTTTGCTGCACACACTCCACATCTCCGGGAACCCGGTGCAGATACTCAATGGTCAGTTGCCCGAGAGCTTCGGGATGATTTGGTGGTAATAAGTGCGTTGGGGTAATATTGTTTTGTCTTCTTATCTATGCAATTATATATCTGAAAAACATCACATGAAATTTCATGTGAGACTTAAATTATTTTTCACGCTTGTCATATGATATTCGACATCCATTTCGACTTAGCCCCTAAAATGACAGTGCACCTACATATAAGCAAAAATTCTGGAAATACTCGTTACGTACTAAATCAACCTGAGTGAACTAAGCCTGTGATTCCATGAAGACTGCACCCGGACAGCCCAATAAGCCGGTCGTCACTGCCGGGCCGGGGATGAAGCGTACCCCTTGACCTATCGCCTGACCTCTGACCCGCCTCAGGCGACTCGTTCGCCGGGCTGGACCACCTGCGTGACCTGGGGCTGGGCGGACTGCACCAGCTGATCCGCTTTGACACGGACACACTGCTCGGCATGCGAGAGTTGGACACGCTGCGCATCACCACCTGTCCGCAGATAGAAAAGTACAGGTGAGAGATGTTCGCTGCGTTTACCTGCCCATAGATAGAAAAGTACTGGGGATAGAGCAGTGCCCTGCGTAACACCATCCGATAGCCGATCGAAAAGGATAGGCACGAGATATATCCCGGCTTCAACTCTGTATCCACATATATCTTATCTTTTCTTTGCTATCATTCCCAAGGTCCTCTCTCCCTTTCGTTCATTATCCGTCCCTCTGTGTCTTTATTTTCGCCTTTTCCTCGCCGCTCCTCCGGGGTCGCCTATCATCTGGTCTCCCGACCAATCCATCTCCCTTCTGCGGACACTGGTGGGTTTCCAGTCAGATACGGTCACCTCCCCTCCCCCGCGCCACGGTTTATCGTTCGCCGCCGGTCCCGCAGGGCATCGCCACTCGGGTCAGGTCAGCCGTCCTAACGGCCGACCAGCCTCGTACAGAGCGGGCGCCGCCGGCCGCCGCGCCTCGCCGCCCAATGGAGCCGCCATCGGGCAGATATGCCGACCACGACGGGCACTCACCGGAGCTCTACGACCTTTTCATGTCCCAGCTCGGTTGGTTTGATCTTTATGAACGTTTTATTTTCCCACATTCAACTCGAATGTGGCATGATTTCGCCTCAAGTGCCCATGAATGCGATGCTTTAAACGGCTCCAAACCGCAACAATTCTCACTCATATCTAGGCTCAACCCTTGAAATAGATGGCTGTCAGAAACCGTCAAAACATCCATTACTATGAACGATGCGGCAATCATCATGCAGCTATGCGGCCACTATCTATTAGAAGAACGAAACCAAGCGTTGGGGCCGGATGGAAAAGCTCAATAGCCCATCTCCGGAACAGGACGACCTCAGAGGGACGCCCGTCGGCCGACCGATACAATCAGCCGCTGTTTGATATTCTCCGGCTGACCGAGAGAGTCACAGATGGGGGCCGCTGCTCCCTCATAAGGCACAGATGGAATATTGCACTCCGTTATACTGTGCCGTCCACATGGCGCATAAAGCCACACAGCCGACAGCAAATAGCGATTTATATGGTAATCGGGACGCATTATTTGGCCAGTGTTATTGTTCCCAGTATTTCGTCATCATTTTATTGGTCAGTGGTGAGAACGCGCGCCAGCAGTGGATGGATATGATCAAAGGTCGTGCAATTGTGTCATGCGTTGACGTCTTCCTTCTTCATCACTTCTCTCCTAGCTCATGTTCATCAACTGCAAAGGAATAGCCGCAGCATTATCAGTCACTTCAATGGTCCCAAACGACCAAGTCTTTCCCACCGTCCATGTCGTCTCTCCAGGTTCCGTCTGGGAGGTGTCCTGAACGGCCTCCAGTCGGTGCGGCGTCTTCACGTGGAGGTGCGGGAGAACAAGCTGGACGACCAGCTGTGGGGCGGCTTTGGACCGAAGCTGACGGAGCTGCGACTGACCGGCACCAGCCTGCGACAGGTTGACCCGGAGGCCTTCAAGGTAGGGGCTCTGCTGAGCGGGCCGGTGGCAAGTGCAAGGGTGCAACCGGTGAATGGAAACAGGCGTGATATAGAATATAGATGTAATTCATCATACGACTAACTGATTTTCGTACAGCGTTTCGTGTAAACAGCGTTACAACCCAGGCCGTAAATCGTCGGGAACTGACAAGCAGAACCTGCACTGTCTGCGTCGCTGACGGCTGTCGGCGCTGTGCTCCCGCAGGGTTTCCAGGGCCACCACGAGCTGGTGCTGCAGCTGACGGACACCTCGGTGTCGGAGCTGCCGGACGACCTGCTGCGCCACCTGCGACACGTCACGGCGCTGACACTCGACCTGCGCAGGAACCGGCTCATCAACCTCAGTCCGAGCACCCTGTACCGCAACGGCTCCGACTGGGAGACGCCCGGCACACAGCTGGTCAAAGGTGAGACACCTGACACACAGCTGGTCAAAGGTAAGAGCAACGGCACGCAGCTGGTCAAAGGTGGGACACCTGACACACAGCTGGTCAATAGTGGGACCCCCGAGACGCAGATGGTCAAAGGTGGGACCCCTGGGACACAGCTGGCCAAAGGTGAGAGCTACGACAATCAGCTGGTCAATAGTGGGACCCCCGAGACGCAGGTGGTCGAAGGTGTGACCCTCGGGCCTCACAACACAACTGGCCAAAGGTAAGAACCCGGCATATGTTGGTCAAAGGTGAGCCTGCATTCTGCAATGCGCCGCACATGCGGTCGATCGCGTCTCAACTGCCCGAAGGTCAGCGAAGACAGTGTGGGCAACTGGCAAGTAACAACGAAGTGAACTTTCAGAGAAAAACAGCTCGGCGCCGCGTGGGGAAATTGTGTGGGAGATAACACATCGGGTGAACTATCAGATATAAAAAGCACAGCAAAGTGCATCCTGATCGTTTGTCGAGCAGAGGCACAAAGAAGATCTAAAGTGCAAAGGTTAAGAGGTAAATGTCTCTCACGGTTCTGGGCAAGGACAAAGGTCAAATGCTGGCCGTCGACGTGTTCAGGAGACGTCGGAAGCACCCACACAAGACGAGCAAAATACCAAGGCGCCTGAAATACCATTCTCGAGAGAGGAAAACAAAAAAGTGATGGGTAAATGCCCGGGTTTCTATTTTCAGTAAACCAACATACATGCCAAGAGTAGATTTGGTCTGGTACGATGCAAAGTATTATTCAGGCTCATGATTCCCAAACAGTGTTTACCGGGCGATAAACCAATAAGTAGTGACCGCGCTGATACTGGAGACAAAGGCTGAGAGTGGCGGATATGAATTCCGCAGCGATCCTACCAGTACCATCCTCCCCTCCCCCTAACGCCTTTCGACACCTCTGTAACCGCCATTCGCCTCACGCCACTGCTCTCCGTCTACAGTTTTCGCCGCCGGCGTCCACCACCAACACCACCATCCACTCCCCCGTCCACCACCTGTACACAGCCCTAGATTTTCCACCCCCTCTCCCCCTCCGCCCCCTCTACGGGCGACTACCGCCCACTCTGGCCGGTCGAGCGGTGCCAAATGGCCCCAGGCCATCTGCTGTCACCGCCACCAGCCGATACAAATGACACCCCGATCGCCCGCCTTGTGCGACGGCAAGACTCGCTGACGTGAATGGTAAACAAATCATTCAGGTGCTTTATTGAATGACGTGACGTCATCGATATCTTCTCTATCGGGGCTACGTTTCCTTTGATAAGTTTCATTTGAGAAATGTAACGAAGGCACAGCATCGTCTTCGGCCATATAACAGATTGCACTCATTAGTTTCAACTTGAACGCTGGACATCCCTGAGACGGTATCAGTCGATCCTCGCCTGCAGTTGACGCCGACCTGCGGCGGAAGTGACGCAGGACCACACCTGATGACGTCACGGGTGTTGTTGTTTGCACCTGGCCACTGACTGATGGCCGCCAGGACCAGGTGATGCTGTCCCACTTCGGGAAGGACGCGTCAGTCTGGTGTAATGAGTTCCGCCGACCACCGGAAATTGTAATGCAATCACTGCCCAAATCAACTGCGGCGCCTTGAGTAATGAGCGCCTCCGTCTGAACTTTATACAGAAGCTGTCACGCTGACATTGAAAGGTCAAATGTCGATTTAATATTCAATTGATTGCACCAAAACTCGGACTGCCTTGCGATGCAAATCGAGCAAATTCACAACACAGCCATCTAAGTACATAAGTAGTAAGTTAAGTACATCCTCTTGTTCTTTCGGCATTTGTATAATAACACAAAAACGACAATTCGCAGCACATGCGATTGCATGATCAACGTACTGGCTACTGTCATATGCTGCTAGCTTTATAAATAAAGATTACACGATTGCATCGTTCTCCGTGCTATAGTTCATATGCTGAAACGTAAACTTCAATCAGTGATCTCAATGTGAAAGGTCAAATAGGTACCTACAACACCGAGATGAGAACTTCACACGGCTGACTTCTTCATTGTTCATTAGCAATCACAGAAGCAGAGCATTAAACTGACCTAGATCGAACGTATGTCGACTGTGTGTTGATTTCATAAACATTTTCGCGGAAGACCCAAAACAGCGCCGTTCCAAACAGTGTCACATGGAAAAAGGTCCGCGTGCCAAATTTTCTCGGATTCATTCCACCTCGTTAGCGATTCATGGTGTGTCAAAAGTGGAAATAGCCACCCGGCTTTAGTTCGCCAGCCTTGTCAATAGATGGCAGTACCACAATATGGGCAGCGGATCGTGCAATTGACGTCAAATTTTCGTTATCTGCTAAGAATTGAATGGCGGATCTTTTCATGCAAGAATCAAGTAAATCGGTCCACAACTTTTCTAGCAACAGAGATATGAAGTCAAACACCCTGCCAGAGCGGCGGCGCGGCGGCCGGCGGCGGCCGTTACGCGCCGCCCAGGCGCGCCTGGGAGCCTGGCGGCGCTGAACGGTTCAGACTTGGCACTGCACTAAAACCTGTTAACTGCTTGGAATAGTTATTTTAGCAAAATTTTCATTCAAGTGAGGAATAACCAAGGGCAGGAAGCATGCATGCTTGTGTGCGTACTGTGTAATTCAAGAAACTGCATTAGCAGATACTCGCTAATATTAGATCCAGCCAAGTCCAAACGCATTCAAGGGGATGTGATTCTGATGGGTCAACATTATTTATCGTTCGAGGGCGGATACAGTTTTAACAAAACACAAAATATTTTTGCACAGCTCTATTCCTTGAATAATTCTCTTCAACGCCTCATTCCTAGTTAAGCGAATTAGCCCACCCTGGTTGAATAAATAAGGCGATTTCGCCACAAGGTCGCGGAAAACCGACCGAAAACGGCCGCGCTCAACGTTAATTTGGGCATGCAGACTCTTAAAAACTCGCATTGGGCGGGTAGGGTTTCCCAGGTATTGGCTCCAAAACACCGTATTCGGCTCCCGAATACGTCCAAGTGACCCGCTTCGTTCCTAGTTAAGCTCTAATTAGATCAAGTGACTCATAAGGAGCGAAAAAGCGACAAAAAGCATGAATTTCCCTATGACGGCGGGCTGCCGGGTTGCCAGACGGCGCACCGGCTATTTCCACTTTTGACACACCATGTTAACGCTCTGTTGGAGCCCCGGACGGGGGTGCCCCACACTAACATATGAGACAGCCAACGGAACGACATATGTACAGCCCTCAGCAGACTGCGTGGTAGGTATTCTTTATTCGACAAAACCGATAATAACTCAAAGGCTATGCTATCAGTCGGTCGGAACTCACTGCAAATAGATGCGCCATGCTCCACTCCTTCGATTAGGTCTATCACTAAACAAGGTGAACGCCTTGTGTGGCAACAAAATGCAAAAGTTTGTTTTTGGGGCAAATATAAACTTTTGGGTCTTGTTGCCGAACTAGATGGAAAATGAATACGGCGATGATGCCAATTTAAGGTGCGGAGTCTCGCGCTTCTTACTGTCACGATTTACGAATGACCAATAGCATAGTGTTTGCGTTATTGTCGTTTTTGTCGAAAAAAGAATACCTACCATGCAGTTTGCAGAGGGCTGTACATTATCGGCATCACCCGTTCATTTGTGCATGCGTGCAGAGGCTGAAAACATTAGCTCGGATACGTTTGCACCTAAGAGTGCTAAATTTTCTGAAGCTGACTGCCGACATTTTGGATACCAAAAAAGGTGACTTAATGATCTTGGTTTTTAAAGCCGTGAAATGTGTGTGTGTTGTGCAATATATACGCATTATTTTCCAGCCAGGGACGAGTCGTGTTATCAGTTACACCAGCCCCCACCGGTTATTTGCCCATTGCCTATGAAGGAGCCCCCTCTGTAGCTTCATCATTTATCAGCAGTAGTCATTACGTCCCTGCATCAAACACTACAGTCCTGTCAGTGGAGTGTCGGGTGGCACAGCAGTACGGTTGGTCGCACGGCTAGGGACGAGAGCTGACACAGAGCCGGGCGTCTCTCTCAGGTAACGAGCCTAATTTGGCGCCGGCCGGCAGCGGGCATCATTAGACGGCCGGCCGGCGTCATTGATTTCCAGACACCGTGCTCTTCTTGGCCGGCCACGGACGTCCCCTAGTGTCCGGGAAGGGGAGGGCACGGGAGAGCAGAGGCAGGAGGACCGGGTACCGAGTGAAAACAAAAACTCAACGAGGGTAGAAGTGGTAACTTTGCTGTCACACTTTGCTGTGGTAAAGCAAAGTGTGAAGCTCAGGAGGTAAATTGCAAATCCCAGCCTGTTCCTAATTCCTGGGCTATCTATCGAGTGACGAGCGTCTGAAACGGCTGACGGCTGAGCCCGTGGGCCGCTAGGGGTCCGCCGCTGTGTCCAGCACCAGTGACCTTCCCTCTGTCCGGTCGACCCGGCGCTGACCGGCTCCTGATGACCCCTGACCCTCCGGCGACGGAGCGGCGCGCTGGCAGGCCAGGCGGCGCTCACTCAGACCCCGACAGCCCATCCCTTTCCCTCCCGGCCCTCCCACAGAGCTGACGGACGACCCCCATTAACGATGTTGCCGCCGGCAAAAACGATCGCGCTCGATGCCGCTCTGCCAGAGCGTTCTTTGATGACGGCACGCGCAAGAAGTGTTTGATCTTATTTATATTTTCTTTTTCAAAATACGTTCGTCAGGTGAACAGAAAAAGCTAACCGCTGTTAGCAACTTCTGCAGCCTGCATGCAAATATTTGCCAGTTAAATAAAGGATTATGAACCGAACCTCCACGCAGTCTGCGAATGTGCAACCGATAATACCAACTATCTTTGAACGGTGGGCTGCACAAAAATGAGTCGATAGGACGAACCTGCGCCTACAAGTATCGATAGGACACAACCTCACCATCCAGACCTGCTCAAAATCATTCGCATGTGCGATACGGGGGCTATTTTTCACTCCTAATTCCGTTGAAAGCTCCGAGGCGGCAATCACAAGTGTTGTGGCGTCCGTGGGCGTCGTCACCGCCGTCACCGCCCCCGTCTGCCGATCCCCACCCAACGCCATAAAAAAGAGCCGGGTCGATCGTCCACATGGCTGCCCACGGGCTGTCCAAGTTCCCTAACACCCCAGTTTCTGGCTAACCCACGCAGGGGCGAGGGAGGCTGATCAGAAACATTACGTTAGAAACAGGAGATATCTCTTGTTACCTGAATCATACTCTCTTTTCGTAGAACTGAATAAGTTTGATTGAGGATAGAAAATTATATTTTACCACTGGATCGACTTCTGAAAAAGTCATGGAAACTCCCACCGCCGCGCCGCGCCGGCCGATCTCAGCCGGTCGAGCGTAACCTGGGAGGTAGACTGCGCCGCACGACTCTCATGTACTGCGGCACAGCCTACCCTCCAGAGCCGGAGCAGTCGGCGGCGGGCGACACAGCAGACCGACTGAGAGAAGGCAGCGCGACGAATCGCTCACGCGGAGGCCGCACACTGGTGGCGGACGTGCATTTGGCACGGCGCCGTTCCCGGCGGTGGCGACGCTGTTGATGCTTCCGGTGGTAATGGCTAGGCCTCGACCCTGAGCGGGCGATAACGGCGGTCAGGACCGCTCGGCTTTCCGCGGGATCGATCAGTTCTGCTGCGGGGATGTTTCTACCGCAGATCGGTAGATGTAGGCAGTAGGGAAATACATTGAGGGGTGAGAGAAGCCGTCATCTTACATCGTTAGAAAGAAGGGAGACGGTGCCTGGGCTTTGAAAATTACATCGAAGTTCTGTAGCTTTGTGCTCGGTTCCGGTAACCTGTTTTCACTTTTCGTTTGCCGTTTTGAGATAGTGCTATGCTATCTCATAATAAAGAAACTGAAATCGATGAAGCCAACTTTGCCTCCAGTTCTTTGTCTAAATGTGTCATGCTTCCAAGCCTGCTTTCAGCGAGCCTTTCGTTCCCAGTTCCAAATTCACGTGGCATCGGTCACGGTATCCGTGTAACCATTGCTCTGTTTGTTGCAGGTGGTATAGCTCTCAGCCACAACCGGTGGGTGTGCGACTGCGGCCTCCTGTGGCTCGGACAGTGGCAGCGGCGCTGGGTGCGCGAGAGCCTCCGAATTCACACGGAGGTGCCGAGAAACGCGCAGCACGTGCAGCGACTGGTGCGGCAGGCCACCTGCACCGACCTCAGGTCAGTGACCAGTCACAGACCACAGACCACAGACCAGACCACCTCTACCGACCTCAGGTTACTGATCAGCCCAAGTCATCGACGACAAGAGACAATAGCCCAGACCACGCATAGGATAGACTATGCACAGGCCACACCATAAACAAGACCAAAAACGACCAGACCATAAACAGACCACACCACGGGTCAGATTACAGCCCAGCCCAGACGGCAGGCAGGTTATTGGCCGTCCCCGCAACGGGATTACGGCTGCCAAATGATATTGGACGTGGGCCCTGATGTCCGTCTCATTAGCACTGTCTAATCATTGTGCCAGAGAGCCGGGCGAGCGCGGCCGTCCAATTTATCCTGCAAGATAACTAGCTGCTATTCTGAGAGATTTTCTGCGATGATAAATGCGTAGCATATGGGCTTGGGCCATCTTGCTTGTTTGAACAGTGAACTCAAGCGTTCTCATCACCGATGCTTAGCTGCACAGGCGTCATTCGGTGCGCGCTTAGCCAACACTTCCAGATCAACTTCCACCTCTGACATTGAGCTGAACCCCTCCCCGCGTCCACAGGACCGGTGCCGAGACGCCCATCATGGACCTGCGAGCCGAGAATCTCCACTGTCGGATAGGAGCCACAGACGCCGGCGGCCGGCCGGCCGGCACCGGCAGTCTGCTGCTGCTGCCGCTGCTGCTGAGCCTGCCGCCCCTCCTGCGCCGCGACCTCCTGGACGTGACGTAGGACCGGACGTCGGACAGAGGTGTGACGCATGCTGTGACACTGGCGTGACCGTGACGCCCCGTCACAGGCCGTCACAAGGCCGAGCCATCCCGCTCGGGGGGCGGAGCGTCACCAGAGTAGAGGCGAGGGCAGCAGTCTCGCCCAAACCGGTCCAATGTTCCTCGTGTTGATGGAAGGAGTTTTAACACAACGCAGTTGTTTATAGTGTGGACGTGCCGGCAATGTTTTTACGCAAACACTGTACTACAGCCATGTTGTAAATTAGCTGCTATTGCTGCTGAGTTTGTGCGCAATGTATTGAGCAGACTAGGCACGCCAGCGAATTATATCCCGCGCCGGGCCGGGGGGGGGGGGGGTGTTTGAACACCCCCCTGCGGTTTTTCGCAGATATCTCAAAAACGGCGGCGCGGAGCGCCGCCGTTTTTGGCACACCTGTTCGTACATCTTTTCCGCACATGTTGTGAAAATTTCAGACCCAGGTCGCCTTAGGTCAGGTCACCAGGTCACGCCAAGTGACCTCACCTCAGAAAAAATAAGAATGCTCGTCATAGCTACACCGATTGATCGATTGCCTTGAAACTTTCAGCGATTGATAAGAGCAACAGTATCTATAAAATGTATATCTCGGAATTTTGATATCGGTGACCTAAGGTCAGGTCAATTTTGCGGCCTCTCCATTATAAGTCAATGGGAGAAAATTGAAAAGCGTCTGTTTTGCACGAACGCCATTCTAGACACTCTCAAACATCGAGATGTAGGTAAAATTGACACACTGAACCAGAAAATGGCAACTGTGGCCCCTCGTTATGTCCCCGAGGTCATCTCAGGTCACGAACAGAATCTAACAGTTTTTCGCTAATAACTTCTGATAGAGGCGTCCTAGAGCGCTGAAAACGCCTTAGATGTGTTCGGCTCGACGTTGCGGATCGACTGATATGCAACATGACCTTTTCCGGTCAGGTCATGACCTTGACCTGAGGTCAAATTTTCAAGTTGACCTTTCAAGGTCAACTTATAGTTCATTCGACGCGTCTCGACGAGAGGAACACGATGCTGGCAAAAGTAATGTCATGGCTCTTTTGAGTCAAAAGTTATCGCCGAAAAACCGATTTTCGTAAAAACGGCTATTTTTGGAGTTTTTGTCCTCTGGAGGCTAAACCGTTGACCTGAGGTCAAATCTGAGAACATTACTCAGAAAGGCCTGTAAAAGGGCTATCGAATGCGCTTTTCCGCGGCGCTGTAGCTCTATCGGTTCCCGAGATAGCCATTGGCAGTTTCCAAAATGTTGAAATAGTCAACATTTTACCTTTGGTGACCTCTGGTGACCTGACCTTTGACCTGACCCAAAAAATGACCGAAGTGTTTTCGTCCTTATTTTTGACGTTCTTTCGATTGCCGCTTACCGCGTGTCGCTACGTGGCCCAGGAGCCGAGTTAGAAGGGGGGGTGTTCAGACACCCCCCCCGGCCCGGCGCGGAATCTCAGAGCACCGGCCCGGCGCGGGATATGGTAAGGTTGAACAAACTCTTCAACTCAAAGGCCAATACTGGAATTATTCACAAAACATCGCGCAATAGTCCGAAACGCACAGTTTTACTTGTCCTGGATAGCCCAAGCGTTCACGTCCTAATCGCGAGGTAGGTCTGACGGCTCCCGGGCCAGTCGACTCAGTCCGAACTCGGCGTCCGCCCGATGCCCGGTGCTCGGTGCGCGTGTATCTGTGTGCGTCCGTGTCCGCCGGCGGCGCCGCCAGTGGAGCCGCCGGCCGCCGGTGTCAGTATTGATCCGGGTGACCTGGCCCGTGTGTCCGCCGGCCGGCCGGCCGCGCCGCCCCTGGCCCTTGTGACGGTCAGCCGGCCGCCGCCCGGCACCGCAGTACGGCCGGTACAAAGGGCCAGAGCGGCGGACACCGCCGGACACGCAATCAAATGTCCCGCGGAGAGCACGGACACGGTGATAGCCGTTTATTTTTGTCGCCGTTGAGTGGCATGTGATCAGTGGACGCGCGTTGTTTGTTCATAACATGTCTGGATGCGAGAGACGGGTGAATTGTGATGCCGATGCTTTCAGCTAGAGGATGTGCTAACCGTTAGTCCAGCAGCGCTGATGTCCCGCTATGAGAGGGCTCTGTCGAACGCAGCCAGTATAAGACCGGGGCCGATTCCGTGTCCAGCTCGGCCCGCCCGGCCGGACGGGCGTCATATGTTACTGCCGCGCGCTCCGGACAGTACGCTGTTAGCCTGATGGGGCTCATGTGATGCGAGACGCTGATGATTAGGGTGATGCCGCCGCTGATAGCGGTGCTCCTGGAGTGTCTCGGGGCCGGGCTGGGCGATCGGACGGCCGTGTGCGGCTCGGGCGGAGTGTCGCCGCTGCCCCGGGTGATGCCTTGTTGACGGGGAGGGCGCCGCCGCGCTGGCTGTCCCCCGCACCACATATCATTAGTGTAAGAGCCGACAGTCCCGCGGACCGGCTGTGATCGTACCGCAGCGTTCAGAGCCCGCCGTGTCCCCGTCTCGAAACTCCCGGACTGTGAGGATCCCCTGCAAACATCGTTCGACCTATCCACCCTCACAACCCAGGGGTAGTGGCGCAGCCCTATCGGTATCGGTCCTCCCCTCGGGACCAGATCCCGTGGGACGGGACCACCGCAGACCATCTGGGACCGGCCCGGTCCGGTCCAGCCGCCGTCAGTCAGGGTCGGCTCTCGGGTAATCTGCAGCCCCCTCCCGGGGGTCCGCCATGTCACCACGAGTCACCGCTGCTGCGTTCCTCCCGCGTCATCCCCGGGGCTGGGAGGGAGCCGCAGGGTGTATGAGGGCAAGTTGTCAGTCCCTGGGTTCCACTGGATCCCATGGAGGGAGGGTCTGGTATAAAATATCGCGATGTGCGGGTCGAACCAAGCCTACCCGTCACTCAATACACGCGGCCAGTGTTCGGCGTTCGTTGTGCGCGCTGCTGACGATGTGTGCGGTGGTTAACGGACGCAATGTTAGCGTCACTCAGACACCGTCCCTATGCTGTCCGGCTTATTTAGGTGCTCGCGAGGGTACAATAGTCGCATTGGTGCACCTCTGTGTCCGCTAAGCGCGCGCTGCGGCCTGACCCCTGTGACCTCTGAGGGGTCACCCTTGTTGACGTCACGCTGTTGTAACGCTTCGAATGGGTGTGCAATGGAAATACAATTTGCATATTTTCCAGCCCGGTGTGTGATGTCAGAAACCTGTTCGGTGTGAAGCCACACACCAAGGCCCTATATCCACACAGCGCTTCGTAAATATTCTGACGAAAGAAGGAAAGAAATACACAAGCCATTCGCCAACAGAACAAAATGAAAGCATCGCAAACAGCCAAACCAGTTGAGCGGGACTGGCGGGGAACCATGACTACGTGTGCAGAGGTCGACTATCATTACGGGCCAGGAAAGCTGTGCCAATTGCGTGCCGTGCACGGGCTTGCGAAACAGCGCTTACAACCATCGTCCATCGTCCAGGGGGATTAATTTTCCGCGAAAAACGTCCGGATGGTAGCAATTTGGCCATCGAGTGATACGCCGCACAGTCCACCAACTAGTCATTGCAGTGCTAGCGAGTGACGTCACCACGTACGCTAGCGTCCCCGGATCTATTAGGTCGGGCGGCGAGTCTATATCGGGCACCGGGACGCCAGAAATAGCCTGCCGGGGATCGGATGGCGCGTATAACATCATTCAGCGAAGACCTCAAAGTTCAGCGCTCACTAGTAACCGGAAACGGTGCGAGCGACTTTAGCGAGTGTCATTTGAGCGAACGTCATTTGAGCGAACCATTTTCAGCGACTGGCAACTTAGCGAATATCAAATTGAGCGATTATCAAATATAGCGATTATCAATTAAGCGAAAGCTATGTTTCAGCGACATCTTTTTCGTCGACTACAGTTTGAGCGACTGTCATTTCAGCGAAACACTTCATCGTCCCGTAACGGTGTATTTTTTCTTCTTTCTTTTGCGAGCGTTCGTACAACGAATCTTTCCGGAACTTTTCATGGTTATCCGGAACTGGATGGCGGATGTCACGTTCAAAGTTCAGGCATTAAGCTCCAAATTTAATGCCACATTTCTCAAAAATTACAGAGGTTCGATTTCACCCCCCCCCCCCCCCCTGCTGTTTGCCAATAATGATGACCAAACGTTTGTTCAGAGATTCATATTGCTTGTGCTGTTTTTCGCGAAATTCCCCCGCTTGAATTTGGATCAGTTCCCCATGTTGTAAAATTTGTTCTTGCCCCAAGCACCGTACGAATTTCCAGATATTTGGGTGAGGTCCCTGAAACATAGACTGGATCCCCCTGTGCCATCCCTCGAGTTTATTATTGGTTCTTGGCATTCCTTCAATCTTCCTATCTCTCACGTTCCACATTTCCAGATCAAAGTTACAGAATGAGGCCAGATATTTTTGTGGTTTCCAAGCTTTAAAGAAAATTTTTAAGTTGCCGCGCGCAGCTTGAAGCATGACACATACCAAGCGGGTATTCCAAGGGCAAGAATTCCCGAAAAGAAGCAAATGATTGACTTCCGTCGCGTTCGGTTTCGCTGTAACTGTGTTCGCTCAATTGGTCCCCCATTGACCTCCATATATTCGCTCAATCTGGTTTCGCTTATTCTGGTCCTCGCTTAAGTTGATAATCGCTGTGATTGAATTCGCCGACTTGACAATCGCTGAAAAAGTCAATCGCTTAAATTGATAATCGCTGAAAAGGCTTCGCTCAAATGTCCTTCGCTGAAATGACGCTCGCTCAGGTGTCGCAGAACCAACCGGAAAGCCGCAATGCGAGCGACACAATACCAGCTAGGTGGGTTTGAACCATTCAGTATCAAGTATCTTCTATCCAAGACTGGTTATTTACAGGTCTGGGATCGTATAACAAAGGTGACAACGCGTCCGGCGCGATACGTGTCGGATGCACACAGACGACCTTTGCAGCACGTAGGGGTGGGGGAGTCAAGTTATAGGAGAACAGGCAGGTAGGAAGCCAGAACGCCCGAGCTGTCATTATTTTTAATTTTTATCAGTCAGCCTCCGTGATCGGTCTACGGGTGCCGTTACAGGGTAAGATAGACACACAACTACACTACGACAACTTCTGTGAATTGGCCAGCCTCCGAGGAAGGGACCGAGGCTGGGCAGCCATACGTTGTTATTTCCCTGTGGCTGCAGCGTATGCCTACTCATGCTTCAGATTCTGCCAGTTTTAGCAGCCACCAGTGCGGCATATTGCTATCTCCCTCTAAGTTTAGAGTATGCAAGGAGCCCCCTTGGGCTCCCGGCTCTTGCACTCCCTATGGCTACACCCGGTCGCTCGGTCTGCCGTACTACCCACAACTGAATCTCCTGTCAGTAACTGGGCCAGTCCAACAGCTCAGTTCCCGGTCCCGACTAGTCGATACTCCGTACCACGCCGCCAAGGAACACGCAGATTTCTGCTCCCGGCCGACGGCGTCTCCAAACAGGATCAATGCAGCACGAATAACAATAGTCTGCGATCCGGCTTTTGTCTGAACCGACTATTGGAAGTGGTATTGTGGCCGCCACCACTGTAGGTACAGTGTTAAAAACAAGATGGAAAAGCATGAATATCTTTATTTAACATCAGCAGCCATTACTGGATATGTGCACTGTTCTAACTCGCATCCGTGGGATAGCCGTTCGCGACACGTATTTTACAAAACACATTCGTTGACACATCGTTGTGCCGTGCGACTAGACGTCCTTAACCGAAGAAGATAACAGCCGAAAGTTGGATACAAATGAGTGCAATGGAACATGGCGCGTACCTGCAGGGCGCGCGCGGCGGCCGGCGATGTATCACGGGCGGCGGGAGGCGGCGGGCGGCGCTCAGCGCCAGGCGCGCCCGCTCCGCTGGCGCCGCTTGGGCTCGGCCGTCTGCGGCGCGCCGCCGTAACCGCCGCTCGTCAGCTGCGATTGGCTGGATTTGGCGCGCCGCACCGGATTTGGCGCGTAAATGTTGGCCAGCTGAACCAGACTGCGCGCGGAGCGCGAGGCGCGACCGGCAGCGGCTGGAAGAGAAACAGGGAGTCGGTACAGAACGCCGACAAAAATCACGAAAAAGAAGCATCGAACGGAAACTGAATATAATGCAAAGAATACCATAAAATATATTGCAAAGAAAACCATTATTCTTCAAAAACCATACCTAGTTAGCATATTCATCAGCAGACTAAAATAAGCTCCAAACACCAAACATCACGTCCAACATAACCCACAACTCCATTGGACCGATTCGTCTATCCAATCAACACAAAACCCTTTCAAAGCAAGCAATGGACAAGACCGTTCCCGACTGCGGCTATACCCACAGCCCCCGGTCAGTCGGTCAATCAGTCGGTCAATCGGTCGGTCGGTAGGTCGGTGGGTCCCGGTGACCGACAGCGGCCTTGGGCGACACGGCGACACGGGTCGGGCCGCTGATCAGCACGGCAGACACGTCTCACATCAGGCCGACGGGCCGGCCGGCCGCACAGCGCAGCCGGCCGACCGGACGGGCCCGCCCGGAGACAGGGCGAGCACGGGCTTCCGGAAAGGCCGCCGTAAATACTGACGGGTGGACATGTAGACAGACCCAGAGACAGGGGAGGAGACAGGCTCCGGGCACGGCCGCCATTTCATTGGAGGTAGCTAAAAGTTAATTGCTCTTCAAACAGGTTCCCTTTCTAGCTAATGCAAAAAGTACCTAACGCGCCGTCACATCAAACGGCCAGCACCCGTCGTCGCGCACACCGTCATAACAGCGGCGGCGCCAGTGACCGACGACTTTGGATCGTATGTGGTTGGCGGCTCCGAGTGTGTCTGGTAAGGCTGGACCAGCCGGCTGTGGCGGCCCACCGCCCCTCCGGCCCCCTGCCATACCCGGTCATTTCGGCCCGCCTGTGGTAAGGCGGCGCGTCTAACGGCCGACACAGTCGCCGGCACCGACCCGCGCCTGGCCAGGGCAGGTCTAAAATCGATGCCGCCAGCCACCCCCCCCCCGCAGACAGGCTGCACGTGCAACACCCCTCCCCCTGAACCGGGGAGGTACCGGCGGCGGCGGCCGGCCGGCCAGGTGGGCCCGCGGAGACCCATCAGCCGCTGCTCCCGGCACCGCTGGCTGAGCCGAGCCGGGCTAAGGCTGACCCGAGCCGTCCCCAGTACAGCCCTTACGAGCGAGCTACGGATAACATCTTGTGGTTAGTGCCCCAAACTACGCATAATTGATAATGTTTCATCGAGTGGCTCACTTATTGATGGAAGACCACTACGATCAATTCATAGCAATACTGCTTTGAAGAAAAGACAAACAAAACCTTAGGAAATAATCATGGAGTCGTGACATGAGTGTTTTCCTAGGACAAGACCGTGATTCTTTTAAGTCGTGACCTGTCACGAGATTATAACTCAGCAAGAAATACTCATCCATTGACCAGCACGCGGCGTGTCAGTGATGAATCTCACCGGGACACTGGCGGTTGCCATAGTCCACTGTAAATACAGCCACCAGTGACATCAAACGGCCCTTCGCTCCTAACTACCGGCCGGCGAGGGCCATCCACTCCGCCGCCGACTCGTATAAAGGGCCACCTATCGACCCGGCCTGCGTTCTACAGGCGCCGTTTTGGACTTCACGGCGGCCGGCGATGGCTCTTAGTGGATTACTGTCCGACAGGTCTGAGATTTCCCGGGAACGGATATAACGATGGTAGCATTCACTTCACGAACAGCTGTGTAGGGGCCACCGCGCAGGTGAACCAGAGACGTAATACCGCCAGCTATTGGCTGTGATCGGCTGTAGTGGACTGATGAGCTCGGCGGCTGAAGGGCCATAATAAAGCGGGCCGCATACAGCTGACAGCCCTACAACCTCATGACTTTCAGACTTACAGGGCCAGCGGACAATACGACAAAGATATAATTATGTCTTTGGATCCAATCGTGATAACACAGGCGTGCTAACAGACTTCGTACAGACGTTTAAGAAGGGGCGTCCCTTTGCCAATTCCCTCCCACATCCAGTCTCTGAGCCCGCCGTGCCCCCACTATACCTGTCCTCTCGGAGGCGAGGCTGCTGCGGCTGGCCGAGCGCGGCGAGTGAGCCACCACGCGGCGCGGGCGGCCCGACGGCGACGAGCGCGTCTTGGGCGACACGGAGACGGCGCCTGAGGAGGGCCGGGCCCTCAGCCGCGGCACGGCGGACCCCGGCCGGCCCGACATCGGCTCCCTGTGCGGCAGAGGCGAGGCGGTACCGTCAGACATATAAAGCGAAATCATGAGACTTAAAATAATCTAATTATCCATAAAACATCACAAATCCAAGTCAAGATTAGCCATACATCCGGAAACGAATGGACTTGGTCAAGAGCTGAACACTACGAATGGAATAACAGACGCAAAGAAAACGCATGGACCGATAAAAGTAAGGGGTTCCTTGCGCTATCACGGGTGACAAACAAAATGATAGACGTCCGTAAGCTCTCGTAAGGCAAAGCTGACACCACCATGCGGCGGCTTTGTAAAACTGCGCTGGCAGAGCGACCCCCCCCCCCCCCCCCACGACAATACTAACACATCCACGTCTCCGACACATTGTGACAGACACTGCTCTTCTCACCAAACTGGAATCCCACTGAGCCAATTGCCATAATTGACCATCTGCCTAGTAACCCCCTTCCTACTAACCTTCTCCAGTTACCGGTTGCGGTTGCCTCACCTATACTTTCTGCGCTGCTGTGAGACCAGCGTGGCATGCGAGAGTCGCAGAGCGGCGTCCCCACTGCGTCTCCTCTCCGCGGCGTGCGCGCGGGCCGCCCGGTCGGCGGCGATCACCGCCAGCCGCTGCTGCGGGGTGGAGGCGATACACAGCTGGTGCAGCGAGTAGCACGCGCCGCGCACCTGCCGGTAGGGAGGGACAGTCAGAGGGTGGAACTGGTGCAGCGAGTAGCACGCGCCGCGCACCTGACGGGAGGGAGGGACAGTCAGAGGGTGGAACTGGTGCAGCGAGTAGCACGCGCCGCGCACCTGACGGGGAGGGAGGGACAGACAGTCAGAGGCTGAAGCTGAGGGTGACACATTCTACTGCCCTGTACAAACTATACAGTAAAGTATCAATATTTTTGTCAAATATTTGCATCACACGTAAACAATGATAATCTTACGAACAACAATTACAGACAAAGCGAAACAATACCAGCGAAAAGAAAGTATAATTACGAATCGACTGAAGACGCAGCCGCCATTCTCACTCGATCACACGGCAGACTCTGTCAATGACCACGATTTGATATCAGGAGACCATCCCTGCCACTGACTGATAGCCGCCGGTCGGCCTACCTGGTTGAAGAGTCGCTCGTGCAGCTCCAGGTCCTGCTTGGTAATCTGTTTGGTGAGGTCGACTTCTCTCTGCAGTCGGAGCGCGCAAACCATCGACTCTTTGACCGCGGCAATCAGCGACTGCACCTGGATGAGGCAAATGGAGAGAGAAGCGTTCATATTAGTGACATGACGGAAACAGAGGCAAAGGACGGTAAGAACACTAAACATATGCAACTGACTGCCAGTCGGAATATTGGAAATAATGAATTTTACTACACAATATTGCTGCCTGAACATGCAAATTAGAGTCTCGTTGATTTACGATGCAAATGTGATGAAATCATGATTCTGATAAGGCCTGCAAACCAGGATATGACACCCGATGCAGCATGCGCCATGCTAACAGCATGCGTGTCGCGACTCGCGAGTTACTGACCTTCTCTGTGCGCATCAGTCTGCGGGTGAGGAAGCCGCGGGCGGCGGCCGTGACCCGAGCGTAGCGCGCCTCCATTCCCGGTGCGAGCGCCTGGTGACACGGACCAACAGGGGGTCAGATGAGTCAGGGGGACGTGGTGGGGTCTTGGACACGGCGATACTGCACAGGGGGACAACCTAGAAGGCAATTTACAGAGAATAGCTGAACGAAGGGAATGTCGTGTTGATTAGTGAAATCAGAACAGCTCTCGGTGGGAAAAAAGGACAAGTTCCAAACTTCAGGCAGCTACCTCTTGTTATAATCGATGCATCAATTACTGCACCGATAGCACACAAACATCCTTGATATAGGCCCCTTCCAATACATTAAGCTCTAATAGACCTCTGCAGCGCCCAGAGTTCATTTCCTCCGTACATTTACCCTACAATCACACTACCTCTCCCCTCTCCTGTCCCTCTCTTCCCCTCCCTCCACTATTCGCCCGCTCACCTCCGGTGGCACACAGACGGGGTGTTCTGCAAGTCCGGGTGACGCCGCCAGCCGGCGGGCCACCGGAGTCGGTACCGGGTCCGAGGCCGGCCGCGGCGGCCTCTCGCGGGCGGGAGGGGTGCTGGACTGCGCCTCGTACCGCTCATACGCAGACGGCTGGTCGGACTCCGACTGGGGGTGTTCACAGTAGCGCAGGTCAGGTGAGGGTTCGGCTGTATTTCACGGTTCAGCACATGATTAGTCTCGTTAGAAATCAGACAACCAGCGGTGACAAAAAGAAGCGTCTTTGAGCTGGAATCAGTACAGAAAGTATGAAAAGAAGTTTTTGGCTTCTGCAGAACATTATGAGGCGCTTAAAGCTATAACGATCGGAAGCAAATAGGACACATATCAGCCACGCCTTCTCAGCATATTTTCACCAGCAGCCCTTTCTCCCGTGGTATAACCACCTCACCCCTCCCTCGTCCACTGACCTGGCGGGTGGCCGGCGGCGAGTGCGGCTCACAGCGGTAGGTCAGCTGACCCGACTCGGGCCGGGGGTCGGGCCGCGGCGCCCGGCGCCACCCAGCAGCCGCCGGGGACGTGGAGGGGCCGTCTCCGCCGGCCATCGGCGCCTCCACGGGCGGCGAGGGCGGCTGGCTGTCGGCCGGTGGTGCGGCCAGCAGCTCAGCAGCGGCCAGCTGCCGGCGCAGCCGCTGCAGCACGGCGTCCTCGCGGCGGCGGCAGGCGGCCTCCAGGGCGCGCCGCTGGCGCCGCTGCTGCTCCACCAGCGCCGCCATCTGCCGCTCGTGGAGCGACAGCAGCTGGCGCAGCTCGTCCAGCGCCGGACTGAAAGGGGCTCAGATGGGTCAGTGACTGACAGCTGAGGATGTCAGACGAGATAATCACAGACTAGCAAAGGGACTGGAATAAAGCAAGATAGTCAGGGGTGCACTGACGGCGATCGGAAGTTCGTCAGTCTTTTCTCAGCGTACAGGAGTGGCTCACAGACATAGCCGAAGAAATAGTGGTATATGTAAATCCACGACCTTCTGGCGGGGCTCAATCAGGTTCAGTAGCGTGTACTGCCATGTAAAGCATCCTACGATGTCCAGTATAAATATGTGAAAGGTCAGTGGATCTGCGTCCTCACCACCACAAACGATAAAAACCACTTAGCGACTCACAGCCTGAATACGTCCTGAAGCTCAGCGGCAGCCGCGGCCGGGTCGGCGGCACCAGTGGCAGTGAGGCGGTCCTGGGCGGCAGCGGCCGGGGCGGGGGCGGCCGGAGACCGCCGGATCGGCCCCCGCGGCGGTGGGGAGGGCGTGGCCCAGCCGACGTCCGCGCCCGGGCTGCGATCCTGAACTATCTCCTGAAACAGCATATGACAGCATTGAGTATCATCAACGATTATTGAGCAGCAGGTAGGGTAGGTTAACCAACTACACGCTCGGTTACAGTGAACTCGAACACTGGGCAATGATTCGTTCATTTTTGTTGTAAGGAAAACGTCTATTTCACACGGACTATCCAAATGCATCAACCATAGGAATGAAATGAAACGAAACTACAATGAAACGACTAAAATAATTTAATGACTAATCAGGAAAAATCCCTCTTCTTCACAAACAATCAGCCAGATATCACTCCTTCTCAGACGGTCCCTGAGAGCCCAGAGCCTGTGCTCACCTGAACCGCGTGCGAGTCAAAGTTGGGGGTGGGCCGCCGGGACAGAGCGAGAGGGGAGAGAGCGGGTGGCGCTCGGCGCGGCCGGGGGGAGCCGCGCACACGGCGACGGCGGCCGGACGGAGACCCTGCGGAACGGGGAGACACATGGGGCGGTCATAAGTCAGCAAACGGACGGACGGGCGGACGGCACAGTCACTAGTCAGGTAGGCGCACTCACTACTCAGACACTGTTGACACCCACTGCTTCAGTGACTGGTGTGTGAAGATCAGTATAAACCACAGGTGGCACCAGTTAGTTAGCACCCATATTATCAGCGAGACACCAATAATCTACCAGCATTTCGACTAGACCCTAACATCAAAACTTCCTACGCACCATAGGCCAAACTATCATAGGGTACGATTAATGCACGTCACCCAGCAGCCCCTCACCCCTCCCTGAACCAATGACCCCCCCCCCCACTCCTCGGAGACCCACGCACCTGCCGCCTGTCTGGGAGACATCTCCAGGGTGGCTGGGGGCGGCGGCGGTGCAGAGACCCGCCACCGGGCCGGTGGTGCCGCCGGCTGGTGCTGGTGGTGGTGATGGGGAGGTGCACTACCCTCCTCCGTCGCTGAGAGGTTTCGCAGCACGCTGCCCCAGCCCAGAGGTATGTCTGGGATCCGGGCGGGGGCGGCGGCCGGGGCGGGGGCGGCGGCGGGCGGCTCCTCAGGGCGCGGTGAGCTCAGCACCGTATCCTCAGAGGCGCGTCGTCCGGCCAGCGCGGCGCGCAGGTCGGCCGCCGAGGCCGCGTCGTCCGCCCAGCGGCGCCGGGGCCGGTCGCCGCCCGTCTCTGCCGAGAGGGGCGGCTGCGGGTCGCCGTCGCGGGCGGGGTCCACGGCCGGCCGGGCCGGCGGCTCGGGTGACTCGGGGTCGACCGGCGCCGTCCCCGACAGTTCCAGCACGTCGGGGTCCACCGCCGCGGCGCTCTCCAGCACCTGGAAATGGGGGCTCTGCTGTAGCGACACGCGGTGGCGCATTCAGGCTCACAAGGGATCTTGAAAGTGAAATTCACGCTCATGAGACACAAAATTATCACAGTGGTAGCTGCGATAATTATCACAAAATAGCGGCTTTCCGTTGCAGTTTTGCGAACGAGCCGGACAGCAGAAATACTGGCAATGTGAGCCCTTATGATAACGGCAGACCATGTAATAGGCCTAAATAACATCTCTGCTCACTTCAGCCATCAGCAGAGTGACTAATTAAACCATCCTCCCACAGTCCAGATAATCCACCCCTACCCACCTTGAGCCGTTCCTCGGGGTGTTTCATGTAGTACTCCACCAGGAGCGGACTGGGACTCTCCAGAGTAAAGGACAGCCGCCGCGCCGGTGACCGTTTGAAGGCCCGGCGCCGGCTCGGTGAGCCGTGGACGGGACAGGGCGGTGCTGATCCCGCACCGGCGACGGGAGTCGCCGAGTCGCCCCGGCCGCTGTCAGAGGACTCCACCGGCTGGTCGGGCTCCAGAGAGGGAGCTGGAGGGGCCGGTGAGACCACTACGGCCGGCGGGAGTGGCGCGGGCGCTCCACGGTCCGGCGCCGTGACTGCGGCCCGGGTACCATCCGCTGAGGTCACATTAGCACTGTGTGGTCCGTCCAGGTCGCCACCACCACGCTTCATCACCGGCCCAGCAGCGAGACTCTGCCGATGCTCCCCGTCACCTCCCTTAGGCAGGTCACCAGACTGCGACACTATCCCACCCTCCATCCTATCCGCGCCTCGGACCGAATGCGTCACCTTCTCTGTCATCACGAACGACGTAACCGTGCCGCCGCGACACGACTCCTTCAGCATGGTCAGCCCGCCGGCAGTCACCACCTCCGTCCTGACCTCACCCTGCTCCAGCGGCCGCTGGAGCGTCACACCACTCGTCACTGAGATCACCGCGTCCTGTCCTGACGTCAGACCTCTACCGTCAGCCGGCGATCGGGCGGGTAAAGTCGGGAGGTAGCCGTAGGTCTCCGCACACCGGGCGCGGGGTTCCTGAGGTTCTCTGTCGGATTGGTCCGGCTGATCACCCCATGCCGTGACGCGGCTGGTAGGGTGGCTGGCGGCCGGGTTGGCAGTGAAGTTTGCGGTGTGGTTCGCCGATTGGCTGCTGTAAGGTGCAGTGTGGCTGGCTGGTTGGCTGGCAGTGAAGTTTGCAGTGTGGTTGGCAGTGAAGTTGACAGTTTGGCTGGTCGGTTGGCTGGTATGTTCCGCGGTGTCCCCGGCCGGCCGGCTGGCTGCTCCGGCGGTCTCGGGGCTGCCGGAGCCGGTCGGTGACGCGGACGGCGCCGGCCGCACGGTCCGTCCCGTGTCCACCAGCTCTGCCAGCTGGTCCAGCGTCTCGCAGTCGGTCATATCGGCCGTGAGGTCGGCGGCCACCGCCGCCGGGTCCAGGTAGCTCCGCAGAGACACGCTGGCAGTGCCGGCCACCGAGCGAGGGCTGACGTCGGCCGAGGCGGCGCCGCCGGTCCGGTCCGCGCCGCTCTCGTCCAGGCTGAGCTCGGAGAGCCGGCCGGGCAGCGGCGGCACCTCCCAGTCGCCTCCGCCCGCCGGCACCGGCTGCGGCGCGGCCACCATCTCACTGAGCGCCAGCCGCGGCACGGCGGCGGCCGGCGCGGCCACCACAGTCTGCAGGGAGCAGGCGGCGCCCTCGGCCGGATCCTCCTCGTCCTCCGAGCCGGCAGCGTCCGAGAACTGGCCGTCCTCGTCGCGCGCGGCCGGCTGCGGCGGCCTCCAGAGCGGCGCCACCATCACCGGCAGCGCGCCCCAATCGTCACAGCCGGACATTGCGGGTGGACCGGCGCCGGTAGAATAGCACAGTCACCGGGAGGGCCGGGCGGGCACTAACAGAGCTCGGCCGTCACCAGGGGGCAGCACAACCACTGGTGATGTTGACTAGTGCTCAGACGCGGGCAGGGCACCACGATTCAGTCTCCACCTGTAGGAAAGGTATGCACAATGTGGCAATTGACCTGATGACTACCCAACTCTGGCAAAACACATTTCCAATAGTTACCTAATTTGTCATACAATTAGTGAAAGTACCTAGATACTAAGAGTAGGTCTAGGATTAACATTTAACAGAACCCTGACCCAACTACCCACACCAAACAATGATAGTTTTTTACCACCATGAAAAAACTTAACTAACAGTTTCTGGTAGAACTGAAGCTGAGGTCCACATGATTTTTCAAGAATAAATTTTGCTCCTTTCTATGTTTTACAACCCCCTGAATCCATAAATGATGTTTATTAGTGCAACAAATATCATGATACAGCGAGTTGAGAGCACCTTACTTTTGCTAATCTGACTTCATTCATCCTGATCTAGCACCAACTACTCTACCTAACTCAACTCGGCCTAACCTGAACTAAACTTACCTATACCTACCTAACACCTTACACCAGCCTGTGGCAGAAAAACAGGCTGGGTTGGGCCAGATAAGGTTGGGTCAGGTGACCTACCCTCAATGGATTAGGTGTCATGATATTAACTGCACTAATCAGCATCATTTTTAGATTCAGGACATTGAAAAACATGGAAAGCAGCAAAATTTATGGTTCAAAATTATGTGAACCTCAGCTTCAGACTCAGTAATACTGAGTTTCATTTGCCAAAAGGTTATTTTCCTACTGAGATAGGTGGGTACCTCAGTTGCTTCATTAGACATGTGGTAAAGCAACAATCTGTTGAGACTTGAGGCATCTTTATAGGAAAGCCAGGGACAATGCAATTATGTGTGTCTATGTGTGCATGAAAAGCTCTATCTTAAATCACAGAGACCACAGCCACTTTATTTGTAGACCAGGTTTGAGGATACTGATATGCTCCATTGATATACAACACAGTTAGCTTCCGGTCCAGTACCTACCTGACTTTGGTGTAAGATAATATTGGTAATGGTATTTAGTAGGTGTAGGTGTTTACCTGCAATAGGTAGGTACCTAGCATGTCATTGATAACTCTGTTACTGACTAATGAACTGGGAAGCTAGAGCTGGACTTGTAGGAAGATCAACAGCCAAGAGCTGACAAGATACTGAAGGATGGATAGTAGATTACGTTTTGAGGATTGCTGTCATTTGTCAATTACGGTCAATTACAGCTCTTGGCATGATAAAAATAATGGAATAAGAAATATTGTGCTAGATAGTAGATAACATACAAGCAAATCAAGTGTGAAGTGTGAATATAGCATGTGGTGTGTTAAGTCAAATTTTCATATTTAGTTTACCTATTAAGTTATTAAAGAACACAATTTTAGAAAGGCTAACTATCATTAGCACTAACAGATTCTTATTTCTTATCTCACCAGGCCTCACCCTAATTTTGTAGGAGATTCTAATGTGATCACAAATGATCAGTTCAGGACTACAACATTATTATGAATTAGATGAAAAATCCCATTTATTGGGCAATTTTACTGTTTACAGTCGTGTCCAACCACCAGTAGCACCAAAACCTACCTAGTCCTACAGCACTATCATACGACTTGACATTTAAAACCCAAACGGAGTTAATTGTTTGTAGGTTTATCGTAAATTACTGAAAATCTGAATTATCTTTAGCTCTAGCTTTAATTCTTAGGCTTTCAATCAAATACATGAAGCTATGCAGCCATAACTGTGGGAAAAGAATAAGCAACTTATCTATATTTTCATTAATGTTCATTCCTGTAGTTTATTTGGTATTAGTATATATTAGGTCCGAGTGGACAATTGTGACGCTGTTGATACAAATATGTAACAGCAAAAATTTTAGGCTTTAGGTTAGGTTAGGTTGTAGGTTTGTAGGTTTTAGGTTTTAGGTTGTAGGTTTGTAGGTTAGGTTAGGTTAGGTTGTAGGTTTGTAGGTTGTAGGTTAGTAGGTTGTAGGTAAATAGGTAAGGTTAGGTCAGGTTTGAATATGTTTTTCTTTTATTTCCAGGACATATAAGTATCATTTTTGGATTCAGGATGTCAAATAATGTAAGAATATGAAAACTTTATCTTTTAACAGTCACTCGGACTTAATGTATACTTTTACCGTTTATTTTGCTTTGTTTTTTCTTACAAAAAAAATGTGGAAATATGACAACAATAGTAATAATAAAGGCATGGGTATGGGTTATTTAATTGCACTGTAGTGAAGTTCAGTGTGGCAAATGAAATCTTATATTCGATATAAGGAAACATTATGAGGCATTAACTGAATGAAAAACACAAAACCTGGAAACTTCAGCACTTCAACACTCTGAATAATTCAAAAATTAAGAATTTCTACAAACACGCCGACGGCGACAAGCGTGTCGACTTCAATTATAATCACCGCGCATATTCCGCGGCATAAACCGGCGCGCGCGGTGTGAATGTAGCAGAGTACCTACCTCCTACTCCATCCGCCATGTTGTGATAGTCACTAAAAAGTCATAAGCAAGGCAGTGTCATGTGGTGTCATGGATGAAGGAGAACCAAGTGGTGGCATATGAGTGTACCACAAGTGATTGCGAGTTTTTAACCCGCGCACCGACGGGGGTCTGCGCCAACTTAGTTCCGACGGGGGGGCGGATACCGATAACCGCCCCCCCTGAGATCTCGAGAACGAAGCAAGATAGCGACAAGCGGTGAACGGCATCGGATACGCACGGTCAAGATCTACAATTTTTACTAAGGTCATTTTCAGGTCAGGTCAAAGATGACGTCACAGGGGTCGAAAAATGCAAAATGGCGGCGCTAGATATGGAGAGAGTTTTTCTCGAATAACTTTCGAATTAGTCAAGATAGGAGCAAACTAAGGGCATCATCGTGATCCTCTCGTCAATACGCATCGAATGATATATATGTTGACCTCGAAAGGTCAAGGTCAAAGGTTGACCTCAGGTCACGTGACCTCGAGGTCATCATGTATATCATTCGATGCGTCTTGACGAGCTGAACACAATGAGACCATCCACGCGGCTGTATCTTGTTCCTGTACGGAGTTATTGGCCAAAAACCTTTGGTGACCTTTGATGACGTCACATGACCTTACAGCTGCTCAACAGCAAAACAGACCTCAAGGTAGTGAAGGTTGATCGTATATGAAGTCATGTATGGTATATGGGGCTATTCCGACCCGTTTTAGTGGTAAAAATAGGGAGTTGATTTTTCCCCCATTGACTTATAATGGGGAGGTCGCGAAATTGACCTGACCTTAGGTCACCGATATCAAAATTCCGAGATATACAAATTGTAGTTACTAATGACCTTATAACATCCTGCGACTTTCAAAGGCCTCCGACATCTACTGTAGCTCTGGCACGGTGACAAAGTTGCAAAAAAGTGACTTGAGGTTGGGTCATTCAAAGTGACCTGGTGACCTGACCTTAAAAGGTAGGAGGTTCAAACTTGCACACCATGTGTAAAATTGATGAGGGAATAGTCATACCAAATTTCGCGGCGCTACGCGCCGCGGTTTTTCCGCTATCCGCGAAAAACCTCAGGGGGGCGGATATCCGCCCCCCCCGTCGGTGCGCGGGTTAACACTATAGTGCTGCACACAACAGCTTGCACAATACATTATGGATATTTTCAATGAAATGAGTGTTTTAAAGAAATCAAAATACCTAAAAGATTATCGACTCTACACAAATTTACCAGACTTCAATGGTGGTATGTAGTGGGAAAGGCTTTAAGGCAATATTCTGGTCCTAATTTTTCTCGCGCGTAGCGCTATTGGTTTGGTCTGCAGAAGGGGTGCCCGTCTTACCTACCCTGACCGTCTTACCCCACTTTCCCCTACCTACCCCTAATAGCTACGGCCTTGGCTGTATTGTATATACTAGAGATGGCAAAAGATGAAAATTTTGGGAACCAGACTCGAACCAGACCCGGCTGAACATTTTTGGAACCAGTCGGACCCGGTCTTAGTTGGAACCGGAACCAGTTGGACCCGATCCCCAAAAGTCAATTAATACAAACTACTTGTAGGAATCATTAGCATCATGTAAAACAGCCTATTTCCCACTGGGAATACTCATGAGCTTTTGTGTGCAAAGAAACATTCACTTAATTCCCTTCATATTTTGTAATAATGTGTAGTGTGCAAGATGTATAGTTTATGGTAGGACCCGGTTGGACCCGTCAGAAAAAAATTTCCAGGAACCGGTCTGGACCCATATGGGTCCAGACTGGTTCTTTGGACCGGGTCCTCGGGTCCACATTTTGCCACCTCTAGTATATACCTACCTAGAAACTTCTGACAACCAACACTGAAAAAATTTTTACTCAGGCCAGGCATTACTCAGTAATAACTCATGAAGAAACTCAGTGAATACGATAGTGGTGCTCACTTATTGGCTGATCTAACTCACATCACCAGGGTGACTTCGTTATGCGTGAGTTCTGAGTGCTTAGTTGCGTGAATTCGAACTGAGTCGGAAATGAGTTTTGCTTGGGCAAATCTAGTTTCCTGCGCAATGCATGAGTTCTCGCGAATTCACGTGCAGTTGTGCGTGAGGTACCCCTGGCTTGAAGATGCGCGCTTGCGCGGCAGGGTGAGTTTCCTGCGTGATGCGTGAGTTCGCGTGATGAGTATTATAGCCGTTGCGTTCGAAAACCGCGGCGCGCGCTTCAGTCCGTTGTGGCGCGGTGACTCGCGTAGTTCACGTTGAATTGTTGAGGCCGTATTGTGAAATTGTGCAGGAGAGTGCAGGAGCGGGGAAGGCGTGCAGCGAAGGATGGGTAAGTTATCTGTGAAGAACTCGGTGATTGTCGATGAAGCTTTTATCAATCGTATGCGCCACGGAGAACAGGGAGGTGAACTGATGGACCAGCAGACATTCCCCGCCGACGTCAGGAGGTCGGTGCTTACCGTGAACGGCGGAGCAGATCGATCGAGAAACTGAGGGATACCTACCCGGCATAGTTCGAGAAAGAAGAGGTGAGTTATGTTATAATTAAATTTAAAAAATCATGTTTGTGGGATAATGTTGTCCTTATCCTAAAAGCACGTTCGTTTGACCCTTTTTACTTCTTTAAACAGCAGCTCCGTCACGACCCGATGGTTTTTTTTTGGGGGGGGGGGGCGAAGGTTGTTTGAAGTCGATTCTTTCCATGCAGCACCCATAGGCACAATGTTAAAAATGTAAAATATTGGGGGACACGTCCCCCGTACCCCCCCCCCCCCCGGTGGTGGGGCCCATGGTCTTAATTCCGCTCGCTGAACCGTTTAAGATTCTTCTGTCTCGTTTGTGCTTGCTATTTTTCCGACTGTTATTATTTTTACGACTGTTTTTTTTTTAATGCATACACACATAATTTCGTACACTATTCGATTTCAGCGAGCATTTTCAACCTTTCTTACAGTTCTGGCGCGAGTTCGACCGGGTGGTGGGTTGCTCAGCCGGCTCGAAGCCGGCACTGACCACTACGAGGCCTCGATGCAGCGGCTTAAATCATGGCTAAGCCGAGTTCAGGCGGCATGCTTCCGCACAAAAGGTTTGTGTTTCATTATCTGTTCATTTTTATACAATAAAATAAGGAAAAGCAACGTAACTAACAATTAACCCTCGCATGTGTGCGGCGTTTGCCAGCTTCTAATGTGTAGAAGGGGGGGGGGTCGGTTGGACCCCCCCCCCTTGCCGTTTGGCCCCTGATTGAGCTAGAGCTTCGCGGAAAAAACGAGCGTGTTGGCCGTGACGAGAGGAAGCCGATGATACCCAATTTTAAGGTCCTAGGTCATTGATTGACCTTCCAGGTCAGGTCAATGACCCAAAGTCGGGAAAATCGGGACCTATTAGAAAGTCGTAAAGTGTGGCTGCTAAGGGGTTTTTGGGGGTGCTGATCACGAATATCGTGTTAGTTTTGATCACAGATGATGTCTTTAAGCATTTAGACCAGGTCGGGTCAGGTCAGGTCAGGTCAACCAGTAGGGGTTGTGACGGGTATTCGTAGTACGTGTCAACCGCCTCTGACAGCTTCGTAACATGTTACGAAGGCACCAAAACTACTTCGTAAATGTTCAAATGGTTGCTAAATTCGAATTCAGCTCCAAAAACTAGCCTAGAAACATGTAAAACTCGAAAAAGTGAGCCGAGGTCACCCGAGGTCACCAAAGGTCAATGACCTGACCTGACCTTCAGGTGACCTTGACACCCACCCTAATGCATGGGAGCAGCATCAAATCACATGTTTGAACGTTTGAAACCACGAAAAGCTTGCAAACGCGCGGCTAATGCGAGCCGACATACGCGTAATCGCGATTCCGGCCAAACATGGTCTCGGAAAAGAGGTCACAGGTCAAAGGTCATTTGGGTCAGGGTCATGAAATTTTCAGGGTAGGTGTAAAATTGATCAATGCGAGGGTACTGAAAGTTTCGTCGCGATCGGTCGCTTTTTACGCGAGTTATTCGCGAAAAACCAAGGGGGGGTCCATCCGACCCCCCCCCCTACACATGCGAGGGTTAATTAAGTATGTTAACGTGCCTCAATATTATACATGCATCAATATAAACATTAATATATATATATATATATATATATATATATATATATATATATATATATATATATATATATATATATATATATATATATATATATGTTGCAGGCACTTTAGAAAATCAGTCATTTTGTAAAATGCCTAGGCATTCTGCAAAATGCCTGTTTTTCCAGGCTTTTTGCAAAAAGCCTAGGCATTTTACAAAATGACTGACTCTCAAGTCATTTTGCAAAATACCTAGGCATTTTACAAAATACCTAGCCATTTTACAAAATGACTGAGCAGTGTGTTGTAGATACGAGTACCTAATTATATACGTTTTGGTAGCGTGTAGGTGGACCGAGGAGTCCAGCATTATGACCAGAGGAGTCCAGCAGTGGGAAGTCCATACTTACCTCTATTTTGAGAAGTGCAGGCCCGCGACATTTCCAACCCCCACGTCAGCGACGCTGCTGGATTTAAAATGATCGATCTGGAGCGTCAACAAACGACTGGCCCTATGCCGGCCTGTATCTGTAAAACTATTACAGGTCGCGAGGATTCGATCCCACACACTTAGGCGTTAGTGTCTTCTGAAACCAACGCTCTCGTCCTACGCCAAGCGACCTGATGATTCTCCCGATGTGGAAATTGATATTTTTAACTGGGACCATGCAAGTAGGTACTCAAGCTGTTGCCACAGAGCAAAATTAATCGTGTTTTTTTAATTATTGCTTTAATATTCATTGTGATCAGAGAGTTTTTTTTATTCCAAAGAAAAGTTAGAAAGAAAACCTAAAGAAAACCTTGCGGCGCGAGTTATTGCCGAAAAACAGGATGGATGGGCGCGATGGTCGGAATCCGCCCCCCCCCCCCTCCACTGCGCGTGTTAAAATGTGAGGATGAGAGAGAAGGAGTGGGAAATTATAATTAAATTCGAACGTGTTTTAAATGGCCAAATACATAATGCAGTTTTGTCCGTAATGGCACAATCAAACAAAGACTACACTCATTCGTTTACATGTAATTGTACATCAACCGGGCCTGCCTATTGACTAGGGCCGGTCTCCGGCTGGTTTTGTTAGGTCTAGTTTCAGGCAGAACATGAACAGCGTTGATGTACTTGGGAGTTTTTACAGCGTTAACTAAACAATGCTTTATGCTACAACCGAGTCTGCAACTCAACCTGGTCGTTACTCAGCATTGTCGTTATCACAGAGCTTCAAATCGAGCAGCTACAGGCTGAACACGTACCTATAGGGTATAAGAAGACGTCCAAAAACTGTTGGCCATAGTATCTGTAGTGGGATCTACGTTCCATGCTGGTCAGGCATTCTGCAAAATGCCTAGTCATTTTGTAAAATGGCTAGCCATTTTGAAAAAAGCCTGGTTGCGTTCAGTCATTTTTCAAACAGCCGTCTTTTTGTAAAATGCCTAGGCATTTTACAAAATGACTGATTTTCTAAAGTGCCTGCAACATATATATATATATATATATATATATATATATATATATATATATATATATATATATATATATATATATATCCATTACTGTTAAGTTTAACACATTTTATGTGATTGTTTCAAGTTGATTTTAATATTGGACGCCCATGGAAGTGTTTTGCGAGACTAAAACCCGTCTGTTAACCCTCGCCCGCACATGCCATTTTCCCATCCTAGAACGCACATGGGGGGGGGGTGGTTGCCACCCCCCCCCCGCGCCATTTCGTTCCTGTTGGAGATAGAGCTTAGCAGTAAGGACCAAAAAGATTCTTTGGGAAGAGACGAATCCAATGATACCCAGTTTTGCCTTCTCAGGTCAGTCATTGACCTTCCAGGTCAGGTCAAACTAAAAAATGTTGCTGTTTTGGGTCACCGTTGGATATCAAGTGCGCTGCTTATCAAATACCGATGACGATGCTGTTTTCTGGTGCCAAGCCAGCTAGAACCTCTTTGTCACACTATCCGACCAGAATTTTGCTGCTGAGGTCATTTCAGGTCAAGTTAGGACGTCAAGGTCAATTATATGTGTTTGTATGTCTGTGTGTGTCTGTGTGTATACTGATGTGTGCACCGATTGTTTTTAGGTCCATATCACATGAAATCATGATCTGAGAAGCTTTTACCAAAAATGCAGTTAAAAAACTTCACAAAAAGTAAATTCAGCTTGCCTAAAACGCAATTATCTTATATGACCTAGGTTGACCTTGACCATGACCTTGACCCCTGTACATCGTCGAACAACATGTTCCATGATAGGTGGGAGGTAAGACTGGCAAAAAAGGCCGAAATCAGGGTGTCAAAAGCTCACAAGGCCCATGGCAAACGCTAGATGTTGAGAATTGGCCATTTGGGTCATGACATGACCTGAAAAACAAGGTCATATCTCCGAAACCAAAAATTACAGAAACTTGAAATTTTCAGTGGACATCAAGAAAGGATAGACGAGCAGCTATACGAAAAATCAGCCTTCTAGCTCTAAAAATGTTGAGTGCAGAGCAGAAAGACTGCCTGGGGGGGGGGGTGGCAACCCCCCCCCCCCATGTGCGGGCGAGGGTTAAGGTGACCATCCCACCTTGACCCGCGCTGTGCTGGGTGGCGTTTTACACCCCCCCCCGCCCCCTCAGGTTTTTCGCGAATATCTAAGAACGGCGGCGCGCAGCTCCACCATTTTCGGCACACCTGCTCATACATTTTTTTTCTGCATATGGAAGAAATTTTAGACCCAGGTCGTTCAAGGTCAGGTCACGTCAAATGACTTTACATGAGAAAAAATTTTCAATGGTCGCTGACGATCGTGCACCGTGCCATGGAAACCGTTCGATATTTTTGTCATTTTTGCTCAGGGAATTCACCGCTCGATTTCACACCAGTTTGAGGTAAAATGTTAAAAAATTATCGAACGGATTTCATTTAATAGCGTTTTTGATACTGTCCCATGTCTCAAGTATCAACCTTATGGCATGTATAAAATATATTTGCTAGTGCAATAAACAGGGGCGGATCCAAGGGGGGTCACATGGGTCATGCCCCCCCCTTGAGGTCCGGGGGCCCAAAGACCTGCCAGGGGCACCACCGGCCTATCAGGGGTATCACAGTCCTGACAGGGGCACCACAGGACCGCCAGGGGCACCACAGGCCTAGCAGGGACACCACGGGCCTGGTGCCCCTGGGCCCTGACAGGACTGTAACGCCCCTGACAAGCCTGAAGTGTCCCCGGCAGGCACGTGGTGCCCCTGACAGGCCTGAGGCGCCCCTGCAAGGCCGGTGGTGCCCCTGGCAGGCCTGTGGTGTCCATGGCAGGTCTGTGGTGCCCTTGCTAGGCCTCTGGTGCCCCTGACAGGCTTGTAATGCCCCTGGAAGGACTGTGGTGCCCCTGGACCCTGACAAGCCTGAGGTGCCCGGTCATGACAGGGTCGTGGTGCCCCTGACAGGCCAGTGGTGCCTTGCTAGGCCTGTGGTGCCCCTGGCAGGCCTGTGGTGCCCGTGCCCCTGACAGGCCCAAGGTCCCCCTGCGAGGCCGGTGGTGCCCCTGGCAGACCTCTGGTGCCCCTGGCAGGTCTGTGGTGACTGGTGCCCCTGGAAGGTCTGTGGCGCCCCTGGCAGACCTGTGTTGACTGGTGCCCCTGCTAGGTCGCTGGTGCCCCTCACAGACCTGTGGTGCCCCTGGGCCTTGACAAGCCTGAGATGCCTGGCTATGACAGGCTCGTGGTGCCCCTGATAGACCAGTGGTGCCCTTGCTAGGCCTGTAGTGCCCCTGGCAGGCCTGTGGTGCCCTTGCTAAGCCTCTGGTGCCCCTGACAGGCTTGTGGTGCCCCTGGAAGGACTGTGGTGTCCCTGGGCCCTGACAGGCCTGAGGTGCCCATGACAGGCCCGTGGTGCCCTTGCTAGGCCTGTGGTGCCCCTGGCAGGCCTCTGGTGCCCTTGCTAGGCCCCTGCTACCCCTGCGCCCGGAGAGGACTATGGTGCCCCTGAAAAGCCTGAAGTGCCTCTCGACAGGCCCGTGGTGCCCCTGGGCCCTGACAGGCCCAAGTTACCCCTGCGAGGTCGGTGGTGCTCCTGGCAGGCCTCTGGTGCCCCTGGCAGGTCTGTGGTGCCCCTGGCAGGCCTGTGTTGACTGGTGCCCCTGCTAGGCCGCTGGTGCCCCTCACAGGCCTGCGGTGCCCCTGGAAGGACTGTGGTGCCCCTGCCCCTAGGGGTGCTCATGGGCCCTACAGGCCCGTTGTGCCCCTGACAGGCCTGTCGTGTATACTTGCTAGACCTGTGGTGCCCCTGCTTCCTGGCAGGCCTGTGGTGCCCCTGGCGGGCCTGTGGCGCCCCTACAAGGCCGTAGGTGCCCCTGAGAGGTTTGTGGTGTCCCTGGAAGGACTTTGGTGCCCCTGACAAGCCTGAAGTGTCAAGGACAGACCCTTTAGACGCCAGGGTCAAGTTCGTCGGACTGACAACGATTCGCTTACCTGATAGCGTTCCTGGTAATTACTCACTATACTCATCGTCCATAACATATATACACAAAGCACATTCATATATACTTGCTTACAATTGGTAAATGTGGTTGTGGCTAAGAGTTAAGATACTGACTAAAAATAAAAAATAAAAAGAAAAAACCTGAAAATGGGGGCACCACCAAAATGAAGTGGACGAAATCCGTTGAGTTTTTAATTTTGGGTATAGGTAGGGGCACCACTTCGATTCATGACCCTCCCCTTGGAGTTTTCCTGGATCCGCCCCTGGCAATAAAACACCTCATATGTGTTCAGCTTGACGGTTTGGATCGACTGATATGCAACATGACCTGGTCAGGTCAACCTGAGATCAAGTTTTAACCCGCGCCCCGTAGGGCTACCGGCGGACCCTACCACCCGTAGGGGGGGGGGGCCGTTTCGGCCCCCCCCTAAGATCTCGGAAAGTTACCGGCCGATTTTCAAAATTCAAACGGCGTTCGATAGCCCCACCCGGGAACTACCTTGTGACCAAATTTCATTGACCTAGGTCAAACCGATGACGTCACAGGTCAGGTCAAAGGTCAGATTTTCACCGTTCACAGGCAATTCAAGAAATGTGCTGTGAAAGCGAGTAAATTGGTAATTTATTGAAAACCATCGATGGTAAATTGTTCGTCAAACACATACTTTGCTATCTGAGGTCACTGATACCAGGTCAGGTCACAGCGAGGTCAGGTCACCGGGGGTCACAATATGAATGTGTCGTGTGATACATGTTTTATGGTCCATTTTACATGACAAATGCGATTATGTGGGTTAGGCAGCCTTTGGGGCCAGCCTAGGTCACGTTTTGGTGAAGGTCAGGTCAAGGTCAGGTCAAATTAGGTCAAATTTCAAAGTTGATATTTTTGCATAAAATGGGTATCGATTCGATGCAGCTCGTCACGGGGAGTCTAATCGTTTTGCTCTACGAGTTCTAGAATGGCCAAAAATTGAGTTTGAAAATTTGACGTCATCATTTTTGAACAGTTTTTTCGCTATAACTTGGCCAAAAAACGAGGTATCGATCTGAAATTTGGTATGTAGATAGAAGACGGTAGGCACTATCACATATATTCCGGTTTTTTCGAAACTCAAAAAACTTTTTGGATTTTTTGGCGAATATATCAAAAAAATGCTTTTTTGATTTTTGGGGGTCAAAACTCAAAAATTTCAAAAATTCGAGATAGCAGTTTTGTAGCCCTGTCAATTCTACACCTTTTATGTCTTGATCATTTTTCTGTATCTTCAAAGCTGTAGTCCTGACAGGTCTTCTCGCGAAGGTCTTTTTTCGGTCGAAAATGACAGAACATGACGTCACTCTGACGTCATTTGTGGCCAACCTATCATAGCCTCTGGAAAAATTTTTGGTCACAATGTGTAAAATTGATGCCCGGAGGGGTCCTGAAAGTTTGGTGGCGATATCTCAAGCCGTTTAGGAGATATCGACCGAAAAGGACAGGGGGGGGGCCGTTTCGGCCCCCCCCCCTACGGGGCGCGGGTTAAAAATGGCCTTTCAAGGTCTAATTATAGTTCATTCGTCCCGACGAGAGGAACACTATGCTAACGGCAAAATAAATATCGTGACTCTTGAGTGGAAAGCATTACAGAAAACATTTTCGTAAAAACGGCTTTTTTTTAGAGTTTTTGGTCTCTGGGGGCTTAATTGTTGAACTGAGGTCAAATCTGAGATCAAGCGCCAGCAAAAAAAAAAAAAACGTCGAAAGGGCTTTTGACTGCATTTTTCCGCGGGCAGCTCTTTTGGTTCCGAGTTAAGCACCAGTTTTTCGAAAATATTGAAATAAGCAAAATTTGGCCTATCCTGACCTCTGGTGACCTGGCACTTGACTTGACCTTAAAAATTACCCAAGTATTTCCTTAAATATCTTTTATGCTTTTTCGAATGCCGCTTACTGCGTGTCGCTACGTGGCCCAACAGCCGAGTTAGAAGAGGGGACGTGAAGACGACCCCCCCCCCCCCCCAGTACATTACGGTAAACTCAGAGCACCAGCACGGCGCGGTTTAACATTAATTTTGAGCTGAAGTAACTTGATAACTTTTGATATTTCAATCAACTTGCATGCCCATATAACTTCCGTTTCTCTTACTGGCAAAAGAAAATCTGACTTTTTTATTGTGTTTTCAGGGAACGGCCCATTGAGCCTCCTCTGCATCTTGGCGGAGAAGGCGTCAGTGGTGGCGTACACGGGTGACGAAAATTTGGATCACCCCCATCATAACAAGTCCGAAGGAAACGAACGGTGCCGCCTCAGCGTAGTTCGAACGGAAGTCTTGTGGGGATCCATGGTTTGGAAGGGAGTCTTGCTGTGGGCGACGGCGCACTTTGTGCTCAATCAACAAACGGCGCATTAAGTGCGAAACACGCTGTGGTTTGTGTGTATCCATGTGCTCCAAACACCATTCAATGCTGAGCGCCAGCCACCTGTAGCCGCGAAGACTGAGGTCGAGAAGCTGGCAAAAGAGTGAAGCTGAGCTGACGTGGAGTCGATCCCTCCCCCGACGCAGTTTGGCGTGTGTCAGAATTGAAATACAGCGCAATGCGACCGTTTCTACAAACATATATTTCTTGGTAAGGGCTGGGGCGAATAGTGCAAGACTAGACGTTGGTCGGGCATGGTATAATACAGATATGTATGCTGGTTTTGGGCAATGATTCGTTATATATTGGCCAATCCCAATATATAGACTAGCTGCCTGGTAGTGGCTGTTGTATGTATCAGCATCATGCATGCATACCTATTGCATAATGCTGATGCGGCAGCTGTTATCATGGGCGGCGAGCCTATACATTGGCTTGAGCCAATATGAAACGAATCAGATCAGCCGTTTCAGGCGGCGCCTGAGTAACACCCGAGTATCGTATGAGTTATCGATATGAGTACGTCCTGAGTACCTACAGCCCTAGTTTCCACTGAATAACCGATGAGTTCCACCTGAGTTATGGCCCTACTACCACCTGAGTTATACATTAGTACCAGCTGAGTTACATATGAGTTACTTCCTAGTTTTTCATGAGTAATGACTTACTATTACCTGAGTTTGGCCTGAGTTGTCTGAGTACGACATGAGTTACGCATGAGTACTTAATGAGTTTTATCTGAGTTTTACCATCGGACAAAATGGCAACTCACTTTGTTACTCACATGCTACTCACTTGCAATGAGTTTTGCCCGAGTTTTACCTGCGTTCCGTCCTGAGTTTTACCTGAGTACGCGGATTTAGAGTGAGTTTTACCATTGGACAAAATGGCAACTCAGTCATTACCAGACATGTGCATGGATCCGAGAAAATGGATCTGGGATCTGATCCCACGGATCCTGATCTCGGATCCGACGAGATCATAGATCCAGCTCTGTAATTTATCGAGAGATCCGTAGGGATCACAGATCCGAGTCTCATTTTTTGGTTGAGATCCAGTGAGATCATAGATCCTCGCTTATTTTTTGTGAACACATATATCCCAAAAAACGCTTGTTTCAACTCACAAACATACTGTTTTAGTGATTTTATGTGATCGCGCGTCATAATCCATAGTTTTGTGGCATTTATTGGCATAGAAACCCTATAAAACATGGTTTCAAATGTGGTGCATGGTGGGATCCACTCAGATCATAGATCCATGTTCTTAATTTATCGTCAGATCATATGAGATCATAGATCCAAGATGTATTTTTTCACGCCGGATCTGGTGGGATCATAGATCCCAACCTGTACTTTGCTTCGAGATCCACTGAGATCATAGATCCATCACTCGGATCCATGCACATGTCTGGTCATTACTCAGAAAAGTGAGTAAAATTTTTTTTTCAGTGAACAGATAGATATAACAGCTCTGTGTGTAGGTATACTTTGAGAAAAAAAACTGCTGCGCGCCGTCAGAGCCGCAGTCGGGGCCGGCCGACCCGGGGAGCGGCGCCGCGGCCACAGTCGGACCGCGGCCCATAGCTACTAGAAAGGCCACCAGCCGGCTTCTGAGGTCCTAACTGGTGTCCACGGGTGGAGAATTGTGCTGGACTGGGGGTGCTCGACCTCTTCCAATTCCACGCCGGCTTGGCTTTGGAGCCGCGGCCGGGCGGCGCGGGTCAAGGTCACCGCTAGGCGGCGGCGGATTTGCTGCGCCCGAGCACCCCCAGCTGGTCACAATTCTCCACCTATGCTGGTGTCTGAGCAGTGAGCGTCTTGGCACTCTGAGGATACTCTGGTAGTTCCTTGATGGCTAATGTCTACTGCTAAGAACACTGCCGAACAAACGAGAACGGTTCAGCATTGATTCAAAGATCGGTGTTGGATTGGAAATGTTGTATTCTAGGACTGGAAGCCGTGTGTATAAAACCACAACCACACGGTACACACCCACGCGCGCGACTCACGCGGCCCGCTCAGTTGCCGGCGGACGGCCGGCGGCGCGCCCGCGGCCCTGGCCGACCGTACACGGTACACAGCACCCCGGCGGCCACCGGCACCGGCCACCGACCGTACACACCACTCTAATCTCCTGCCGAACGCACGCAGTAGACGCTTCGAGAACAAAACGCGGCAACGGGAAACAGTAACGCCATATGCATGGAATAGAGCAGAGCATATATATGTGGACAACGTAACGGCTGTGCTCGAACACCGCGAACAGGCCACGGCTGCACAGGATTCTTCATATGGGGAATGCACCGGAATGCGATAAACGGTTGAGATATTGTGCTACACACTCTCTCAGCTTCTGACAACAACCAACAGATAGATATAACAGCTCTGTGTGTAGGTATACTTTGAGAAAAGAACTGCTGCGCGCCGTCAGAGCCGCAGTCGGGGCCGGCCGACCCGGGGAGCGGCGCCGCGGCCACAGTCGGGCCGCGGCCCATGGCACATTGGGTGGTCTGCGGCCGCCGCGGACGGGCGCCGCCGGATCAGGGTGACGCACACACACCGACGCACTCACAGACACGCAGACGGACACACACGCACACACCGAGAGGAGGGATGAGCACGCGCCGGCGCGCGGACGGGCGGCGAGCCGCGCCCCGCCTATCACCCGGTCGGCAGGAGAGAAGAAACGGAGAAGAGAGGACGCCACCGATCGAGACTGGGTCGGAAGTTGGACAGACTGGCATACAGGGCCGAGGCCCAGACGGTCACGAGGAGAGAGACATTGTACGCGCGCCCGTCGCGGAGGCGGTGGCTCGGCCCGCCGAGCGCGACACGCCGGGACATCCACACCCGATATACACCAGACAAGCAGGAGTAAGGCTGGCGCCACCGCGGCAGCCCCTCTGCCCAACGGGTGCAGTATGAAGAAGATACGAAACCCTTTGATTTAAGTTGACTACAATGAGAGTATATATGTATGTTAGCTATGTATGTATATGTATAATACAAACTATTCATAGTATGTACAGAGCCGGGGCGGGGCGGCGCGCCGCGGGCGCCGGCCGGCCGGCGCGCGGTACAAAACGGGGCAGTGTGGGCACGTGTGCGGCGGCCACACGACTGGCGGCGGGCGCCACTGCGCGCTGAAAGACTGGCCGGCTGCGGCGCGCCGCTGTGTCAGCACCAGTCCTCGTCCTCCGAGTCGCCGGCAGGCTGCGGCAGCCGGCGGCCGGCCGGGCGCGCCACGCCCGCGCCCCCGCCGCCCGGCCGGTACCCGTTCGGCACCACAGGCGACGGCAGCTGCCGGGTGCCGCGGCCCATCGCCACCGCCTCCTCGAAACTGAGCGGCGGCTGCGGCTCGGCGGCGTACGTCGGCGGCAGCGGCGGCCGGCGCACGGGCGGAACACCTGGCGCCGGCATCCTGCGGCCGGTGTGAGTCGGCGAGGCGTTCACCTTGGGGAAGTTGAAGGGCGCTGCGCCCGGTGGCGGCCGGTAGCCGGCTGCTCGGGCCACGTGCGGAAACTCGGCCGGGTCGAGCGTGGAGGGCCGGCTGGGAGTGGGCGGCAGCCGGCGGCCGCCGCTGCGCCGACTCGGCAGCGTCGGGAACGAGTTGCCGGTGCGGCGCGGCGGCGGAGACGGCGAGCGGCTCTGCTGGTCCAGCGAGCCGGCGCCGTAGCCGTTCGTTCGCCGCCGCCGCTCGGGGCTGATGGAGGCCGCCCGCTCGTTGGGTAGCCGCCGGTGCCGGTGGGGCAGCGCCCAGTCGCAGTGGTCCTTGCCTGCCGGAGGCACACAAGGCGCGGTCAGAGTCTGATTAACTCGCTTACACCATGCATCAGCTGCACATAGCCTCGCTAACAATCATTCACCATTAACCCTATTCCTGGCGGGCTCCGCCGGGACAAGAAACTGGCGGGGGGGGGGCCGATTCGGCCCCCCCCCCTGAGATCTCGAGAACGAAGCAAGATAGCGACAAACGGTAAACGGCATCGGATACGCACGGTCAAGATCTACAATTTTTACAAAGGTCATTTTCAGGTCAGGTCAAAGATGACGTCACAGGGGTCGAAAAAGTCAAAATGGCGGCGCTAGATATGGAGAGAGTTTTTCTCGAATAACTTTCGAATTAGTCAGGATAGGAACAAACTAAGGGCATCATCGTGATCCTCTCGTCAATCCGCATCGAATGATATATATGTTGACCTCGCAAGGTCAAGGTCAAAGGTTGACCTCAGGTCACGTGACCTCGAGGTCATCATGTATATCATTCGATGCGTCTTGACGAGCTGAACACAATGAGACCATCCACGCGTCCGTATCTTGTTCCTGTACGGAGTTATTGGCCAAAAACCTTTGGTGACCTTTGATGACGTCACATGACCTCACAGCTGCCCAACAGCAAAACAGACCTCAAGGTAGTGAAGGTTGATCGTATATGAAGTCATGTATGGTATATGGGGCCATTCCGACCCGTTTTAGTGGTAAAAACAGGGAGTTGATTTTTCCCCCATTGACTTATAATGGGGAGGTCGCGAAACTGACCTGACCTTAGGTCACCGATATCAAAATTCCGAGATATACAAATTGCACATACTGGTACCCTAACTAAAGCCTGAAGAGAAGAAATAGATCGGTCAAAAACTCTAGCTCTGGCGTGATTGCAAACTTTTTTGAGGTAGGGTCACCAAACCGCCTCTGGTGACCTGACCTGAGGTCAGATCAACTCAAAATTTTCAGACATGTTGCGTAGAAGCCTTTTAGGAAAAGTCAGAAAATTTGAGCTTCCTAGCTCAACGCGTTTGGGAGAAATAACCAAAAAACCTCAGGGGGGGCTCCTGAGGCCACCCCCCGCCAGGAATAGGGTTAAAATTATTCAATTACTAGACTTAACAATCACAGCTGTCGGTTTTATCACGCACATTACATTAGGCAGGCTATCCAACTGACCTGGCGGCCCTGACCTGATGACCTGCACTGACCTGGCAGGCTGCGCTGGAAGGACGCGGCGGGCGACGGCGAGCGGTCCTGGTAGGGCGACTGGGGCCGCACGCGCCTCCGGAATGACGAGTTGGGCGAGTGGTAGGCGCGCGGACTGGGCGACCGCGAGCGGAAACTGCCCGGCCGGAAGCCGCCCTGCAGCTGGGTCACCAGAGAGGCGATCGAACTGCGCCGCGACCCGATCAGGTCACCCTGCACCCACAGCGCCCGAGAGACACCGTCAGACTCACAGACGGACAGGCAGGGCGGGGGTGCACAGCTTATTGGTAGGTATAGATACGGGGGGAGGGGGGAAGGGGCAGTAATGGGTCACCTGGTCTTATTTACTTTATAAAACGTGCTATCAGGTGGGTCAAATCAAAGGTAAATGTTCTTGAAAGACGAACGCCATGAGAACGATCACGTATTGGTGAGACAGGGATCGTATGTCAAATCTGAACTTGGGTGATTATTTGTGGGGCGCTCTTCTTATTGGTACAGTTGCAACATAATCAAATGAATGTTCAAGCGTAGACGAATAATGATCAATCTAGCTATCAGCAGTTGAGTCACTTCTACATTACAAAATCTTTACTTGTGTGCTTTAGCAATTGAAAACATCATTCAAGCTTTGTCGTCATATCTTAGATAACAGACCCTTCAATGCAGACAGCATCAGTACAAATAACCAATAAGACAAAGAACCAGTAATAAAGCAAAGTATGAAAAGCGGCAATAAATATGAAAACCATAGCATGCTGTATTTTCACACCAAAACCTGTGAATGCTTGTCACACATGTGTATGCGAGTGTGTGAAAAAGTGTGGCATATCAGTGAGCATGCAGTGATATCAGTAGGGACGGGCTGGTCAGGCCCGCCGACCTCTCGTGGGCTCAGCTCCGTAGACTCTGTCCCGCAGAGTTCACAGCGCTGACAGACGGCCGGTCTCGTTGATTCCTCGGTAGTAGAGTCGGTTACCTGCCGTTGCGGCGGCCATGGCGCGGCCGGCCGTGCTGGCGGGATCGGAGCCAAGTCCAATCTTATTAGAAGGACATTGGCGGCATGGGACAACAGGCGGTGACCGGGGTCATTCAGCGGTGCGTGCGCCGGTCAGTAGGACCTGCACAGATGTATGTATGGTGTGGTGCTCACCCTACCGAGATTGGTGGGCTCTGTCGGCGAGCGATGAGCGAGATTGGTGGGCTCATGTCGGCGAGCGATGAGCGAGATTGGTGGGCTCATGTCGGCGAGCGATGAGCGAGATTGGTAGGCTCATGTCGGCGAGCGATGAGCGAGATTGGTGGGCTCATGTCGGCGAGCGATGAGCGATCACATGGTGAACATGGAGGCGACCACATAATATCCAGACGTTTCATTCATGTTGTGTTTAATCAGCTCACGATCATCGCTATAGCAGTGTGCTAAATTTAGATTTAGGTATGAGTAGATAAAGCGTTGCATGATAACCTATTGTCTAGTCGATAAATATCTCGCTGAGAGATATGTATTATTCTTCAGATGGAAATACCTATGTATAACTGAAGCAAAGATGAGCACTATAACGCAGCAAAAATTCATCGAAGAGAGGGTGCTCTACAATACCATTACTCCTATGGGAACTCAGCAATACAAACGAAAATACCCAGACACGAGTGTTTTACAGTCGATGGAAATGGTGAGCGAAAGGCGAATGGAACGGTGCGCGTAGGTTGATGGAGTAGTGCATCAAAGTCGACATTTAAAATCAACGTACTTGTGTCCTAAAGTAAAAGTAACTACAGGCTTGGTCGTCTTCGCCAATGGGATGAGTCTCTCTGTCCTCGATATTTGTGTCTGGACTAAAAGAATACCTAGGTGCAGGCGCCATCAACATACTGAACTCACTTCCGAAGACTCGCACGAGTCGCCAGCGCTGTCGATGGTGTGGTAATACGACCGATCCCAGACTCCGTCCCCGATCAGCTGATAGTGTCGCCGCGCCCCGCTCCTCATACAGCCATTGAAGAGGTGGCCACCAGCGGGGCGGCCAACCGGTCGCTCCATGGGCAGAAAGCGGTTTGCGCCGCGGTAGACCGCTCGGTCGAACCGATGAGTCGCGCTGGTCAGCCGGTCGGTCGGTCGGCGGGGATCGCTGTTATGTCGGTCGTTTGGCCGGGGCAGGAAGCGAGGCTCGCTGTTGCGTCGGTCACCTGGCCGGCTGAAGTGGCGGAAGGCGCTGCTTGGCCGCTCGTCTGGCCGGTGCGAGGGGTGGGCCCAATCTTCTCTGTCCGAGTGGCAGTGCCAGCCGCTCGGACTGACCACTGACTGGAGCGACTGGACGTCGTCTGACTGGTGGAACCGGTCCACCACTCCGGGAGCACTGCTGGCTGTCTGTCCAGGGGAAGCCTTCCCTTCCGTCAGAGCTAGCATCTCCGAAGAAGGCTAGAAAACACCAGAGTACTTAGCCGTAACACTAAGCACCAGTAAACTAGAAGTGAGCACAGCCAATAAAATGAATACGATTATTGTGCTTACATAATTCCCACTTCGCAGGCGGCGATGAATCACTGCTAACTTCAATGCTAGAATACCTAAAGAATTTGTAACACAAGTTATTCCTCATTTCGATGAGTTTCACTTCACAAGTTAGGTATCGAATGTTACTTCCACTATCAGTACATCAAAGCTAGGGTAAAATCGCATTTTCACAAGCTACACGACTAAAAACTGTGATCTATTACACTATGCAACAAAAAATGGAAAATTTTCTGTTCCTGGAAAGCGACCGAATTTTTCTTATTCATTGGGTCCTATTATAACCGAAATGGGCATTAGTTTTGATCTGAAAATGCTTTTCCGGTTTTCAGAGACGATTTTCGATTTTTGGCCCCGAAATTCGGTTTTTGGTCCACCGTGTCCGATGTAATTGAGTAGTCGACTCGCGGTAACTTTCATCGCCTTTCCTATGCCACAAGCTTTCGAATGATATCTGGTTTTGCATATTTGCGTGCAAAAATAACGTCATAAATCTATGTTAAAGTAAGAAAATGTTGAAATTTTGTAAAAATTTGACATTTTTTCGATTTCATTTCAAAATAGAGGAAAAACTAAAGGCCCCATCCAAATTCTGAGCCCAGTTCCTTGAAGAGCATTCAATTTCCGTTCGGAAGGTACCTTTTTAGTGCATTTTATCGGATTCCTGTGGCGTCCAGATTGAGTTAACCTAAACACATATCCTAAGTCATATCACATAGCATTAACCTGATAACGTATGTTAACGCCATAGGATCAACGAGGGGTCAACTGAGGTCATTTTGTTGACCCCTTGTGACCTCGGGTCACACGCAGGAACTTACTTTTGAGCAGTCCTGTCGCTCAGAATCTTGATCTGTTGGGGGCCCGTTTTTCAAGTGACTCAATCTGGACGCCACAGTAAACCGATAAAATGCACTAAAATAGTACCTTCCGAACGGAAATTGAATGCTCTTCAAGGAACTGGGCTCAGAATTTGGATAGGGCCTTTAGTTTTTACTCTATTTTGAAATGAAATCGAAAAAAATGTCAAATTTTTTACAAAATTTCAATATTTTCTTACTTTAACATAGATTTATGACGTTATTTTTACACGCAAATATGCAAAACCGGATATCATTCGAAAGCTTGTGGCATAGGAAGGGCGATGAAAGTTACCGCGAGTCGATTACTCAAGTACACCGGACACAGTGGGCCAAAAACCGAATTTCGGGGCCAAAAATCGAAAATCGTCTCTGAAAACCGGAAAAGCATTTTCAGATCAAAACAAATGCCCATTTCGGTTATAATGGGACCCAATGAGTCCAAAAAAATCGGTCGTTACTCAGGAACAAAATGACTGTTGCATAGTGTTATAATTGAAACTGGAGAGGCATTGCTATTTACTACTGAGCTAAAGGGTTCCGAGTGGCTACTCCAGCCCCAGCCCTTATGAATATAATTTGACTCATTTGTGATAGCTAGCTAGTATACCAGCTGTGTGGAAGGGCAAGAAGGGCAAAGCCAAACCTATATGTTCTATCCTCAGCCGTCAACTATCCGATGCCTTTACGGCCACCCGCCTGTGCTGCCTCAAAATTCTCTGCGGAGCGATGGTTGCGAAGTCGGACACCGGAGGTAGACTGTACCGCGGTACACTCAAGCCACGCGGCACAGTCTATCTTTCAGGCGCTTAGCACCTCTGCCATCTAGCGGCGGAATTCAGAGTCGGACACCAAAGGTAGACTGTACCGCAGTACTTCCGAGCCGCGCGGCACAGTCTAGCTTTCAGGCATTTAACACTTCTGCCATCTAGCGGCGGAATCGTAAGTTGAAGCAGGCAGCGCAGTTGGCTGCATGAAACGAGATCGTGTAGTGGCAAGACGAGTGAAAGGAGTGATAAACAGTTGCTGTTTCTAGAAAAATGAGGTAAATATATCACTTTCCTGCCGTTCCCAGACTCTTCTCGAACAAGCCGTCAGTAGGTATTATGAGGTAAGCTGTCCAGTGAATGTCAACGGATATCCACCGAACCATTGCCAGATTCAAACGGTGAAGAATGCGCCCCGATTGCAACCCGAAAGAGTATTTTATGCGGCAAATATCAGCCATCATCGAACATCAAGTGGATATCGTAATCGATTCACCCAGTGCTATCGCTTTGTACGAATCTATGGATCAGCTAAAATACCAACGCCAGCCCAAGCAATGTCGTCACCGCACACCAGCTGAAGGATGGGCTAGCTACGGACCAGAGAATGAGTCACTGGGAATCACCAGGCATGAAGCATAACGTAGAATGGCTTCTGAATAAGCTGAAACGACGGTTTTGTCTGGTTCACAACGTTACGGACATTGCTTTGTCTGAAACGCATAGTAGCGGACACAGTGTGTTGTCTGGATACCATCGTATCGGACACAGTGTGTTGTCTGGATACCATCGTAGCAGACACAGTGTGTTGTCTGGATCACACACGAGCGCCGGCGAGGCAGAGCGTGAAGGGCGACAGAGACAGAGACAGCGCCCGAGCCGGCGCGGAGGCCGGAACCCGGGGCAAGCCAATCGGAGCACACGGCGCGGAGCGGAGGTGCGCAGATAGGAGCTCAGCGACAGAGAGACGAGGTCGGGCGGGCGGCGGGCGGCGGGCGGCGGGCCGGCCGCTACCTGGCCACTGCCGCGGGGTGACACCAGCTGCTGGGAGGCCGAGCGGTGGCGCGCCGGAGAGCCGGGCGGATCGTCGGGCCGCCAGAGCCGCGAGTCGGAGCCGCCCAGCCGGCGCCACGGCTCGACGGCCGCCTCCGTGTACACTACCGTCTGAGAGGGCCCCAGCAAACTGCCGGCACAGGGCGACGGGCGGCAGCGTCAGCGCCGGACGGCACAGCAGCACGGCCGGGAAAAACACTTCAGAGTACATCAGTAACATCTGTTCTCAAGCAATGCCAAAACTTTATTGACGTTATGGCACATCTGCATAAGTTGAAGTTATATCCGACTTTAGGTCTCAGCTCGCCCTCCCGCCTCGTCCGACGGCCGTCGCCGGGCCGGCACCCACCTTACGCTCTGTCGGTCGTCGCTGTCGCAGAGCTCGTCGTCGTCATCGGCGGCGGGCGGCGGCGGCGGCGGCCCCGACGGCTCAGCCGCCGCGCGCGGGTTGGTCGGCCGCGCTATGCCCATGATGCGCTCTAGCAAACTGGCTTTCTGCGGCCGGCGGGCGACGGAGGAGGGTCAGGGACAGTCAGAGGCCGGCGCGTGCCGACCAGTCGCCGGCGCGGCGCCCCGCCCCGACCGGTGGCAGTGCCGTGTGAAGCAGTGAGACCGGTGAACGTGACAACGAGGGGCAGCGAGCGCCCTGCGATGTTCTGTGGTGAAAATCTCCCCAATGGTGGTGAAAACCCGCATGCGAAGAAAAATTAATCTACTCTCTATTCTAGAACCCGGCTTGCGTGCATGCACCGGTTTTGTAACTCTATGATCTATCTATACTCTATTCCTAGACAAGCAAAGAAACCCAGAGCAGCAGAAGAGGATAGAAAAAATACTAGATGTATATACTACCGAGTCGGGAGGCACTAGCTCCTGCTTCTCCTGAAAAGACCAGACAGCACACTATCATCTAACCGTCCGGAGCCCGGACCGGGGGCCCGTTTGTACCATCAGTGACCATTGCCGCCTAAACGCTAGTCATCTCTCCACTAGCTATCCACTATTAGAGATTACACGTGTCCCAATGATCGCGGCAGGCATGACAAACTCTGTGCTTATGGCAACTAGACACGCATTTCTAATCAAAGATCGCTCCAACGGCCAACACCCGAGCACTGATTTTGACACTCGTTTACCTTACAACATTTCCTATTGTTACGTGACAAGGCATTCCTGTACATTCACTGGGGTCAACAGATGATCACTGCCTAATAGAAAATCCTAAAAGAGATGTCTCAACACTAGTGACTAGTTCACACACTTCTTATATGTCATGCACCCGGATTGTGGCACAAGGGGTTGACCAGACACAGCATGTATGTAGTTTTCTTTTCGAATCAATGTCCTTCGTATAGTCGTAAATACGATAAGCGATTAGCACAATACTCAAACATGATTCATGCAAACACGATTGGCGCAAAAGTTTCTCCTCGTAACGATAAATATATAATGGTATAACCATGTTGCAGTCAAGGTTTGTGAAATAAGCAACAAGAGGCACGTTATCTGGCTCCACTTACCGGTTGATTTTCGGGCGCTATCTGCCCAAACCGCGTCGTCTTCCAGTTCTCCAGTATCAGCAGGCCGGCGTAGATCTTCCCGACAGTCAGCTTGCCCGCTCCCAGCTCTGCAGAGGCACGTGCAATGAGAAGCGCAGTCGACAGAAGACGAGGAGCGGCGTCCTAATGCAAAGCAGCATCCACGCGCTACAGTCGTGGTTTCGAGCAATTTGTCGGTAAAATGTTGATAAATTGGTTCATTTTCCCCGAACGTTCTTATTTAGAAAATTTAATGACTCGATGCACTCACGTTCTCTTGGAGGGACGAGCAGATCGAGCAGCTTCTTGGCTTGAAGCGGCCAGAGTTTCGTAATTGTTTTCCGCAACTCGGCGTCCGCCTGGTTCATCTCATCCGCTGGCAAATGTGATACAACACCCGTGTCATATCTACGTCAGGTCGATTACACTAGCAAAGTGCTGTCTAAATTGGATAATGGATTTGTTCTAACAGCGATTCGGTCCCATCAGCCCGGCTGTCCGGCGTCCACTCAGCACTCACCGGGCCTCATTTTGATGCTGAGGTTCTCCCTGATGAGCGCGAACAGAGTCGTTGTGAACTGCACTTTGCCCTCCTCGTCGATGGGCATGTTCATTCGGATGAGCTTCTTATGCGCCAGCCGGTACGGACACTTGTTTCCGAAGCCGAGTGGAGGCTCCATGTTGCGCAGCATGTCGTACATTTCTGTGTACTCTATCCTGCCGCTGTGGGCAACAGGGCGGGCAACATTGTCACACCAGTGAGCTCATAGACCAGAGAATCAGCTAGCGTCTTACATCAGTGGGTACTGTAGATATATTATAGAGTATTAAATGATGCGAATTGCCAGGTTTACTCATCAACAAGGTTGTAAGGTACACAGAAACCCACTCGGCGCGATGACATTATTTTGAAACGTCTCTCAACATATTAAATGCATCTTTATTGATGTAGACACTTACAAAAGATGCTTAGTCAATACTTCATAATAAAAATATTCCCGAGAACACAAATCAAAAAAAGTAGGTCATATCGCAAAGTGAGCTGTGTCAGCGAATTCGCCCATTTCCTTTCACAGCCCGACAGGGTGTAGGGTGAAGTCGTATAAGAGTACGCACTTAGTGGATTTCTTGCTCTCATTTGTTTAATATTTGAAAGAAAGAAATCGCAAATTGGGAATATTAAAGTTCATTGAATTAGCCATCATCCCATGGGGCAACGATCCTTCAGCGTAAATGGAAGTGGTCTAAAAATAACATTTTCAGAACCGCTGCAGTTGCGTACTCTTACCATATGGGGTGTGTAAGAGTACGCACGCCGGGCGGGTAGAGTACGCAAGCATATGAACACACACCTATGTAGCTTGTACTGTCCAAATGATTAACTTCAAACTCAGAGGGCATTTAAGTTAATTCTAGTATCCAAAAAGAAAAACATAAAATAAATCTTTCAAGTCTACAAATCAGTGAATAATCATGTCGTGTGTTTCTTTTAAAAATATGCATAATCAAAAGGGAGAATAACTCGTATTTGGAAGAATTTCGGGTACGCATCTGCATCACAGTGCTCCATTGATGATATACCTACAAAACAAACGTCATTGAGCGATAGATTAATAATTGTATATTTCTGTATATTCGATTTAATGTATAATTCTGCGTACTCTTACCCTCCTAAACAGTGCGTCCTCTTACCGTACATGCAATTCGCGCACAAAACAACCCCGAAACGTTGTGCAAAACTTCGCAAACAGAATATTGCACTGCACAGTATTTCCCCAGATAACCTCACAAGTTTCCCACAACAATCACGGAAATGTACCTTAGGGTGAAGTCGTATAAGAGTACGCACTTAGTGGATTTCTTGCTCTCATTTGTTTAATATTTGAAGGAAAGAAATCGCAAATAAGGAATATTAAAGTTCATTGAATTAGCCATCAACCCATGGGGCAACGATCCTTCAGCGTAAATGAAAGTGGTCTAAAACTGACATTTTCTGAACCGTTGCACTTGCGTACTCTTACCATATGGGGGGTGTAAGAGTACGCACGCCAGGCGGGTGGAGTACGCAAGCATATGAACACACACCTATGCAGCTTGCACTGTCCAAATGCTAAACTCCAAACTCAGAAGGCATTTAAGTTATTTCTAGAATCCAAAAAGAAAAACATAAAATAAATCTTTCAAGTCTATAAATCAGGAAATAATCATGTTGTGTGTTTCTTTAAAAAAAAAATGCACAATCAAAAAGGAGAATAACTCGTATTTGGAAGAATTTCGGGTACGCATCTGCATCACAGTGCTCCATTGATAATATACCTACAAAACAAACGTCATTGAGCGATAGATCAATCATTCTATATTTCTGTATATTCGATTTAATGTATAATTCTGCGTACTCTTACCCTCCTGAACAGTGCGTCCTCTTACCGTACATGCAATTCGCGCACAAAACAACCCCGAAACGTTGTGCAAAACTTCGCAAACAGAATATTGCACTGTACAGTATTTCCCCAGATAACCTCACAAGTTTCCCACAACAATCACGGAAATGTACCTTATCTCAACTGCCAAGTATCAAAATTATTGTACCATATCATAATAATATCATAACGCTTGAAAATAATATTCATCGCCTTAAACTCAACAGGGTCGCCGCTCAACGCCCACGTTCCGTTGGTGACATGCACGCACTGGCGGCTTCATGTCACTTCATGAACTCGACAAACCCGCGTTGCTAAGCAACCGAAACAGCTGATGCGTACTCTTATCGCCCGCGTACTCTTACCCGCCCTTACCCTATCTGAACTGCAAAGTATCAACATTATTTTACCATACCATAATAATATCATAACGCTCGAAAATAATATTCATCGCCTTAAACTCAACAGCGTCGCCGCTCAACGCCCACGTTCCGTTGGTGACAAGCACGCACTGGCGGCTTCATGTCACTTCATGAACTCGACAAACCCGCGTTACTAAGCAACCGAAACAGCTGATGCGTACTCTTATCGCCCGCGTACTCTTACCCGCCCTTACCCTATGTGTGTGCGCGCGCGCTATCTCGTTGAACTCACGTTGCATTCGGGTCGTACTCGGCCCATATCCGATGGAATTCGTCCAGATGATGGGCTCCCAGGATCGACGAGTCGCGCGTCAGGTAGTCAAAGTTGTCCATAATTACAGCCACAAACAAGTTGAGCATCTGGACGAGAAAAGGAGACGATCAGATGGTTATCCAAGATCGCGTGAAAGGACGAATGTGAATGCAGGATGGAGTTTTTCGCCCTAGGGGCTTACATACAGGCGACGGGATGGTTATACATTGGTACGGCTCCGCGAGATTAAGCGGTAGGTTTTGCATTTTTCCATTTCCAGTTATATCTCAGAAACCAATCGATCTACCATTTTACACGATCATGGTCGGCTTGTGAACCAACAAGTCGATCGCGTCTTCAACACTGAAAAGCTGAAGACGACGAAGATATAGCCTGAAGTACACTAAATTTTCTAGGTGCAAAACCTACCGCTAAAACCCGCGAGACCTGTACATACATCGTATTTGAACACCAACGGAGCAGCTAACTATATTAGCATGTCTCTGAAAAGTCGACTCGATACATGGGGTGCATGACGTGCTAACAATGAGCATTGAGCAAGGCAGACCAGAGTGCACACGAACCCAAACGATTCTGTCATAGGTACCACTCAGACGAGCTCGCAATGTCCAATAGGAAAAAAAAAAATAACACGACAGATGCACCGTGGGGACTTATGCCATCCTAGCACGCATTAAGTGGCAAGTTAAAGTATTTCGATTTCCACTTTTTTGTTATTCATTCCATGTAGAATTGTCCAGCGCATCCGAATCACACCTTAAATCGTCTGTAAAATGATTGTTTATGCCTCAAAAAACCTCTCAAAGTGTAGCTTCGTCCTGACCAGCGTCGTGCTACCTGCATACAGCGAAAAAGCACACTACAATAAAACGCCCTCTCACTCGTTTCCCTGAACAGCAGGTTATAGTTGCGACATGTTTTCATTATCTTTGACTTATAAGGAAGATGATGGTATGCACGAAAATTTCCAAAATTCATCCAAATGTATAATTTTTGACCGAAATGCTAAAAATGTTAAAATGCTTCTTGATTCAGAGAGTTGACAAGCTAACTATTGCCTTACAAAGTTTGATACGCGGTGGTACGCGTGGAAATGTATATCAAAATGTTCTCCAATAATTTCTACATCGGGGGAAGCTCTCATTTTTTGCCGAAATTTGCCTAAACCAGTCACTATGAGACGTCAAAGCAGACGGTGCCGCGTGGTTTCTTACGCCCCGCCGGGCCGCGCCGCGGCGGGTTACCCGACCGCAGCACACCGCCTGGGGGTTTCCGGTCAGTATAGGAGTTGGAAGGAGGGAGGAAGGGGGTGATACCATGTTGACATTATTTTTCTATCGCCAAATGTTCTCTTTGAACAAAATAACAACACCCTTGCAACGCTGCGTCCATTTTATTGGCTATCGCCGCCAATGTTCACCTTATTGAACTTCAGCACAGAGCTTTGATATAGGTAAATCGAAAAATGCTGTAACTTTGTAAAGTGAGGTTGGAGGTTTTTGGGGTGCTAATCACGAATTTCAAGCTAGTTTTGATCAAGGATGATGTTTTCATGCTAGGCCGGGTCAGGTCAGGCCCGACCAGTAGGTGTCTTGCCGGCTATCCATAGAAGGTATGCATCGATTACCTTTGACGGCTTGGTAGCATGTTCCGTTAGGCACCAAAACTACTTAAATCTTCAAGTGGGTGTTAAGTTCGAAATAAGCTCCAAGCACTTATCTAGAAAAATCGTATAACTTGAAAAGTCAACTAAGGTCATCTAAGGTAAATGACCTTGATTTGACCTTAACGTGAACTTAAAATGCAAAGAACATACAGCATTTAATACCTTGGAGAGTTAACAACCACAACAAGACTGAAAACGCGCCGATAATGTGCGCTGATAAGCGCCAAATCGATACCAGCCTGACATGGTCTGGTGAAACAGGTCACAGGTCAAATTTTTATTGAGGTCAAGGTCATGAAATTTTAAGTGTGTGAGTAACATTGATCGAATCGAAGTTATAGAAAGTTTCGTCGTGATCCGCCACGTTTTGCTTGAGTTAGTATGCGAAAAGTCGAGGACAGAAGTCTGTGCGACCCCCTCCCCCTTTAAGTGCAAGAACTAACAAAGTGCAAAGGTTAAGCCCGAAATGCCTTTTGGTGATTGGGCTGGACATGAACAAATATCTACTTCTAAAACGATTGTAGTTTCGTTCTACTTTTTTAACGCTTCCACGCCCACGATGCATTGCTAGCCGAAAACGCTTCAGTGCTAAGTCCGTGGGGAGGGGGCGGGGGAGGGATGGGGTCAAGCAGGAGAGCCAACCATGTTGTCAGGGATCATACACCCTAAGCCTAACCATTTGAAGGTGAAATAAAATTAGTTAAGGTAGCGGAGGATGCGATATAAATAAATTCGTGCTAGGATCGATAAAAACCCCACAGTGAGATGACTCACCAGGAATGAGCAGAAGAATATGAACGAGACGAAGTAGGCGTAGGCGAAGTCCGAGCCGCACACCTTGTGGGGATCGTTTTCGGGTATGGCGCGCGGATCGCACGGTCTGCCCTTGATGCAGGCGAGCATGATGCTCTGCCACGACTCGCCAGTGGCACACCTGGGGGCGGGCGCGATCAGTGCAGGGTGCAGCTGGGCCGTCACATCACTGACAAGGGGGGGGGGGGGGCAGGGGCACAGGCAGGTCGATGCTGGAGGCGACCAAAACAAGGTATTATGCCTGAAAGTTCGCGTCAAAACTAAGACCCTGTAATATTCAACCTGAGCAGACATTCTAGTGAACCACTTACGAGAGGTCTTCAAAGCAACAATTCCCTGATAAAATTACGTAAATAGTCCTTTATTTACGCCAATAGCAGCCTGTAACAGAAGTCGTCAATAATCCCATAAATAATACAATTATTGTGGGCATCAACTGTAGCACATTGAGCTGGAAAACTTGGTAGGGCACGGGACAATGGGGGGGGGGGGGCAGTGGTGCGAGTTTTTGCGGTGTTCACAAAAGCACTGCAGGTGAAGAAAAATTTGTGTCAACACAGCCATCCTGTACCTGAGAAGGTAATGATGTGCGTTTAATGGGGATTTTAACTACTAAACACATATTACACCATCTGAAAGGGCAACAATTACCTGAAATTTGCAACAGTATAATTTTAGAGTTAAATAAGCGCAATTGTCTGATGGCATATGATGTCAGTTTATCAAAAAATGATGCGCTAGGTAATCTTTTATGCTGCACCGTTTGGGAATGCGAAGCTATTAACTAGTCTGATGGCTAATGGAATGGCTACACTAGGATCTAATTCACATTTATATTCAACAATACTCTGTAACACTGCTAACGCTTATTTTTGCTGAAGTAAAGCTTGTATCGCATTTAAAACTTACTTAGCTAACTTTGCTTTCATGTGATAGGAAATGAGCCCAAATTTAATATCGGTCCTAAACTATTTCACATGATGAAGGGTAGCGGACACATTTCTGTCATGCAGCATACACACCACTCGATGAGGCCAGAACCCATTACTACCTGATTTACAGTCTGGAAGTTACACCAATTATCTTTTGAGCAATACCAGTATAACGTAAAGCATTCATGTTTCAGCGAACCATCGCAAAGGCATGCAAAATGAAGAAAACGTATGGACGTTGTAAACAAAACTTAAATAAAAGTATCGTGGCATAACAAAAACATGTGGATGCGAAATGTGAATTAGAAAGACGTGCGCGGTTAATGCAAAAAAGGGTTAGCGTCAATTTTTTGGTTCTACTTCAAAAGAATTGCAGTTTTGACCGAAAGGCTTTTACAAGAGGAAAACTAGATAACATCTGTCTCATAAAGACTCTGAATGGAGCGGCACTTGCAAGTAATGCACATAATACATATGTCATATACGAGCCGAATTCTAAAAAAAAAAAAACTATAAAAATAGTTGTATTCGACAAAATAGAAATAGCAAGTTACATGTAGCATTGTGCAAGAGGGAGCTTTGTCAAGTGCTGGTGCTTCGCAGTACGTTCGACGTTTCGGTCCACCTTTATCTTGGAATGCGCGATGAGCAGCGCCGCTCCCAGTTGATATACCATATCGAGGAGCCGTTTACTTTGTGTGAGAATTTTTGCAAATTGACGCGATGTGTGCGAGTGAGAGTAACAAGAAAACAACGTGTCATCATGCGGAGCCAGTGTAAACCGGTGGTGGAAGTAAAGAGACTCAAGTGATGTGGTAACAAAACGAATAAAACCAATAATATGAAGGCACACCAAACAACACAGACAACAACCATACGGTTACCTGAATAGTAACATTAGCGCTTGAAAGAAGTGACGGAAGTTATTGTGCCTAGATATGGCAGTTCCTGGGTCCAAAGCTATGTTACCAAATACCTAAGGGACAAAAATAGGCATCAAGACACAGTCAGCGCACCCGATGCAGCTGCTAGTCACGACTCGACCACCTACTCAACACAACGACAGCTGCAGTGTCACCTACGTCGGGCGGGGTCAGTACCTGACCTAAGGTCAACTGCGCGGCTAGTCGTCACTGACGGGGGTGGCGCCGACGGGTTCTGAACGACTCGGACGGCGGCGGAGACATGCAGGATGAGTGGAGCCGAGCCCGGCCGAGGGGGGCACTGCGCCGGGGCGGGTGGGGTGTTGAGCATTGAATTACGGTGTTTGTGTCTGGAAGCCTGATATTACCGAGGTGTGTGGTAAGATAAGCACTTCAATGGATATGCAGGAGGTCCTAAAAGCTTAAACCGATTTGAAAAAAAAAAAACTAAAAATACAAGCGGGGTTTGATATATAGTTCAAACTTTCGTCGCCCCTTTCTTCATGTGACCACTTGGATAGGCCGTAAGTTTTTATGGCAAATAACCTGCAGCAAAGGAAGGGCTCACAGGTTGCGTTGTTTTTAGGGCTCCCAGACGGCTCTCGATTCTCGCCTGACACACTGCACGTAGACACAGCTTCACTCCCACTCTATTCATTACCTAAACATTCACGCCTCATCCAACGCTCGCAGTCTCACAGGTCACTCTCACAAAACAGCATTCATCCGTCGGGTATCATCGTAAGGGATCAGTGTCATGTCCGAGACGTGTCCGAGGGGAGACCGCTTGAGGCGTATACCCGGGCGTGAGACGGATCCGGAGCGGCGGACGTGTGATCGGGCTGTTGGTCCTCAGCCCCGACTGCTGTTTCGGCTCTGCTGTGTGGGGACGGCCCGAGGACACAGGACGGGACGGGGATCACGGAACACTGCGGGTGGAGCATGCAACGAGGCTAGACTGCGGCGCAGGCTGCAAGACGTGCGCGGTGCGGCGGTCGGCTCGGCGCGGCATGCGGCGCGGCCGGCCGACCCCACACCAGGGCGCTCCAAAGACCGACCGACAGACAGACAGACAGACAGAGAAAGATTCCGACTCACCGAAAAAGCAATAACACAGAGCTGAAGAAACTTTGAAAGTTGTTGTGCCTGTTCATATCCGAGTCGGGATCGAACCCCATATTTCCGAACACCTTGGGCGGGAGACGGGCGTGACGTAGCCAACAGTGCAGTCAACACGCGCAGTATGTGTGGTGGTGTACGCTTGTGCGGTGGTCGCCAACCAAGCCTCCGTCGACTCTTATTTTAGATAGTGACGGTGACGGTAATGGAGCTGAAGGAAATCCAAAGGTTCTTTTCTTCTTTTCGAAATAGCAAAAAAAGTATGATAGCCGCAGGCTGTTTGACAATCGACAAGCACTATTCGTTAGAATGTTTTTTTTTTTTTTCAATTAAAAAACAGCCGGTACAATGCAACAATCGAATGGAAAAGAGTGATTGAGAAGCTGATCTAGGAATCTCAGAGGCTCTGGAAGGCGACCGGTGAGCTCAACAAAACCAAGTGCAGTAGACACGATATGTGCAAAGGTAGCGTCAAATGACCATAGTAGCAAATCCATTCCTGTCCGCACATTCCTCCCGCATGTGGCCTGCGAAGCCACGCCTGCCCCTCAGCACTGCATGAAGCACTGGCCCGGCCCGGACAGCGCACACACTCCCCAGAGCACACGGCGTGGCCCAGATGCAGGCGGAAAGCAGCCACCCGGGGCCGACCGGCGAGCGGGGCCGGGTGTGCCCGTCCCGCCGGCCGGACCCCGGGCGCCCACCGCCGCCACCAGCGGAGCCAGCAGGTGCCAGCCAAACTGAGCCAGAACGCAGAGAATAGGACGGTGACCATGCAAAAGCTGTGAGAACCAAATGGCGGAGAGAGAGAGAGAGAGAGACATGGGTAAAATGTGGAGCCACACCGATAGCTGAAGAACGATGCACAGGGATCGGCCCTCGCGCCGAAAATATGAGATGTGGGGATGTGGGAGAATAGGGAAATGACAGCATAACACTAACAGCTTCACTGGTGCAACACAATATCTTTTTCTATCACAATTACTTATACATAACACGAGTGGAACACTTTTTTATCAGGACTGACGTCAGTGATGACGGAACAGCGTGCTACTTAGCAGCGTGAAAGGTTATGGTTACATTTAACCGTAACACGTTATTTCGTGCTAGGAAAAAGAGCTCGAAAGGAGAAGTTCACAATGTGCGTGGAAAGTTTTTTTTTTCTAATTAAAAACTGCTATCAACAAATGTTAATTAACAAATGAATCAAGCATCTAAAAAACGACCGGGGATAAAAAGTCAAAATAGATAAAAAAAACTTTTTTTCAATATGAATATTTGTGTCAAATGTCAAGAACGCTCGTGGGAGGCACAAGAAGAACTTCCCACAGACTACAGAGTACAGACTGTCCTAAACAGACAGTGGCCGCAGTTGAATGACACTTGCCTGCATGCCAATAATTGCGTAAATGAAGAACAGCATGGCTATCAGAAGGCAGACGTATGGCAAGGCCTGTAACACAAACAAGACACACATATGTTGTAATATACCCGGGTAAAGCAAAGACCGATTTCATATTGCACGATACATGGATATCGGTGCAATAGAAATCGCCGAGATCAAGAACTAAATGTTGAAACCAAAATACAGTCAAAGACAGTTAAAATCCTCATGTAAAATAAATGACCCAATAAAACATAAACATAATAGCTTTTAATGTGGTTTGTACCTAATCTGCTTTCCCAATACCAACTATCAACAATCAAAATCAATCAATCAAAAATCAATAAAAAATCAGCGTCCAACTTCTCACGGGCCTCCAATTCAGGATCAGATACGGACCTTGAAGCTCTGCACGAAGGTCCACAGCAGGATGCGGATGGTGTAACCCTGTCGGAGCAGTTTGATAAGACGAGCTGCTCGGAACAGTCGCAGGAAACCCAGGTTGATGGAGCTGGTCATCTGAAATGGAGCAGGCACTGCTGTGAACATCGCCACGTCAGCTTTTTAGCACGTAAAAAATAATCGGTGCCTAAGAAAAAAAAAACACAGACAAAAATCATCACATAATTTCGAACCCCAACTGCAGCCGATTAGGGCTGTGTAAACTAATTGATAACATCACTTTAATAGACTCTAACAAAATCCGACTGAAGTACCAATTTGTGAATGGTGGATATTTTGGGTCGGGAGCGCCGTCTGCTCGCGGTGGCTCGACGGCGCCACATGTGCCTATCCACGGCGCCCCTTCTGCACGTGGCCGGTGGCGTCGCTGTAATGCAACTTGTGCCGGCTCCCAGCGGTGTCTCGTAACGCCCTCCGCCGGCGATCAGCGACGTCTTACCTGCGTTTCGGTGGCGATGGCGTCCACGATTGAGCCGAGCACCGTGATCAGGTCGAACGTGTTCCATCTGTCCTTGCAGAAGTTCTGTCCTCGCCGGACAGACACACACACACACACAGACGAGAAGAAGGTCAGTGCACGAGAGGAGTTAGCTCGGACACTTACACCGGCACACAGCGCGCAGCATGCACCTGAACTGAACGTTAGTGATAGCGAGCGCCGATAGAGAGATAGAAAAATAACCTATTGAGATAGACTTTGATATATCGAGACGCTGCAAACAGTAACTGCATTATACAGCTTCGGAAATGCAAACAATGCATTGATATAGGTTATGTGATGACAAAGTACTCTTAGCTTTCAGCTTTAACTTGAAGCTGCATCACTCAGATAAGTTACAATACAATGTTGTGTAACATTAAAAAAGCAAAAAAGTGTTACAAATTTTGAAGACGTGCTGTTCCCCGCCGGTTTATTTCATCAAACATCCCATTACATAGGAATTAAGAATCTCCCTAAGTGATTTCCGGAAATAATTTGAGACGGTAAAAGGGCAATGATGTCGAATTACTTGTAGATTGAATTTCTTTTAAGCATAGGGTTTTGAATGTAAGTAACTCATATGTGCCACACTTCTGCTTGAAAAAAGAAAACCGCGTTCTCAAAAGTTGCATTGAAAGTTCTTCAGTAAAGTAAAATAAATCGAAAAAACAAACAAAATGTGGTTCATCATCTTTTTATTATATGGAGTAGGATTAATGTTCGACATAAAGAATAAGTAAACACAATTGTTTTATTATGTGGAGTAGGATTATTGTTCAACACACAAAGGTTTTACGTTATAAAGCAAAAGCAAAACACGTTTACAGGGGTGTATCTTTTCACCATAACTTCACGTAGCAAAACAAGCATAAAGTATAACGAGCACATAAGGATAACAGAAGAAGACCAAAACAATGGGCTACTTAGGAAAGGCACAGGTGCTTTATAATAATTACAAACTCGAAATTTTCGTGAAATAATTCAGATAGGAAAACAACGCTCAATAATTAGCCTGTGAATATCTGCATGAAGTTGTAAATATACATAATACTGTTCGGTGGCACGGGAACGGGGGGGGGAGGGAGGGCTAGCGGGGACGGAGCCCCTCCAACTTTTCGGCTGGGGGGCTCGTTATGTATTTGAGCCCCTCCAACTGAAGGAATCGAAATCGGAAATCTACCAAAATAATTTCATAGATTCATACATAGGCGCGGAAGCCAGGGGCAGTGGGGGCAGCTTGCCCCCACAACTTTGGGCCGTGGGGGCGGTGCCCCACAACTTTTCATAAGGCCAGGAGCTGTTGGGACAGCTTGTTTTCCCCAAATTAGGGGTTGTGGGTCACACAGAAAGAAAGCATGTAAGTGAAAAATCCACGTCTTTCACTGGCTCGGCAACTCCTTTGGCAGATTAAAACCTGTATTCCAGGTTGCCAAAACGGTAGTTTCTTCACTCAGCTGAGATGGAATGCCTCACTTTTTTGTAAATGTTTTCTCTTTTTTCCGTTGAAAAGGCCAAGGTGTGAAAAATAAGTGGCCTAAAACCGGTGAGAAAACTAGATTTGGGGTACCCTAGGTTGATCTCTATTATAGTGCAGCCCCCCCTCCCTCTGGAAGAAGTTCCCGCGCCACTGATATTGATAAAAGAGAAATCAACTTCATTGAAAAAATGTTCGCCAAAAGTTCCTTAGTTTTTCTTGTATCGTTTCCATTGTAGTGCACCTCGAATATGCAATTAGTTAAAGCAGCTTTAGGCACGTTAAATGAGAACATTTGTGGAGAACGCGTTTTTTCTAAGGAATGAAAGCAATCATTTTAAAATACAGACGTAACAGTATCAGCCAGGAAAATAGATTATTCTAAAAATCGAACAAATCATAACACCCAACAAAGTCATTAAGATCCCAGCGAGGAACTGATTCCCAAATAAAAAGCAGGCACCCTGTTTAGCAATCTATGAATTATGTAGTATATTTAAAAGGGCAATGATCCCTGGAACCGTTAACGGTACCTCACAGCACACATTTAAACGAGGAAACGAACAGATAGAGGGGGCACAGCGGCGGGAGGGAGGGTGCGGTGCCAGAGACGGTATATCGGGGATGGCAGGCTCTTACCCGCAGTCCGTACGCCACTATCTTTAGAATGCACTCCAGAGTGAACAGGAATGTAAGTAGGAGGTTCGAGTATACGAGTATATCCAAGAACGTGTCGTTGGCGCCATGATGCTAAGGGAGGACAAAACAGTCGGTTAGACGCGCGCGCTGCTCGGCCTGGCGGCCGGGCCCGCAGTCCGCACCCCGCCCCGCTCCCCGCCCGTCCCCAGCCCGGGCCGGTCGGGGTTCGGTGTGGCTTGACATGCACTGATGCGGCGAGTGCAGCAGCCGGTGCTCTCCGTGCAGTGGTGTGGTCACATGCCGCCGGCGGGCCCAAATCGGTAGCTGACGGATCATGCGCGCGCCGGCCGGCTGATGGGGGCGCCGGGCGCCGGGCGCCGGGTGCCGGGCGCCGCCCCGGCGAGTGCCCGTCCCCCGGCGAACGGCACAGCCGCCGATCAGGCTGGCGGCCCGTCGCCCCGCGCCGGCTGCGACCGCGCCACGGGCATGCACATGCTCAGGAGACCTCGGGAGGGCGGAGGGCCGGGGCAGGAGTCGGCTGGCGGGCGGCTCCTGACCGGCGGCGCGGGCGCTCGTCAGGAGCCGCCTCCGTTATGCACTACGCGTCTGGCGAACCAAACAAAAACGGACATGCAATGGGGATGCCGGTGGATTCAGGAGACCACAAAGTAGAAACAGACGACATGAGAAGCGCCCTATTCAAATCCCATGGCGGCTCGGGTGGCTTCTCGCTGAATTATGCGCGGCATGCTATCTACCAGAAGCGTTTCAGCCTCTGCTTTGGGTCACAGGGCCTTCCAGTGGTGCCCAGCCCACAAACAAACCGGATGTTTATTTTGGTCAGAAGACGCTGCAGTTAGCTCTGAGAAGAGAGCAGCAGCCTCTGCCCCACCAGGATCAGGCGGAACGCTGGCTCGGTCAAACAGGCAGGAATTGTAAAAGGATAGTTTAAAATATAACATAAGGTCTAAAAACAAAAGTAAACAAAAAGAGAATGGACTAACGTGAATAGCTAGATGATAGCTCTAAAATGAAGCTGTCTACTGTCTTACCCTGACTCCAAAGGCCACCACCTTGAGCGCACATTCTATTGCAAACAGCAAGGTGAAGACATTATTCAGATTTCGCACGACCTTCTCCTCGGAATCACTTTGGGGGTAGTTCTGGACCGAGAAACAGACACAACTGTTAACAACGATGCAGAAACAAGCATGATGAGCTAAATGCAGTAGGACCAGGCAATGCAAGAGACGTGTGCCATTTGCGCTCCCATAGTCAATAGGCGTCGGTTGGCCATTTGAGCCTGGCTGCTAATTCACAGCGTGGACATGGAGCGTTCCGAGCCACACAGAAGGGCAGAAGCAGGGTTGCCAGACTTGGCGATATGTCGCCAATTTGGCGAATTTTGAAAGTCATTGGCGATAGAAGCACGGCGTTTGGCGATAGGCGATAAAACGTCAAATATTGGCGAATTTCCAGAGTTCACCTCTAAATCACCGAATATTATTTTAAAAAATGAACAAAACAAAGCAAAAAACATCGTTACGAAATATTTCGTAATCTGATTAACTTAACCTTTCAACGTTTCATATTACGCACTCAAATATAAAATGTTCCTGATGAAAATATCTTCTTGATTGAATATGAGAATGTATGTAGATGTTATGTAAATGAATATGAGAAACGAGATAGGTAAATCGTGAACTTGGAAACGAATCGTGAACACGGTTACACCTACGCCAACTTGCGCTGCTATACTCTGTTCCGTTTCAAGCTTGCAGCCGAAGTGCCCTGTTGAAAGCAGTGCATGATTTCTGTATACATATATAGCTCTTTTACATTTTAAGACGCAAATTCTTGAGCGGAGGAGCGATCTGCCGAAGAAACTCCGACTGCAAACTTGATATGGAACAGACTATACGTATGCTTATACAGTGCATCCTACTTGGCGAATTTTGGCGAAATTCGAGGGGCGAATTTGGCGATAAGGACCATTCTGGATCTGGCAACCCTGGGCAGAAGCTGAAGTATAGCGGAAGGCGTTCCGGCCGGATTGGCTATGGTTTCGGTAAATGACACGCGCCGAACGACAGCAGACGGTGCGTGGCAGACGTCCTTTGCCAGCCGGCTGCCCACACAAAACAGTAAACCAAGTTCCAACTGTACAACCGTCAGACGTGCATGTTGAGGCGGCTAGACCATCCTTCGCGCACCAATGCTTCATCAAAATGTCGGCCGTCCCATAACTATATGCAGAAAACAGTTTATGAACACTAAGTTGTAGCAACCCAGAAGAAAACAGGACATTTCCATCCTGCCTTAAATAAGAAAGTTGCTCTCGTTGTGTTGTTTTAGTCATTATCAGTTGCAATATCTTTGTTCTGTGAGACGTTTGTCATGAAGGCTGTCGTGCGTTCCTTTACACCTCTCGTAATAGGGAGACCATTTAACACCCTTTTTGCATTCGCCCTTCGAACAGGATGCTATCGGAAATATAGTTTCCCGTTTGTATCTTGCCTGACATTTATTTTGCCGTTTACATCATTTTTACAAGTGTGACAAATTGGTAACCACTGGTGAATAATTAGCTTAGCATCTTTGAATTTCAAAGGTTCCAGGAGCATACTACTGTACCTGATACTGCAATGACTTTTTACAAATGAACACTTCAATCTAAATTAAAACGTCAAAAACTTGTAAATAACAAGGCAATTTTATTGTAACTTCATACAAAATTTACAGGGAAACACTTGAATGACGGCCGCAGTTTTCTGTACAAATCGCCACAATTGCTGTGTGCTGTTTAGCAGATCCCTTGCCCGCCATAGCTATGTCCTAATAAATTGGCTACGGCGCTACATTTGAGAGCACGTATTATTTGTGTTCGCCGTGTCCACTCGCGTGTGCACACATGTACCCGTCCATCTGCACATGTCTATGAGCGCGGGTGGGTGCGCGCCTGTTACAGTGTGTGCGTGGGCGTGTTGCTGGCAGTGAGAGTCCGTGTCTGTCGGTGGCTGGGAGAGCTGAGCTGGACGCGCGCTGAGAAATCCTAACTCATATGTAGCACAGCAGAGCGAGCCGCCATGCCGTCATATACACACAGTCGCAGCTGGGGCGGCGCCCGTGGCACAGCGCTGCAGGCACGGCGCTCATGCCGCAGCGCCGCGAGGACCATGCTGCTGTCAGCGCGAGGGGCACCGCCGCCGCCGCCGACCGCACAGTGGGCGTTTCAGTGGGTCTAGCCTCTCACCACCTTTCAGTCCTCATAGATTTGAATCTAGGCGACCTACGCCTACAAATGGCACACCAATCTGTAGCAAATTCATTAGAGAACGTGGACGGATCACCTTGGCCATGTCATAAGCTTTTGCAATGTGCATGGGCTGCACGAAATGTTGCATATTTATGGCAAAAACGGAGCGCGTCCATTCTATGATTTATTGAACTTTCGGGCTTTTTATCACCAGGAAATCGTATTTAAATGCACTGTACAGTTGACGAGTGCGTTGTGACCACAGCACTTAACCCTCCCCCTTTAGGGGGGAGGGGGTCGAACGGACCCCCTCCCCTCGGTTTTTCGCAAATAACTCGCGTAAAAGTCGACCGATCGCAACGAAACTTTCAGTACTCTCAAGTCAACCAACCTTACATCTACCCTAAAAATTTCATGACCCTGACCCAAACGACCTTTCACCTATGACCTGTTTCTCGAGACCATGTTTGGCCGGAGTCGCGATTCGGCGTATGTCGGCTCGCGTTTGCAGTCTTTTCGTGGTTTCAAGCGTTCCAACTTGTGATATGATGCTGGTCGTATGCATTATGGTGGGTGTCAAGGTCACTTGAAGGTCAGGTCAGGTAATTGACGTTTGATGACCTCGGTTCTCTTTTTGAGTTTTAGGTACATGTTTCTAGGGTAGTTTTTGGAGCTGAATTCGAATTTAGCAACCATCTGAACATTTACGAAGTAGTTTTGGTGCCTTCGTACCAAGCTGTCAGAGGCGGTTGACACGTACTACGAATACCCGGCAGGACCCCTACCGGTTGACCTGACCTGACCTGACCCAACCTGGGCCTCGTTTCATAAAACTCTGCCGTAACTTACACCTTTCCGTAATTCACACCCTTTCAAACTACGGAGCGCAAATGAAGCGGTTTCACAAAGCCACAACTGGAATTGTTTACACCTCCGTAACTAAGCACATTTGCGTAGTTACCGTAATTTATCAAGCGTCCTACAAATTACAATTTCGTGTCAACACTTTTTTTACGAGAAATTATAAAACAATTACGTTGAATTTTAATCTTAAAAATTATTTATGAAAAAACAAAATTGATATTTAATACCATCCTTTATTAAATCAATATATTGAAAACAGCAGAAAGCCAGCTAAGCAGAAGTGCCTTACTACGAAAGTGGCGCGGCGCGGCGAATAAACAAAATTCCGATAGTTGCCACAAAAAGCGACTGGTACAGAAGATTTGCAGTTTCTTTTTCTCATTTTGGCTGTTCTTTCTTCCTCACCGGGCTCAACATTATAAAATATATTAAAAATTAGCTTCGAATCTTCACATTAATTCAAATTCACGCAACATTTTTGTGCGTAGTTTACACCACTGATATCAAGAACTTGATAAAATATTTGGCGTTAATTACGTCGTTTTATGAAACCCAAATGGCATCAATTGGTCTGGAATCGAGCATTTGCCGTAAATGAAGCTCCGTAATTTCGATGGCGTGAATTACTCCGGTGTCCGGCTTTATGAAACCGAATTGGCATCAAATACGCCAAATCTGGCATAATAGACGGAACGCCGTAAGTAATTCCTTTTATGAAACGAGGCCCTGGTCTAAATGCATAAAGGCATCGCCTGTGATCAAAACTAACATGATATTCGTGATCAGCACCCCGAAAGACCTCATAGCAGCCACACTTACGACGTTCACAGGTCCCGATTTTCCCGACTTTTGGGTCATTGACCTGACCTGGAAGGTCAACCGATGACCTAGGACCTTAAAATCTGGTATCATCGGCTTCCTCTCGTCACGGGCAACACGCTTGTCTTTTCCGCGAAGCTCTAGCTCGATCAGGGGCCAAACGCGAGGGGGGGGGGTCGTACACCCCCCCCCCCCCCCCCCCTCCCTGTGCCTTCAAAGGACGCCAAATGGCCTGTGCCGGCGAGGATTATGAGCTCAGTTTTAAAGCTGGATTGTATTTTTTTTTTTGCATTGGAGAACTCAAAATACACAGGACTCTTAAACTAACATCTCATATTTTTAAAAATTTTAAACTTTAGAAAACTAATAGCATCAAAAATAAAAAATTATAGGTATTATTAAACCTTTGTACTATACGTTTTTGACTTTTCGAAAATATCGTACCACAAAATGAATATCACCATCGTGTTCCTCAGCTAAAACGGCATCTGATAGACACATTTTTTAATGAAAACTTAAACTTCAAAAGTTGACCTTTTCTGACCTGAAAGTGACTTGACCTCAGCTAGATTCAGCTGAAAATGGCCTTGAATGACACATACGACACAGTCTTCCGAACATATAGCCTAAATCGACCATAAAACATATGTCACGCGACCGGGGCATGATTTGAAATTTCCGTGACCTAGGATGACCTGGCGTCGACTTGAAAAACTAATTGTACAAGTTTGGCACCATCAGGGTATATAAGACATATTCTTGAGTGTATTATCAAAAATGAGGCTTATCTGAGTTACTAGCCGGCGACCAGAGTCCAAAAACAAGCTAAAACTTCGATAACTCTTACTTTGACCTTACCTGTGACGTCATCGGTGACCTTGAGGTCAATAAGATTAGGTACTTTTAAACAATTTTTCCAGGGCTATCAGATGCCTTTTGAATTTTGACAATCGGTCTAGTAGTTATGGAGTTAGAAGGGGGCTATGAATAGCAGCTCTCCAGTGGGGCACGGGATATTGGTGAGCAGTGTGTTGCAAAATGTTGCATAGCCGCCGAGGCGCACGTTTGCGCACTTTTATACTGTCTGACTAGTTCAGTAACATCCCACTGCGTATTGTGACGCACAATTTAGAGCGGGACCTAGGGGTACTCAAAAGATCGGCTCTAACTTAGTGATCGATGTTAGTTTCAAAAATATGAGATGACGCGATGATATGTTGATCTCTCATGTTGCTTAATGATGCACCTCATCTCATTTCTCTTTCCGCAGGATTGATCGTAACATGTCACAGAACAACTCATAAAAACATTGACGTGGACAACTAACGCACATAGGATCCCCATGGCATATACTTTGACTCTTCAAACATGCGTTAATCATGACTTGTCCACGGTCCAAAAAAACTTTGTGTTTGAGGCTCCTTTCTCCCCATACCAAGATGTTGCAGGACCAAATAACTGTCATTTATGTAATGTGTGGACATTTTGCCGTCGATTGGTATGCTTTTTGTTTTCATAAAAGCGAGAAAAAAATTTGGGATTCTGAGAGGCTAGACCGGCCCGAACGCCTACAGTGGACCGGCCGGCCGGCCGAACCCGCGGGTCTCGCGCCTCGCGCGGCCGCGCGGAGTAGCAGTCGGTAGCGGCGGCGGTAGCGGCGACAGGTAGCAGCAGCAGGTAGCAGCAGCAGGTAGCAACACATACATCCATCGTCAGAGCAGCACAGTAGCAGCAGCAGAATGCAGTTTGTTCACATGTCATCAGGACGGTAGCAGCCACAGCGAAAGCCATTCGATGACCACCGGTCGCCAGCAGTTGGTTCCCGGAACACAGAGCACTGCCAAGGGCCCGTGACCACGCAGTTTGTACAGCCGGCGCATGAAACCAAGTTTGGGCGAACATGCTTGAGTTACCAGAGGCACATGCGAACAGCGACCGTATACTCGGCAGCGTATACATTTAGTGCAATTTAACCAGATCTGCTGTGGATATGTGACAATGCTCAAGGTGAACTACTATAGCACGTGTTAAAAAAGAGTTATTCTTAACCCTATTAGTGGCAGGCTCCTGGCTACCCCCTATTAGTGGCAGGGGGGGGCTGTTTACGACCCCCCCCTTGATATCTCGAGATCTAACGGGCCGATTTTCAAAATTCAAACGGCATTCGATTTCGCTCAACGAGATCTACATTTCTAAAAAAAATAAAATTGAAAAATGTCAATAGGGGGGTAGAGGGGGGTAAAAACGGGCAAATTGCAGATACATTTTAGACTGTTTATCACGGCCAGGTTTCTGAACCAATCTTAACGCAACTTTTGCCGATCGATAGAGAATGAACCAGGAATTCACATGGATCCTAAAAATATGCATTTTCAAAAATCATAGACGGATACAGATAATTGAGATTGGGGGTACACAAAAAGTATAGTAAATAAGGTTTTTGTTGGTACTGTTTCTAAAAAGGGTGACAATGGTCTTGTTATGTTACACTTTTCTTATGAGAGAACGACTAAAATTGTATTGGTCATGCATAGGCGGTGTCAGGGCACCTATGTTGGGAGGTAAAAAATAACCCCCCTTTTTGGACGCCTGGATCCGCCTATTATAGCAAAAACGTGTCAAAAGAGGATGCACAATAACTTTGTATATGTTATCACATGATACCTTTCATTCACTGTTCGTAAAACTGGTGCAGCATCGTGATCTTCGCCCAAATGACTCGCTTCACGAATAGGACCCCCCAATTCCCAGTGCTCTGGAGCCGCCCCTGGTAAAGTTATGAACTTGAAATTTTCAGGGAATGTGCCCAATTTAGTTTTAGGAAAAGTCAGAAAATTTCAGCATCGTAGCTTCAGCGGTTTCGGAGATATTCCCGAAAAACCTGAGGGGTGGATAAAAACAACCCCCCCTGCCACTAATAGGGTTAACTAAAACTTCCCCCTTTGAAGTTAATGACAAAAATATTGCAGCTATATGACCATACAATTGTACACAACAAAATTTCAAAGACAGTCGCTAAATGGCTTGATATTTTTGACGTTAAAGGATAGAACGCATAACGTTGTTTATCTTTATAGTGCAAAGCATGTCATTGCGTTCTCCAAGCTTAATATACTTTTATGAGCAAACATCCTTCGGCCATGCACTAATAGCATTGCATTAGCGTTATATATATCCTAGCATTGAGCACCAACAGTTAGGTAATGTTAGTAATCCCGCAGGTATTTGCTTATCTGTAATGCTAGGATGCGCATTGCGAAATGCAAATACAAGTAGCTCATCGTCAGAATCTTTTCAATTTGCTATCTTTATGATAAGAAGCTAATAATCATCTTTTAGCCTAAATGTACCTCATCATGATTCATGATGTTGAAGGCAATTTTCCTAACATGACATTTGTAATTCTGGCAATGATAAGATATTATTTATCCCTCGCCCGTAAACGGTGTTTTGCGACCTTCGCCCATGCAGGGGGGGGGGTTGGTGCGACCCCCCCCGGCGTTTGAAAACAGAGCGTCGTAGAGCTTAGCGGAAAAAAACAACTGATTGCTCTCAACGAGATCTCGCGATTGGTGGTATACTTTTTGGTCCTAGGTCAACATTTGACCTACTTATGACCGGTCAAAGGTCAAATTTTCGGAAAAATCTAACGTTTTCAGATTTCCGCGCCGATTGCGGCAAAACGGTAAGAGATATTGACTTGAAATCTTCACTATCGTGATCCTTGATCAGTTCTCTATCGTTTGGTGTGTATTTCGATGTCATAACTCTAAAAATGATGCGTTGGGAGCATCGGAAGTCTGCAAGGTCATTTGTGCATTGGGTCACGTCAGGCGTGTGACGTCACTGACCTGACCCTGACCCAGGCCCTGTTTCACCGGTGATAGCAGCACGCTGCTTTTACACGTGTCAAATTGGGTTTCCATGGAAACATCAACAGGCCCATTGCTCCAACACTACCACAAGTGTGACGTCAGCTCGCGCAATTTGATAGCAGCGTGGTAGCAGCGTCCCGTGAAACACCGCCCCAAAGTGAACTACAAGAAACAACCGACGATGCCTGAAATGGATAGCAAATTCGAATTCAGGGCATCAAAATACCCCGAAAAGGCATACAAGCGCAAGAAGTCATTACAGGTCAACCGAGGCCACTGACCTTACCTTGACCTTTAGTAACCTTCAAAATGTCAACGGACATTGTGCCAATGTCAAATCAGCCAGTTGTGATTCTAAAACAATCCATCAGTGTGTCAGGTCAGTCGGCATTTATACCAATGTTAAGCAATCTCCAATTTAGCGTAAATCTGGCCGGAGGTTGTTCCCTTTATGACGTCATAACTCCGTGACCTGACATGACCTTGACAAAAAAATACCAAACGTTGCGCAAAGGATGCCTCATAGGGTACTGAAAAATTTGAGCAGGCTATCTGAAACGGTTCGGCGTGTAGCTAAGAAAAACCTCAGGGGGGGGGGCCACCAACCCCCCTACATGGGCGAGGGTTAACTACTAAAAAACAAACACATTCGCTAAGAGTTAACAAAATTACAGAGAAGGCATAATCTGAAAAGTTAAATGATCCCACATGTTTACTAGGGTGCAGAACAGTACACACATGCACGTACAAGCGTGTGCAAAGCTTTTATGTTGCAATTTTGTCGTGGTGCTTGGACTGCTATCGGATTTTCTTTTGTAATTAACCAGCAGCACAAACTGAAACAAACTGACTAAAAGTGCTGAACATGAAACATAAACATCGTTTCATAATCAAACATAAACATAAGCGACACTATCCAAAGCAATCAAAATTCATATGCGACTCACGCTACTACATCACTAACAAAGGGTGAGACATTATTGCATCGACCACATGCAGCTCTACTGAAAAGGTTCTGCTGCGTGCTCGGCATCATCTCATTGCTCTCTAAAAAGCTACCATTGTCAAATGCTGGCTCATACACAGGCAAGTGCGTTGTGCTTGTGCTGGGTAGCGGTCTGCGGACAAAGCGGTGCCAGGCCGGCTCTGCATGCCTGCACAGACACACGGCGGCGCGCGCACAGACGTACAGGCAAGCCACACCTGACCCGGCTCTGTACACAGACGGCGTCATCGCGCCCCTCCGCGGAGACAACATCAGAGAGCGAGGGCACACGACGAGACACGGCACGGGGCGCCACGGCCGCCCGGAGGGATCTGAACCGGCCCGGCAGGAACCGCCGCGCCGCGGACAGCGCGGGCGTTTCCGAGAGCACGGCCGTTCAGACACCTCCGGACGTGACAACACGATCACAGCATGTGTTCAACCCTGGTCAACAGTGTACCCGCGTGAATAATACTTCAACACACAGCTGAGTCTCAGACACACAGACGCACACACACACACACACATGGTTACTTCGCCGTCAGACGGTCACATGTGCGCTCTGACAGGTATACGAGCACAGATGGTTTCAGTGGCACATATTTCTAGCACAGTACAACGGACATCAAATCGAGTTGAAGCAAGGAACAAAACATCACTGCCGACACTAAAATATGACATAATTTACATTACATTATTATTGATAAATCAATATCAAGACAATAAGCTTTGAACTCAATTATTAAGAAGTGGGAGCTGTTATTTCACTTACCTTGACCATCAGAAGAAGTGTGTTTAGAATAATCAAAACCATAATGAAGTATTCGAACGGAGTTGAGACGGCTATCTTCCACATCTTGTATTTGCAACTTTTTCTATCTTTTGGCATGTACCTCTCCAAAGGCCTCGCTTGAATAACAAAGTCTATGCAGGATTTCTGTAACGAGAGGACCATAAATCAGAATAGACTGAAGCCAGCTGCAAGGAGGAAGAATGGGCTACAATGTCCTCAACTTAGCAAAGTGTGTGCCAGGCAAATGATTGGCATAACTGGGCTCAAGCACTTTTTTTTATAAATAAAAGTAACTCGGTAACAGATAACGGGAATTAATCCATCAGTCCCATTGCAAATTCTTGACATTAGGTGTCACTTTTTATGCGAGAAAGGCAGTTTCCCGAACACAATTTACAGGAAATGTGAGGCAAATACGATTGCTTTATAAAAAATATTTTCTAGCGATCTTCACAAGGTATATATCAGTGGTCGGCAGGTCATTCGGGGTCGTGCCCCCTTTTTGGGCGCCAGGCAGAGCCATTACCCCAACCTACCAGACCCCATTGCTGACACAACCAAGTTTACTGAAATTCCATACCGTCCTGGAACTCTTTGGGGATTTGTGCATTTCCAATGCATCAAGTTTAAAACATGACACTTCCTTCACAAAACATTTAATGCCTATATCCCAGTAGCGGCGGAACACCTTCAATTAAGGTGGAGGTGAGGGGGGGGGGGGCACTGCTGACTTTTGGTCCCATTCTTTCCATGCAACGCCCATAGGGCTAATGTTAAAATGCAAAAATCAAAGGGTGCATGGTGCCCCGGTGCCCTCCCCGTTCCGCCGCCTATGCTATATCCCATTTAACCCTTGTACGTATAGGGGCGGCGGGTGGTTTTTCGTTAAAAGCTCACGTAAAAGGCATTGGATCACGACCAAATTGTACCCTCGAGCCCATCATGTTTTTTTTTCTACCAGCCCGGAAAATATCATGACCTGAGACCAGTTTTACCAACAGAAAAATAACCGCCTGCCGGAATTTTTGCCTCAAGACCGCTTCACATACGGAGCGTAAACGCGATGGGCTCGTAAGCGGATAGGGCTGTACCGTTTACGCTCCATATGTGAAACGATCTTTAGGCAAAAATTCCGGCAGGCGGCTATTTTTCTGTTGGTAAAACTGGCCTCTGGACCCATAATGACCGTTGGCTTATGAGCTTTTTCTGGAGATCATCTTGAGCCATAAACTCTCACTTCAAGGAGTTATAGCGGGTCCCGATTTTCTCGACACTTGTCATTGCCCTCTTGAATGAGACGGAATGACCAAGGACCTTAAAAATGGGCAGCACCGGCTTCCTATTGTCATGGGTAGCACGTTCGTCTTTTTCATGCACAGCTCCATATCAGAGTCCGAGAGGCCGCGGGGGTCCGATCGACTCATCCCCCTTACGTTAGCGGCTGTTGAAACGCCAACAGACGGGCGACGGTCAAAAGTTGCAGCTGCTTTTGTACGACTGTACGGAGGGGTGAGATGGTGAGGCGAGCAGGTACGTGAAAATTGGTATCTAATCAATGTGTGCTGACTGCTGTGCCTTTGGCCTGGGCTAATCTTTGAACCCTGGGATGCAACAGTCACGATGGCTCCATCACTGGAGCTACAAACTCTAAAAAGATAGGCTTTCTCAGAATCCCTCATTACCCCCACCGAAAGGGCTACATTACCCCCAAAGGGGGCATGCCCCACCATTTGCCGATCCCTGGTATATATCCTCAAAATAACGTGAGCAAAAAATCGCCACCCGTGTAATTGACGCAGACAAAGCCTGACCGAATCACGCTGGTGACCCACCCCCCTGCACACACACACAGACACACAAATTACCTGGTTTTTGTCCAGCTCGCCGTCCTGCAGTTCGGCCTCGCCCTGCTCTTGAAACGTGATGATGATGAGCGCCACGAAGATGTTGACAAAGAAGAACGGAAAGACAATGAAGTAGACGATGTAGAAGAGCGACATCTCGATCCGGTAGTGCGGCTTCGGACCGTTGTCCTCAGAGGTGGCCGCCATCGAGTTTTGCAACACTCTGCGGCAGGGAGGAGGATAATTGAAACCTACTCCACCAGGCAAACTCATTTAGCCGGACAGTCTCACTTCAGGAAATACTCTAGCCACGGACTAAGCGCATGGCAATAGTGGCAAACTGAGGCGCCACTCAGAATAAATTATAAATTAAACAATCAGTTGCACAGTAATGCCGGTTTCGAGTTCCTTTCACGTTGAAAATCATGAAATCAGAATGTCACGGAGTTCAAATCCTCTAGTTGACAGGTCTGATACAATAATAAATTTAGTTAACTTTTAGCAGTGGCATTTTTTAATATTTCAATAATATCATAGCGCAGTAGTGTCCTGCAGAGGCCGGACGCTTCAGACAGGGGAGGTGAACTCACGTGGGCCACCCCTCTCCGGTCTGGACGGCGAACAGGGTCAGCATGGCCATCATGACGTCATCGTAGTGGAAGTCCTGCTTATTCCACTTCCGCTCGTGCACCTCCGGCGGCTGGTTATCGTCCGTGTACACAAAGTACTCTCCTCTGTTGGTGGGCGCGCACACAGAAGACACACAGGTGGTCAGCGACCAGGTTTTTATGTCAAACCCAAAATATTGGTGTAATTTGTCTAACTCTAAAGTGTCAATGTCAGCATTTTTTTATCAATAGTTTTAAAGCAAATCATAGCATTTTTAAAAGCAACCTTTCTTAGTACTGACGCTATTTCAGGTGAGGTGAAAATACGGATGATGTTGACGAATGACTTTCACTATCATTTGTTGCTTCACCCACAAACTGATATTCATCCGTTCGTTGTTTCAGACAGGCAGCTCTCTCAAGCATTGATTAACAAATATCGATAACTTAAGCTGCAGAACAGTCTTTTGATCTATCTTTAGTAAGAAAGGAAAACATATGGGAGCCTCATAATGAAGCGGCATTTCACTGTCCCTGACTCCGCTTCCGCCACGGCTACTTACTGGCACTCTTGTTCCAACACTTTGCTATTGTCCGTACAGTAGAAGAACTTCCCGTTGAACAGTTGCACTGCTATCACAGCGAAGATAAATTGAAACAGCATATACACTATCAAAATATTGACAACATTCTTCAGCGAGTTGACCACGCAGTCGAACACCGCCTTCAACTTGGGCACGCGCTTGATGGTCTTCAGCGGCCGCAGCACCCGGAGAACTCGCAGGGACTTGATGGTGGAGAGGTTCTGCCCCGTCGAGCTCCCGCTGTAACCGACAGTGACACACCGGTCCAACATCGGACGACACAGGGCGAGCGGCCGGATCAGAGATCAACACAGCACCAGGCAGACTGCGATATAAGCAGCCGGGAACTGACAAACGCACTGGCTGCTTTGAGGCAAATTAATCTAACGAATTATTGACCTTTGCAAGAAAAGCAGACTTTCCTACTTAGAAAATGTAAAAATATATATAAGTTGACCAGTGAACATCTTAAGCTTTGCGTTAATAATGAAAGATTTTCTAGTTTAGCGTGGCAGAGAGCATATCGAAGTTATAAACACTTTCTGAGTTTAAAGTTAAATCCCTATAAATACTTTTCTCGAGCCCAAAAATATCCCCAATACATGTCTGAAGCAAAATTGGCAGGTGTCAGCGGGCCTCTCACACTTGTCATGCAACAATTACTTGCATGCTTGGTGCATGCATTGTTCTTTGTGTGACGCTGTTCAGGCAGAGATGAATTTGAAAAGTGGCCTAACAGATAACAATATCAATTGTCATCTCGATTAATTATAAGGAAGCGAAGCACAATGACATTATATTTAGTACTAGTCATCGAATGCTTTTTGACAATTTAATATTAAAAAGTGACAAAGTATTTACTAGAACTTGGATTTAGCATTAATATTTTCATAATATTGCACATCACTCCCAAAATAAACCAAAGGCATGATTTTATTCAACAAGTGCTGATAAAAAATCATATATCGAAGTGACGATAGTGTGTGCTTCTTTCAGGCCTGATTATCACGGAAATCAAGAAATCAAAATAAAGTAAATAGCAAAAAATATACTTTGGACGGTTGAAATATATCAAGTTTGAAAGCTCTAACAGTCTTGCATTACATAAACAATCCCAAGACAACTCAACAATCATAAATGAAATTATCAGGTTGAAAGCAAGAAAATGAAGCAAAATATGCAATAAGTAGGAGAATAATTCGACCCAATTTTATCACCGCATTTTTTACTGTGCAATCCACACGTTCCAGCAAGCAGGATAAAAGGAAGGCGAATAAGACCCGAAGGAAACTCACCCATGTCCGAATGCTACCAGAGCACATATGACTACGGTGGCATCTAGTATGTTCCACAAATCTCTACAATATGAGCCGGGATGCAAAACTACTCCTAGATCTACCACCTGGAAAACGGCAACGGAGCAGCGTCAGCGGGGGCAGGCGCACAGCGAGGGGTCGGCGGCGGCGGCGGCGTCCCGCCACGCGGCCGGCCGCTCGCAGCTACCATGCTCGACGGACCGACAATGCACGACAAAAACCCACATCGAAACGGTCCAGTGCCCGTTTTAGTGAACATCTTATTCAAACAAAACACCAAACACAAAAGTGTATCAGTGCCTACAGACACACAAAATCCAAATAAAAAGTAAATTAGGAACAAGGAAAAATGTTTGTGACATAAGAGAAAACAAATTTTCTGATTGCTGATGTGTGAAAGAACATACCTATATGAAAAGTGTAACATAAAAAGAGGATAATTTACGTAAAAGGCACTGGTGGAATTTAAACAAAATTTCTATAATCATTTTATGTCTTCTTTATCAAAGCTAACATGGGTATGGTATACTCGCAGGTGCAACTTGATTCTGGATCATAATGTGACCGTCAAAACACACTCTTTGAAGTAGTTATTACTGAAATTTTATGAATTTTAGTTGGCCTGGTGTTAGCAATTTATAAGGTCAAATCTGCAATATGACTAAATGATACGATGATACGACGTAAGGATGGCAAATAAATCTTGCCATTTGGCTTTATGCAAAGACGATAGTTAGCAATGATTCTTTATAGAAAAAGTTGCACCCGTTGCATAGCAACAAGCTAGCAGATTACGCTAGAAAAATGCACAGAAGCCATACAACCGACAGTTCTCATATACTAGAGAAGGTCCTTTGCCGTCTTTCAGTTGTCAGATATTTACAATTTGTCAATTGCATTTCGAACTCAGATTCCTTTATGAAATTACAAACATGAACAAACAGATAATATTTATTTAATTTAGCGATATTGAGGCAGATTAATAATGCAGACCACAAGGGGCCAGGGTACCTGAGACTGAGTGTTGGATATTTTTGGAAACGTGATCAACATAACTGAATATATGGCCGTCTGTGTTTGATCTGACAAGTTTGAGACGACATAGGACGGCCACGGAGGACAGCCATTGGCGCGCGGCCAGCGCAGTACCCGCTACACGCTGCCGACAAGCACAGGCCCAACAGCGAGGATGCAGTGACCCGACAACTGCTGCCCCACCCACTCACGTTTGATTAAAAATGAACGAAAATAAGGCGCATATTACAACTGTAGCGTCCATAACGTTCCACACTTCTCGTAGGTAGGAACCAGGATGGAGAATAAGACCCATATCTATGACCTAAAGGGAAAATCAAAACACATCTAGTTAAGACACGTAAGAGCAGTGGAGCCACCAACCAGAGCACCAGCAGTCTCTCCCAAGCCGATTACTCAACATCATATACAAACAAAGGGACCGACACGCCGCTGGCAAAGCACCCCTGCAGCCGACAGCAGCGGCGGACTGGTAACGACTGGACAGCCAGTGGCCCACTGTCCTACTCTACTGAGTACGTACACAAATACAGTACAGATGCACTCTATCCGTATTTCACACAGGAACATGACAAAGCAAAGCTAAGTTTTTCTGATTAAAGCGAACCTACGCTATGAGCCACATAAGTATATGATACACCGACCAACTGATACATGGCACCATCAAAGTATAGGCTCTGAAAACAGGGAACGGAGGCGCGGACAGCGCTAGCCGCCGGCCGCCGACAGTGCAAAGCTGAGCTGCTGAAACGACAGGCGTCAGGACCGCCGCCACCACCCTCCTACCATAAGGCAAACGCTCATTCATTCATTCATTCATTCATTCATTCATTCATTCATTCATTCATTCATTCAATCAATCAACCAATCAATCAATCAATCAATTAATCATTCAATCAATCATCTCCTTGTATTTAGTGCGTTCATTAAAACTTTTTGACATTTTCGCAGAACTAACCGCAGCAAATATCAACATGATGTAAACGAGCAAATCTTATCACAGACCACTTTAGAAAAGGTCTATGATCCTATAATAATATAGGTCGCAAAAATGCAACGCAAGCAAAACGTTAAGAGCCCGCCCCCCCAAAAAAGGAAACAGTCTATTATTTGATTCAATTGAATGTGTTTTCTAAAAAATTATCGAACTTTTTCTCGTAACCAGAACCTACTCATTCCACTTATTAAACCACAAAATTTAAGTAAAAATCTCCAGCAAATATGCAAAACCTAAGAATAGATTCTTTTTTTTCAATTTACTTAAAAACCTCTTGTCTAGTGTTTAGCTAAAAGGTCGTTAAGTAGCAAAAAATCATACATTTTTACGCTAAAAGGGTGGAATCCAAACTATTCGACATCGACTGCCGTTTCTGCCTTCCGGTGGCGGCCTGTCTACTGGGTTACTGGGCAGGCCTGCCTTCTACAACTCCTACGGGGGCCGGCCCGAAGGGCTGGAGCAGGGACTGCGGTCCCGTCTGGGCTGCAACACGCTGCCTACAGCGCGCGCTGCCTACGGCGCGCGGTGCCTACGGCTAGACGGCCCGCCACTGACGTCAGATCGAGTGTGGCCTGAATGGCGGCGCACACCACCACCAGCGCGTCCATGATGTTCCAGAAGTCGCGCAGGTACGAGCAACGGTGCAGGATGATGCCCTGGTCTACGATCTGTCGGCGGCCGCGCCGCGCCGCGCGAGCAGACGCGCCAGTCAGCGAGACAGAGCGACACAATGGAGCCCACCGGCACCGACACAGTGACACCGACACCGAGACTGACCCTGACACTGACACCAGCACCAGCACTGACACTGACACCACCGCCGATAATGACACTGACACCACCACCCACAGCATTACCAAACACGACTTTTGACACGGTGAAAGTGTGCAAAACAATGGCGCGGGACCCAGGTTATGTAAAACGTACCATGTGATGGGATTCATTTCGAATAAATAGCAAAACAAACGTTTGCACAAACACAACATCTTAGACACGAATATCTGAATAAGCGCAACTCTCAAGCCAATAATTAAATGGCATATCAGTGACAAGTCAATGCAACTGGCGAGTCAGATTCAAACGTCAGCCTTGGTCATGTTCGCTTGTCATTTATATGAGTGTCAGAACGTTCTTTGCTTATGCTGTTTGGTTTAAACTGTCACGGATGAATTTTCAAAACCCAAACTAAGCTATACGCATTGCTATCCTATTTGCGGCATTCGTGATTTGACAATTCCTGGTGGCATCATAAGTCTAAGAGTCGAAACCGTACCTTCGTTACGTCCATTTCATCACACAGTCGACTAGTCAGGTAAAGATCAAATAAGGACCGGGCGCTGGTTTCATACCTTGAGGATCATCTCGACTGTAAAGACGCCCGTAAAGGCATAGTCGAACATGTTGAGGATCTTGTTCCTGTTGCTCTGTTCCACCACGGGGTCCTCCGCCGCCAGAGCGATACTGCTCAGAGAGATGACGAACATGATGAAGAAGTCGAAGTACCGCAGATTGACCACCCAGTGAGCGGCACACCGAATCCTGCAAAATAACTGGCGTTGTAATCACTTGTGGCCCATAAGTGCATGGAGCTGATTGCATCAAATGCAGTTCAGCTGGGGCTCCGGAAACACAGAGTGAAGTTCAGCAGTTTCAGATCCTTGATATGTGGTGCACTATTTTACCCTAATAGATATGGCCGATCTGTTTAACCCGCGCGGGGCTGGGGGGGGGGGTAAATTTTACCCCCCCTCGCGAATTTTTGCGATCTCTCAAAAACGGCGGCGCGCAGCGCCGCCAAACTTTCAGTACCTTTTCTTACATCAATTTGACACGTTCCCTGAAAATTTGAGCGAAATCCGTCGGAAAATTTTTGAGAAATTGACGTTTTAGTGACGTCATGTTCGCCATTTTCGCCTCAAAAACGGCAAAAGTTCAAACGCCGCTAACATCTTCATTTTTAAAGGAATCAAGACGTAACAAAAAAAGGTTATACGTAATTTTACTTTGTCTATCAAATGGCTATCTCGGTTTTTAGAAAATTTTGGATTTTGGCCTAAATTTTTTCAAAAAACTGATTTTTTTTGGGAAAATCAATATAAAATCCAAAATTTTGAGTCTATCGAAAAAAACGGAATATATGTCAGAGAAGTGGTCTATGTGCACCTACATACCAAATTTTAGAAGAATCGGTTCAAAAATGTGGGAGTTATTCAAAATTTTATGACGTCACGACACACAAAATTTTTGAAAAATGACTTTTTTGGAAGTTCTAGACCTCGTACGGAAACAAAAATAGCACCATTCGATTCGCCGTGAAAAACTGCATCAGATAGACACCATTTTAGGCCTTAACAACTAACTTCAAAATTTGACCTCACTTGACCTGACCTTGACCTGACCTCGACCTGAAATTCATCCAGAGGTGGTCCATATCACTTATTGAGTGTGCCTATTGAATTCTATGAGTAAAATGACCCATAAAACATGTGTCGCACATGCCCTTTTCTATATTTTGGTTTTTGGTGACCTGACCTGACCTGACCTGACCTTGACCTTGACCTCTGAATGATATTGTATGCAACGAATATTGTCATGGTAGCCTAAGAACACGTTTTGGGCGATCAGTCTCAGTCCATGACTCCATTCTTCGGCAACTACGGTGCAAGGCCGATACTGTAGAAACTTGCAATTTGTACCCTTGACCTGACCTTGACCTTGACCTCAAACTTTAAATTAAGTACATGTTTCTAGTAGTTCGTGATGAGAGCTTTCGATTGGCGTTTGAATTTTCCAAATCGGACCATTAGTTCGGGAGATAACAGGGGGGTAAAATTTACCCCCCCCCAGCCCCGCGCGTTCGGCTGGAGACCCCAGCCCCGCGCGGGTTAAGCATGAAACAGGTTGGAATGTATGAAACTATAGTAAACTTGTAATTTGAGATAGATTGTACTCGTATATGTGCTTACTTCTTTACATAGTACAGATGGTAGCACAGGACAATTCATCTTATTCAATCCCTGGCACTTCTTTACATAGTAAAGAAGGTAGCACAGGACAATTCATCTTATCCAATCCCTGGCACTCTTCACGCTCGACGCCAGCTGCGTCTGTTTCCACTCACGGGTTGGTCGACGACAGTATGAACATGGACGAGTAGGGCAGCATGGGCTTGGGCCCGGTAGCCTCCTCCTCATCCACTGTGTCGCCCTTCATGGCCTGCAGCGACGGCCGGTTGTCCGAGCTGGAGGGGAGTGCGCACGTTAGAACCAGCGCGGGGACGTGCACGTAAGGACGATTGTCATGGGAGGATATCAGAGCAGCGAGCAGAGCTGAAGACCAGCAGACGAGTGCGCCTCAGAGCGAGCTCAGGGACGTGAAGGAGAGGAGCACAGAGGTTCACCGATGATGGATGACACTTTAGCCCGTGGTTATAGCAAAGGAAAAGTCATACGTTTGTTGAGGTTAACAAGTCCTGGCCCTGGTTTTAACCCAGCATGCAGAAACGAGAATTATTTAAATAGTTGCAGCATTCCCGTGAAATAATGATGCAGTGATGTTTCGCATAATTTACTTAATATTTCAAGCAAACGGTAAACTGAACATTCAATAACATAATAGGGTAACTAAATAATACAAAGTAGGGGAGAGTGGGGTAAGATGCCCAGGGTGGGAAAGACGCCCCACCCCCTCTAGCGGGGAAACAAAGAATCGAACCTGGAAATTAATGTTTTTAGTGTAAAGCAGAAGCCTGCCTTGTTAACTGCACAAAAACTTGCGAAGCTCAGTTGGGCAACGGCTGGCTGGTGATTGCATGTTTTTTATTTGCTGCTTTCAAAAAATATTTTGGCGTCAAAACATTGTAAATATAAAAAAGGTCGATAATTTTTGCGTCCCTTGCTATAGTCGTGATACATTAACATGCATGTACTGTGTCCCAAACAGTTTGTTTCAGGGTGTAGTTTTATGGCTAACAAATTGTGCTGATTTAATGTTACTTCGGTACCTTGGGGTAAGATGCCCCCTGTACTGATGGGGAAAGACGCCCCCCTAAATCCGTAGGCTGTCCTTCAAGCAGCCCGTCAAATCATTTATTACATACTTGTGATGAGAGGCAAAAGCCGATCTGGGACTATTGAGAGTCCGGTACGGTCGGGTGCTCCCCATGCCGGTCTCTCGGCCCACACAGCGACTTTTTGGGCGGCATCTGACTCTGAGAGCCCTCACGACGGCCTCTGTGGGCCCCATTATTGGTTCTAGGGCCCCTCACGACATCCTTTGAGGGCTCCCACGTTGGCTCCACGGGCCGCGCTGGCATCTGAGGTCCCCACGATGGGCTCGAGGGACCTCAAGCATCATGAAGACCTATAAGGGCCCCACAGTGGTCTCCGAACGCCACCACGGAGGCTTGTTTGGCCACGCTGGACTATGATGGCCCTAACGATGACCTCTGAAGCCCCTTACGACTACTTTTGAGGGCCCTTACGATGACGTTTGGTGTCTACTGCAGGCTCGAAGGGACTACTGATTCGTTCAGGCGATTCACGTGCCTATTTATGTCACTTTTAGTGCAGGGGGCATCTTACCCAGCGCCAGGGGGCGTCTTTTCCACCCTGTTGGGTAAGATGCCCCCTTTCACTTCTTCAGGAAAATGCTTAATAGCAAAAAAAGTTATCATATTTCAGGCACGAAAGTGTGATATTTTTGGAGAAAAATGATGTCGGCTTCCGTTGAAACTCCAAGTTTTGGCTTTCCGATCGTCATTTTCGAATAATATATGACATAGTCAAACCCTGGGCATCTTTCCCCACTCTCCCCTACCATGACAACTACCTATACAAAGCACTGAAGCCTGCCAGTGTCCTAGAACACCCTACCTGTGGTTGCGGACGGGCGCGTGCGGTGACGGAGGACAGATCTCCACGGTCGGAGCTCCGTCCGCCACGTGCAGCGCTCCAATCTCCTTCTCCAGCTCAGCAGCCATTTTCTGACGGAGCATACAGACGAGTCATAGTCAGTCCGAAACAAAACAGCCGTTCTAAGCGCCCTGAATGAATCGTCAAAGCCTAACAACCAAACTAACCAGTTATTAGTCAATGATGTTCGCTTCCTACAAAGCATTTGAGGCTATGTTTTATTTTACTGTCAGTCTACCTTCCTTAAGTTTTCATCTCTTTCTCTCCCTCTCCCTTTCTCTCTGTCTTTTACTCTGTCTGGACCTCTCCCTCTCATTTCCTTCCCTCTCCCTTTCCGTTTTCCTCCCTCTCCTTATTCCCGTTCCTTCCTTCCCCTCTCCCTCTCCCCTCCCCTCTCCCATCCCCTCTCCATTTCCCTCTCTCTCTCTCTCTCTCTCTCTCTCTCTCTCTCTCTCTCTCTCTCTCTCTCTCTCTCCCTCCCTTCCCTCTCTTGCTGACCTCCTTGTCCTCCTCCTCCTGTTCCTCCTCTGCCGCGGTGAGCTCCTGCGCGTTGGCCAGGTTGTCCACGGCGATAGCAAGGAACACGTTCAGCAGAGTGTAGTTGCCGAACACCACCAGCACGATGAAGTACAGGCAGTAGATCATGCCTCCGTTGTCGTGGCCGCCCTGCGACTTGATGCCGTTGTACATGACCTCGTTCCAGTCCTCTCCAGTCAGAATCTGACGGAACGGAACACAGGTTGGAAAATTTGGGACACAATATGGACGGTGGCAGTTCGTCGTAAGACAAGTGCCTTATAAAGTTCCATTTTCTCGCAAATGATACACCATAGAGTGGCTCTTTCATACTAATGATGATGAGATGCTGGTAATGTCATGCATATAAAATGCTGAATTATTATTATTTTTTTTGACGACAGGCGAGTGAGAGCAACGAGCTCACCTGGAACACGGTAAGCAGCGCCACGGCGAAGCTGTTGAAGTTGGCCGGCGGTGTGCCGTCCTTGAAGTTCCACTCTCCTCCGAACAGCTGCATACCGAGCAGAGCAAAGATGAGAATGAAGAGGAAGAGCAGGAACAACAGCGATATGATGGAGCGCATCGAGCTGAGCAGAGAGATCACCAGGTTCCGCAGGGACGACCAGTACCTGAGGAACACAGCGGCTCAGAAGGGTCACAGGAACAGGCTCCGCACGGACGACCAGTACGTGAGTAGAACAGCGATTCAGACGGGTCACAGGACCAGGAAACGGGCCCTGTTCATGAACGGGGATCGAACAGGCTAGCATATTTAATGACTCAGTGACCATTAGAATGCTGTTTTTTTGTGTACGATACCAAACTACAACGATACCTACAGCAGGGTATCAAATAACTAATAACTAGTTATGTACTTAGCACACAACCGTTATAAGTACACCATCAAACGTCAACCCTAAACATTTTCAACTAGTGCCTTCAGTGAGCTCACGTGGTGACTTTGAAGATGCGCAGCAGACGAAGGGCTCGTAACACGGAGAGGCCGAACGAGGATTCTGGTTTGATGGTGGACCAGACGACCTCGAAGATGGAGCCGGAGATGACGACGCAGTCGAACCGGTTGAAGGCTGACTCGAAGTAGATGCGCGGCCCCAGCGCGTACATCTTGATCAGCATCTCCGATATGAACAGACCGAGGAACACAAACTCGGTATAATCTGCAGCAGATAACGGGAGAGATAAGTAACAGGCAGGTCAAAGAAATAATGCATCAGTAGGTGAATATAAGGGTATTATAAGGTGCGCTGACATAATAAAGAAACAGCTTGGCAGCAGGAGGAGCAAGGAAGGGTGTGTAGGTAAGCGATGGTACGAAAGCGGCAGCAAAACAATTACGCTTACTTTTGCTTCTTTCAGCTCCTATGTCAGGAGTAATACACTACTCAATGGGGCACAGTTCATCATGAGATATACCACTTAACGCCGCTCAAAGAGCAAGACGCCACTTCCCTATGATTTCAAGGTCGCCATGGCTCGCTAGCTTTCCGCTCAGTGGCTGTGAAGCGGAGCTGTGATCTCTCGTCGGAGAGCGGTACTCACAGAGGAACTGGGCGAGCCAGTCGGGCTGGTTGTAGTGCTCCACCGCCACACACACCGTGTTCAGAAACACCAGCACAATCACGAACCAGTAGAAAAACTGCGTCTTCACCGCCTTCCGAATCGCAAACCTGAAGGACGATACGAAATCAGATAAGACTGTTTTAGCTGGGCATACGATTGCAAGTAAAAGTGAAGGAAAATGAAGTGAAGAAAAGTGGCACAAAATATGCGTACGATCTCATGCAAACAAAATTTCATTATTTGGGAAACATACTAACAAATGAGTTTATATAGGTTATATGCATACCGAAATGTCTTTTCCGCGCGCCAGAACCCCGCGCAGGCTCCTTGGTTCTTTATTTTTGATTTGAGGTACGACGCCTTGGCTAAACCTGTCGGAAAGTCGGATTGTCAGCAGTCACAGACTGTGACATCAGACACATCAGACACACTGCTAGACACCACTGTCGAGCGTCACAGGTCAGGTCTGACAGACGATATTAGGGGAGAGCGGCGACAGCTCAATTTTCACTGCACCGCACTAGTGGGCGTTACTTGTAATGTCGGTAAGGTCAATGTCAACTTGACACTCCTGGCCACCGACAGCAGAAAATAGCACAGTGAAGTTAAAGGACAACATTCACGGGTAAGTACTAATAATCGATGACACAGGCGCCTACATAGACGGCACTGCGTCAGCGGCCAGCCCGGTCAGGGGGCGCGGGGGCGGGGGGGGGGGCGCTGAGGGGGCAGCCGCGCCGGCCTCTCAGCTGGGCGGCACTCCTGTCTACACTATGTATAGTCAGCTGCCGCTACTGCTGCCTGGTGGTCTACCAAAGTCGCAGCGACGCCGACTCGAACTGGTCCAGACCACGGCATACACGACAAGCAAATGCAGATCGACAAGTACGGTCTCTACACTGCTATTCGGTCTGCAGAGAGAAAGTTGTTCTCGATTTTAAGAAAAAGCTATTGCAGAGCTCCGATTGATTACTCCTTTCGAAAAAAAATGGAGATTATGAAAAAGTGGCGCCATATATAAAACGCAGCATGAGACGTGATCTGCTTTCGTCATGTGAAGTAAGTTGCCTAGCTTGGGAAGTACATTAGTATTTTAAGATCGCTCAAAGTCGAGGCTCCGATTTTTTTCTTTTTTTTAGCACGGGTGAAAACACGTCACAGACAGAACTAGCTCGCTAATCTAACTAAAGTTGATGCTGCTAAATGATGAACTGGAAGGGTATAGCACCTCCGCTAGACGGGACTATAGGCATTACTTCGAATCTACATAGTGCACACAACACAACAGCAGTTTTGCTCGCGACAAAACTGTTCGACAGCATATCAATCACTACTCTACTGCGACTATCAGTTTACCTGACTTCTTTTTAGGCATATATAAGGCTGAAGAAACACGTACAAAATATGTCAACACTTGTATGAGCTGCACTTACTACAACATGTGTGTGGTTAGTTCGATGCATAGGTGGTACATACAAGGTATGTGGAGCTCAGCCTATGAAGACATTTGCAAGATGTTATGTACCGCTATATTCATGATCCTTCGCACAGTCTTGACTTTTTCAATATATTCCAATATCTATGGAATATGTTGAGGGCAAATAAATGCATCACGATGTGTTAATCTTACCACATTATGTAGTTGTTGCCATTACCTGTTAAAACTCAGTTACATTTGAAAAGGTTCAACAGGGAATACCATTGGTAAAAACTTCATCCTCAAGCAAACTGCTTTGCGGATCTGACATGTTTTATAAGGAATTAATGATAGGTGAAGGAGAGAGTCAGCTGAGGCTTACCATCTTCTTCCCCGTCATTGTCTTCCTCCTCCGTGTCGGTGCTCTTGCTCTTGCCCAGGTTTTTCAACTTCTTCCTTTTCGCTGCCGCTTTTCTCCTCGCTGTGAGTAAAGAAACGCCATTGAGTCATACAATACTGTCATCTCCGAGAATCTATAAGATCGACTATTGGATGTGATATCCGCAATCGAACTCTCTGGGCTGGAGTATTTGGCTATCAATTCTGCTAAGTACCATGCGCTTGGACTTTTTTAGCATCTCACAACTTGAAACTCCAGCTTACCCTCCATGATGTGCATTTTCTCCTCTTCAGTTGTCCTTTCTTCCGCTAATATCACTTCCTCTGTAAGAAGCCATACGAGGGTCAGTGTGTAGTTAGTACAGTGTAAACGGGAAAACACACGGGTATAATTTTGCATCTATATGTCAAAGAGATAATTCAACCAGCGAGAGATATTGTGCGGTTCATTTTACAAACAGCTGAGATGTACAAAGAGTTTATTCCTTGTTTTAAGCTAACATATCTTAATTCGTTTACGTGCACCGTTAAAAACACGTAGCTAACAGTTTACAAATACGTAAGTCAACAGAAGCATAAGAGTGATCAGCTGCTTGCCTTTAGCATTTTGTGAGCGAGGAAGACTATCTCTAAAACGGCGCAGTCTGAGACAGATAATATCAGCCGAAGCGTGCATAGCCTTGGAAATGGTGTAACTTGGAAAAGCAAAGGAATGAAGCTTGTCAAGCAAAGCCAACACCGATTTCATGAACAGAAAAGGGACAGAGAATATCAGAAAAATCATACCCAGTGATGTCAAAAACTCTATGACCTAGGAAAACGGATCTTTAAACGAGTAAGCACTGCGATATCTTTGGTTCGAAACAGAGCTATTTGAAAGCAGTACTTAAGTTTGTCTAAACACATTCCTGTTTCACATTCATTAGGCGTAACAAAATACTAACACGTGTTTGTGATGGTCTATCCATCACGAAGCTCACTGAAAGTAATAAATCGAGCCAGCATCTCTGCCAGGAGCTTTGGCTATCAAAAAGCCGTGAAATAAGCAGCACCCTCGTGCCTTAGCATATAGGCGGTGTCACATGAGCCATTTCGATAAATGATGACAGTCACCTGAGAGCCGACACACCGCAATTCACATGCGACATGCGCGACCATTCAAACGTCATGCCCCCGTGCACACAAAACATAAAACGAACACGTGGAACGCTACGAACCTGCTTTACAAATCCACTCAACATAACCATTCAGTTCTCGTTCTAACTGCTGCTGCCGTCTAAGTTTCAAAAAGGCTTGTCTATTTTCTACCCGCTCTCTCTCCTTGGCAAACTCACTGAAAGCAGTCGGAATCAGTCAATGTGCGGGACAGACGACAGTCACACCACGGCACATTCTCACCGCAGCGCGCGCTCACCCAGTTAGATGCTCTCTCTCACCGGGGAATGCTACGCCTACTGAGTGCCGAGCTGTGGTGTTGGTGTTTGTATCGGTACGGTACGGTACACGAGTCGACTGTGTTTGTGTGGGGCAGCATCCGCACCCTCCCCCGGTGACCTAGCCGACCCAGTGACGTCACCGGTATTCAGATGATGACGTCACTGGTGGCCGTTTGAGCCGCGGTCGGTCGCCGGGGAGGGGCGCAGCAGCTGACTGGCACGGACGGCACAGAGCGGCGGCCAGTGCCGAGATATACGCTACGGACCGGGCTGAGCTACGGCACCAGACAGACAGTTCAGGCCGGGCGCCGCCGACACCGTCATCACCTGCTTTACAGATCCAGTCGCAGTAACCGGTAAACGCCTCGGCTACCAGCTTTCGCTCGCGCATCTTTCGGAACTGCTCTTTCCTCTCAACCCGAACCCTCTCGTTGGAAAACTCACTGGTGGATTAAACATCGGTTACACAACACGGTCTAGAGGGAAAATAAACAATAATGGTTTTGTATAAAACTTAACTCCGTGGAGTGAATATCTGAAAAGAGCACAATATTCACATATTCACATATGTGAATTTATGGCACATCTGTTCCTAAGCGAGGCAGTCGACTGGTCTTAAAACTCATCAAACATCCTTACCCCAGCCAAACCCCCTACCTCTACCCCTGCTGTCTCTACCCCATCCCTCGCTCTGTCGAGAACCCCGCGGGCACGGCGCGGCGGTCGGGCAAGAAATCAGCCGGGGGCACGCGCTCGGCCGGCGTCGTCTATTCTTGGCTGCAGTGCCGGCACCGGTTCTGGGCCGCGCCGGGCCGGCGGCCGGCCGCGTCTGATCGATGTGCGACCGGTGGCGCCATTGAAGCCCGCCCGCGACACTGGCAGTGCCGGAGGGGCCATCGGGGGAGGGGGGGGGTCCACCCCCGCTGACGTCGACCACAAGACCCGTCTGAGCCGACCCAGCCCGCGTCCATCGGACCGCATTAGAGCGCATACCGCGAGCGGCCAACAGAGCCAGCCAATCGGCGACCAGCATCCGCGGTCAGCTGGTCGCTGATTGGCTGCCGTTTCCCGGGCGGTTTCCGCCGGCGAGAAATGGTACTTACCCACTCAGCACGCCCAGAACCAAATTGAGCATAAAAAACGAGCCCAGTATGATCAGAGGCACGAAGTAGATAACGTTGAACTTGCTTCCAATGGCGTCATTGGTCTGGAACGAAAACAATCGGAGATTAACCCGCGCACCGACGGGGGGGGGGGGCGGATATCCGCCCCCCCCTGAGGTTTTTCGCGGATAGCGGGAAAACCGCGGCGCGTAGCGCCGCGAAATTTGGTATGACTATTCTCTCATCAATTTTACACATGGTGTGCAAGTTTGAACCTCCTAACTTTTAAGGTCAGGTCACCAGGTCACTTTGAATGACCCAACCTCAAGTCACTTTTTTGCAACTTTGTCACCGTGCCAGAGCTACAGTAGATGTCGGAGGCCTTTGAAAGTCGCAGGATGTTATTAGGTCATTAGTAGCTACAATTTGTATATCTCGGAATTTTGATGTCGGTGACCTAAGGTCAGGTCAATTTCGCGACCTCCCCATTATAAGTCAATGGGGGAAAAATCAACTCCCTGTTTTTACCACTAAAACGGGTCGGAATGGCCCCATATACCATACATGACTTCACATACGATCAACCTTCACTACCTTGAGGTCTGTTTTGCTGTTGGGCAGCTGTAAGGTCATGTGACGTCATCAAAGGTCACCAAAGGTTTTTTGCCAATAACTCCTTACAGGAACAAGATACAGCCGCGCGGATGGTCTCATTGTGTTCAGCTCGTCAAGACGCATCGAATGATATACATGATGACCTCGAGGTCACGTGACCTGAGGTCAACCTTTGACCTTGATCTTTCGAGGTCAACATATATATCATTCGATGCGAATTGACGAGAGGATCACGATGATGCCCTTAGTTTGTTCCTATCTTGACTACTTCGAAAGTTATTCGAGAAAAACCCTCTCCATATCTAGCGCCGCCATTTTGACTTTTTCGACCCCTGTGACGTCATCTTTGACCTGACCTGAAAATGACCTTAGTAAAAATTGTAGACCTTGTCCGTGCGTATCCGATGCCGTTTACCGCTTGTCGCTATCTTGCTTCGTTCTCGAGATCTCAGGGGGGGGCGGTCATCCGCCCCCCCCCCGTCGGTACTAAGTTGGCGCAGACCCCCGTCGGTGCGCGGGTTAAAAAAGCATCAATAAATTGATTCGCATCTTGTCGACTTGACGGTGCTTTCGTAAAATCAGACGATGCTTTGTGAGACGTAATGCAGGCTAAATGTTTGCTGCATGTTTGTAGTATGAGCTTTAGTGGATTGTATGACGTTTTCCATTGAGGAATAGGTGTGGTTAACCCACGAGCCGCTGGGGGGGGGGGGGGGGCATAAAGTTGCCCCCCTTTACGTTTTGTGGAATATCTCCGAAACCTGATGAGCTACGAACGTGAAACTTGGCATAGCTTCAAATGAATACCTAATCAATGTTTGAAGAAAGTTTGGTGGTTTTAGCACCTAAGATGACGTCACAGTGACGTCATAAAGTTTTGTCATTTTCCGATATGGACCGTTTCTGATGACGCTGAGCATGAAACTCAACTGTAAATGAACTAGACAGCACCTGTTGTCATCCTAAAGCATCTAAGTACACTTCCATCTAGTTCCTAACCAATAATCAGCCCTTTATATTCGGTCCCGTATATCTGATGTATCGTGAGGAAACTGAGAGTCGCAAATCTATAATTTAACTTATGACGTCACTGTGACGTCATTTCAAATGGGATCGACACCAAATTTGGACACAACCTCGGCTAGGTATTCAAGAAGATGTGTGCAAAGTTTCGCTTCTCTATCTCTTCGCGTTGCGACGATATCGCCGCGGAAGTAAAGGGGGGGGGCAACTATATGCCCCCCCCCAGCGGCCGGCGGGTGGCGCGGAGGCCCAGCGGCCGCCGGGTTAAAATGGATATGCTACATACATTATGTATATTCCCCACTCACCCAATAGAGTATGGACGTCCACCCCCACTCACCCAGTAGAGTATGGACGTCCACCCCCACTCACCCAGTAGAGTATGGACGTCCACCCCCACTCACCCAGTAGAGTATGGACGTCCAGCCCTCCATGGTGATGCACTGGAACACGGTGAGCATGGCGAAGCCGATGTTGTCGAACGAGGTGATGCCATAGTTGGGGCCCACCCAGCCCTCCAGACACATTGACACCGATTCGTTACACCGGTAGCCCCCTGTCGGAGAGGGGCGGGACGGTCATCCACTGCAGACGCTGCTAAAACCGACGGGAGTCGCGCGGCACTGAGGGAATCCGCAGCGGGCAGACACTCACTCACAAGGACCGAGAAACGCACATTGATAACCGTGGACATCGCTAGTGGAGAAAGTTCATGTTGGTGGAGAGTGGAGACGTCTGGTATACTTCATAGTACACGATAATCATGGCAGCTAGGTATTACCGGGCCTTACGTTATTCAGTCTACAAATAAATGATAAAAAATTGAGTTCTTATAGGTACAGCTCCTTCAACGAATGCGTATAAAGATGCCACGCACGGTCAAAATAGCTTCATTTTGGGATCTCGCTTTGATGCACCAACAGCAGATGTGGTATGTGTGGTGATTGGAAAAATGACGGTCATTCAACACTTACCCCATGCATTGGACATATCACAAGGAGTTGGCGAGTCCCCCTCCGTCTTAAATTTACCTGAAAACGGGACACAATCATCAGCGTGAGTCTAATCAATACAATGAGCCACTTGAATTTGATCAAGTTGAGAGTCAAGAGGTTAGTATGATGCAAACAAAACATTCCCCTCTTGTGAACATATAGAGGTTCTTAGCAGTTTTTGCCTATAATTAGTTCCATATCTATATGCATGTGATTTTCATTGTTTTTACCGTAGCACATCTGACTCACTGAAATCCTTCAAATCATAGCAGGTCTTGTGAAGCGCGCCAAAGTAGAACTCCAGCCCGATGATGGCGAATATGACGATGGCGAACAACACCAGCATGCCGATTTGTAACAAAGGCGCCATCGCCTTGATGATGGACTTCAGCACCACCTGAAGACCTGGGAACAGCGTATAGAGCGTTCAGTGTGCGTCAAACAGACGGAATACATACACGTTACCCTGCCGCTGGGGCTTGCTAGAGACAGTCTGCAGTGCAAATATGTCCTACAACTATTGATTGCGTTATGTTTTACGTGTTTTGCGTAGACTAATTATATAAATACACAGGCACAAACTGCCACCTTATTGAAACAAATCTTACTTTTTCGATAAATTATGGCGACACCGTAGCAAAACTAACCCAAGCTATTTGGCCCTATATGCTCCTTACGCACATCCAGACTAAATAATGACTAACATGAAGTATTCTAAGCTCTTGTCTAACATCAGAAGCGTTTGCAAAGATATGCAATGTTTTTGCTAATAAATTCAGATCCATGGGACTGGCTCATCACAGTTTTTCGCCATGCTTTAAAAATCATCAGCAGAGAATCTCGAAACGCATTTGTTTTTATGCGTTCAAACGCGTGCGGGCGCCAGCGCACATAAGCGGTATTCATCAAATTGTCATAGCAACCTGCCACCAACAGCGCCAGCGGCGGCGGCGGCAGCGGCAGCGGCGGCGCCGTACCAGCTATATTGATCGCCGGACTGGGCGGTCGCTCGCTCAGCTGGCCGGCAGCGGTCGGCCGCCCCGGGCCATCCCCCCCCCCACTGACCCCCCCCCCCCCCGGGAGACTGTCAACCGGCTGACCGGAGGCACTCGAACCCACCAGCGGCAGAGGCGTGAAGGGGCATCGGAATGAATTAGACGTGCTGGTTTCTGTCGTTACTCTGCTAGGCAGATGGACACTTACAGCCCTATTGTGATTCATTCTCTGTGTTTCAAAATGCTGCAGGTGTTTTGAATTATATTGAATATGTTTGCATAATGGGTGCAAGAAAGGTGGAAAAGTGAGCCTTTCGCTTCATTAACTGAAACTTATCAAACGAGATGTAGCAGTGCCTGATCCGACATTGAACACAAACAATCTGCATCGTCCAAAACATTTTGAATTAAATTCTGCCATCTCCGGAGTTGTAATGAAAACTGATGAGTTTGAGTTTGGTTTGCTGACTAAAATGTTAGTATATCATACCTGAATCATGCCAACTCTGCCGCTGCCTCTTTCTTTCCTGAATAGTGAATTCCTAAGAGTTGAACTGGTTTCCCCAAGTTAGATACTATTAGGTGCACTATAGATGACCCTCGGCGAGTGCAGGCTCGGTGCAGCGAGGCGTGCCCTTCCTAGGCTGTTGTCCAGGCGGCCCAGGCGCTATAAGAGCCCGGACTCGCCGACTTGACCTACCTCTGAGAGCAGTGCTGCCGGGTCCGACAGAAGACGTCCCCCGGCAGGTCACACACGGGTCACGGACCATCTGACTGACCGGGGAGAACACGGGTAACACTACGGGGTCACTGGGCCAGCTACTTACTAGGAATTCCGTTCACTAGCTTAAGCGGTCGCAGGACACGAATGGCCCTGAGCGTCCTGAAGTCGACACCGGCCGTGAGTCTCTCATCTGCTAGTATTGTGACCAGTCTGAAAGCAGAGGGGTCGCTAGTCACCCTAGTGGCCGCTAACACTGCCGGACTCCACGGGGACTAGAAGATCGGCTAGGCCTAGGCGCTATATGGTGTCTAGGTCTGGCGCTAAAAATATCCGGCGCTATAGTAAGGCTGAAAACTAGAATAAAGTCAGGGTCTAAAATGTGTCAGTCTCGTTGTTGCATACCTTCTTACAGCTCGAGCAGCTGCAAGCCTCTTGCAGGTAAAATCCTTGGTCAGTCAGTTGTGATAAAGCTCAACATTTCACTTTTCCTCCAAGTTGTCGACGTTCATGAAAGCCCCGAATGCCAAAATTGTCCTATTCAAGCACCCTTTTACGTGTTTTTATCTAACCATCACTTTACAATGCATTATATTTTTGTGGTACGTACCATCATACCAATCGCATGATATGTTTCAAGTTTTACGAGATATTAGCGATCGGTCGACATTATTTTTTTCAATGTCGTTTTTTAGAATTTGTGATTCAGGCTCCACTCGAAATCCGAGAACATCCGCTGCTTATGATAACTTCTGTTTTTTTTTTTATCTTTCGTGGTGCCCCTTTTCTACCGAGACTAGATAATGGAACCATGTTTTCTTTATCGTGCCTCTGCTCCTTGCACTTAATGCAACGATAAATGATTTCCTGCTGCCTCTCCAAGTCTTCCATCTCTCCTACAAAGACGACCCCAGCCTATTTTGACAAAAATACGAAGCAAAATCATGGCATAAATAGCTCAAAATCAGTATGCGTTGTTTTAATGCGATCAGAGCATGCTCGATGAAAAGTTAATAATGAATTGTTGATATAAAAGTAAGTTATGGCACAGAAAATGTTGAAATATTGAGACGGAAATAATAATATAGGAAACTTACCAATCGTGTATATTATGGGGGTAGTATTTTATTCAGTTTTGATACGTCAACAAATTGCGCACATAGGTATTGCCTATCATAAACTTTGCAGCGCAGAGCTAACACACATTCAACTCCCTTTCTATTCTATGCTCTATCAGCTATCATTTTGCACCTGGTTCACTAAAATTACAGTAAGCATTATGAGGCCCTAAAATGGAGGGATCTAGAACATTACCACTGGCTTGCTGGGTCTGATTATGGCTGGGTACCTATAGCTAAGTGCTGGTATCGTTGGAAGCAGCTATCTGACGTGGCTATCCCTACAGGCTATCCTAGTGCCGTCACCTCAGACACTTACTAGGCACCCGTGACACGAGCTTTAAAGGCCTCAGCACCCGGAACGAGCGCAGCATACGAAAGTCTACTTCAATCCGATTTTCCACGAACATGGTCACGGTGCTGCCGGTCAGGGGCGGACCACGGGCCGCGGTCAGAACGGGCGCGGCACTCCCCGCGCGCTCCCCACCCCGCAGCGGTCAGATCGTACACGTGCACGTGCAACTGGCACGAGACCGGTTGGCACGAGGCGGCCGGCGGTGCATGCAGCACGTGCAGCCAGCTGCAGCCGGGCCGGGAGGCTGGAGCCAGCCTCCCGATCGCCCGTTTGCTCTCTCGCTCTGCGCCTGGCTCTTTGGCCCTCATGAGCGGGTCTGTGGCCGGTCGAGTGCGCACTCACTTGGCACCCGAGAGACCAGTTTTAGCGGGCGCAGCACACGGAATGAGCGCAGCATCCGCAGGTCAACGTGGATGGCCTCCGACATAACCAGCGTTATCAGGCTGCCAGTGGGGCGCGGGGCGACACAGGTTACCTCTCATAGTGGCAAAACAATCACCAGCCCCTGCCCCCGCACTACAGGTGCCTAAAGGGGCAACATGGTTACCATGGGGCACCTCGCAAAGGCGCGACACAGTTATCAACGGGGAACCTAAATTTATCAAAGCATAAAACCCCTCCCATAGGATGAATCGGTTACCAACCGATACAGCACACCCCTTCCCGCCACTCCCCTCCCCTTCCCATCCAGTGCATGGGGTGGAGTGCATAGCATTTCAGACCGTCGCTAGTGTCGCACCCAAGTCATGAAATGTTGCAAATACACATAACAATCATATTCGTTATTGCACAATAGCCGAAAAAAAAACATAACAAATAAAATAAAGCAATCAAATATGACATGGTTTCAGAAAACATTGCATAAGACAGATTCCTTGGGTCTAAAAATAGCATGAAATAAAATTATTTTGGATGGCAATATTCGTTGGTTCAACAAAAAGATCAAAACACGCTAACTCATAAATAAATGAAGACGCCGGAAGGAAAATGTACAAAATATATTATGATTAGCGTTACTTATTTCTTTTAGATCATGACATGTGAGAATCGTATAACATTTAATCTATTCATGATGCTCACTTAACCCGCGACCTGGTGGGGGGGGGGGGGGGGCTATTTTTTGCCTCCCCTCCAGACTTTTCAATATATCTCCAGAACCGCTGCGCCGATCGTCACGAAACTTCCAGTAGGGGAGAGTGGGGTAATTTGGCCGGTGGTGTAAATTGGCCGCCCCCACCTGTACGAAAGCTGATAAAAGTGAATGAAATAACTTTAGTCTCTATTCATTTGTCATCGGCAGAACTAACTCGAGAACAAATGTCAAAGCTTTCCCCCTCTTAGTTTTATTCAAAATTGACAAAAGGTGAATTACGTTAGAAAATGGTAACTTTTACTTCCGTTTAAGAATTTGTATAACATGTAGTATTTGGGCTGTAAACGAATTCCAACATTATAGCGCCATTTTTGAGGATGTTCAGTGGTTCCAAGAGCAATTTCATCTAGTTCTGTACAGCCATGACGACTTTATAGACAAAAATTTTCAGAATGGCAACGTGGGGTTATTTGGCCGGGACTAGCGGGGCAACTTGGCCGGTGCGCTCAGAGTCACTATGCTGGGACGGCCGAGTTGTCATGGTCAATTATACCATAACGGACATAATTCATGACCAACTTTGACTACCTTGATGCCATATTTCCTATTGGACAGCTGTAAGGGCATGTGACGTCATCAAAGGTTACCTAACGCTTTTTTTGCTAATAAAAACTTACAGAAAAAAGATACAGCCGCGCAAGTGGTCTCATTGTGTTCAGCTCGTCAAGGCGCATCGAATAATATACATGATGACCTTGAACTCACGTAACCTTGAGGTCAAGCGACCTGAGGTAACGTGACCTGAAGCCAACCTTGACCTTGATCTTGACCTTGACCTTTCGAGGTCAACACATACATGTTTCTATGCGGAATGAGGAGAGAATTACGATGGTACTTTTAGTTTTGGCCTAACTTGATTACTTCAAAAGTTATTCGTAAAAAACTGTCATCGCATCTAGAGCCGCTATTTTGACTATTTTCGACCCCTGTGACGGCTGAGTCAACCTCCAAAATGCTTCAAATGCGTCGTAGGACACGCGTCGTTGCTGAATGTGAAGCTGACTCGCCTATAACCAAAACCATGGCCTTAACCTAACACCGGCCAAATTGCCCCACACCCCCGGCCAAATAACCCTGCTAGTGGGGCAATTTGGCCGCTTTGCAGACCTTTGTAATACGCCACAATTTCAATATAAGTAGTGACTCAATCATTTCAAGTTTACTATCCAAGAAAGTAAAATGTATGCCACACCTGTCAGCGTTGAGAAAATGCAGAAATGTGTTGTCGATTTTTAGTTACATCGTTTTCTAAAAAAAGCGGCCAAATTACCCCACTCTCCCCTACCCTCCCGGACATCAATTTTACACATTGTGACCAAAAATTTTTCCAAAGGCTATGATAGGTTGGCCGGAAATGACGTCAGAGTGACGTCATGTTCTGCCGTTTTCGACCCAAAAAAGGGTTTCGCGGGAAGAGCTGTCAGGCCTATAGCTTTGCAAATACAGAAAAATGATAAAGACATAAAAGCTGTAGATTGGACAGGGCTACAAAACTGTTATCTCGGATTTTTGAAATTTTTGGATTTTGACCCCTAAAAATCAAAAAATAGATTTTTCGGATATAATAATCAAAAAATCCAAAAAGTTTTTTGAATTTCGCAAAAACCGGAATATATGTGATAGTCCTTACCGCCTTCCATCCACATACCAAATTTGAGATTGATACCTCTTTTTTTTGGCGAAGTTATAGCGAAAAAAACTGTTCAAAATTGATGACGTCAAATTTTCATACTCAATTTTTAGCAATTCTAGACCCCGTAGCGCAAAACAAAGACCACCATTAGACTCCCCGTGACGAGCTGCATCGAATCAATACCCATTTTATGCAAAAATATCAACTTTAAAATTTGACCTTTTTTGGCCTGACCTTGACCTGACCTTGACCTGAACTTCACCAGAAAGTGACCTAAGCCGTACCTGATAGTCTTATAACCAACACCATTGAGTTGGAAATGAAAAATTGGCCATAAAACATGTATCACACAACCTTAGTAAAGTTGGGCTCATGTGACCTGACCTGTGACCCTTGGTGACCTGACCTGTGACCTGACCTGGTATTGCCAGTGACCTCTAATAGCAACATATCTACTAGGCAACTGACGCCCTACCGCTGATTCTCGACAAAATGCGTTTTCCTCGGTGTTATAGCGCATTCCCTAGAAGCCCCGTGAACGGTGAAACATTTCATCTTTGACCTGACCTGTGACGTCATCGGTGACCCCGAGGTCAATGAAATTTGGTTTCCTTCGACAAATTTGACAGGCCTTTCGAACGCCGTTTGAATTTTGCGGATCCGTCCAGTAGTTTCGGAGATACGAGGGGGGGGGGCAAAAAATAGCCCCCCCACCAGGTCGCGTTATAAACAGACCCCACCAGGGCGCGGGTTAACATCACACTTATTGCACATCGACTAATTATACACATGTGCAGCTTTAAAAAGGTATGCATCTTATGACTACAATTTAGTTTTCTTATGACATAAGTTCGATCCAATGAATGTAGGTGCCTGTTGCGTGTTAGTTACAGCGTGAGGGGGGAGATGCAGCATGCAGATGATGCGGCTCACTTACCCGGTAACTACTACTATGAAATCCATAATGTTCCAGATATTTCTAAGGTAGGCACCCTTGTGTAGCACAAATCCTAGCGCCATTATCTTCAACGACGCCTCCACACAGAAGATGCACAAAAATACAGTTTCAGTAGCCTCCTGCGGAACAAAAGAAGACATAGGTAGTTGGTGTCAGAATAGTCACCACACACGCGAAAAACGTTTGTTGATAGGTCAAGTCATCGCAAACGGTTAATAGCATCGGTTAGTTACTTGAAAATTACTTGGTTAAAATGTTAGCAACGGAATAAGACGCATCTGCAATTCAAATATCTACATATGTATCTACAATTGTCTTTACAACTGGCTCAACGGCTCGGTCCGAGTCATGGAGCGTGGTTTTCCCACCCCACCCCACCCCTCCAGCCAGACATGACGAGTAACTGACCAGTTTGATGGCGAGCATCGTCTTGTCGCCCTCTGGCAGGTGCTCCTCGAGAGCGAGCACCACGCAGTTGGCGATGATGGTCATCAAAACTGCCGTCTCAAACGGAGTGCAGCGGCAAAACGTTAAGGAAATGAACATGACATACCGCGAGGTCAGTCTTACATCACTAATAAAGACGAGCTCACGGGGCGAAATCAGTTAAATCAAAACGACATACTCGTAGAGGGAGGTCACACTACAGCACAAATATCAGGGACGCATTTGCTAGGCGAAACCAGTCAGACGGACTCACGTGAGGGTTGGATTAGTTAACCCGCGCCCTGGTGGGGTCTGTTTATAACGCGACCTGGTGGGGGGGGGGCTATTTTTTGCCCCCCTCGTATCTCCGAAACTACTGGACGGATCCGCAAAATTCAAACGGCGTTCGAAAGGCCTGTCAAATTTGTCAAGGGAAACCAAATTTCATTGACCTCGGGGTCACCGATGACGTCACAGGTCAGGTCAAAGATGAAATGTTTCACCGTTCACGGGGCTTCTAGGGAATGCGCTATAACACCGAGGAAAACGCATTTTGTCGAGAATCAGCGGTAGGGCGTCAGTTGCCTAGTAGATATGTTGTTATTAGATGTCACTGGCAATACCAGGTCAGGTCACAGGTCAGGTCACCAAGGGTCACAGGTCAGGTCACATGAGCCCAACTTTACTAAGGTTGTGTGATACATGTTTTATGGCCAATTTTTCATTTCCAACTCAATGGTGTTGGTTATAAGACTATCAGGTACGGCTTAGGTCACTTTCTGGTGAAGTTCAGGTCAAGGTCAGGTCAAGGTCAGGCCAAAAAAGGTCAAATTTTAAAGTTGATATTTTTGCATAAAATGGGTATTGATTCGATGCGGCTCGTCACGGGGAGTCTAATGGTGGTCTTTGTTTTGCGCTACGGGGTCTAGAATTGCTAAAAATTGAGTATGAAAATTTGACGTCATCAATTTTGAACAGTTTTTTTCGCTATAACTTCGCCAAAAAAAAAGAGGTATCAATCTCAAATTTGGTATGTGGATGGAAGGCGGTAAGGACTATCACGTATATTCCGGTTTTTGCGAAATTCAAAAAACTTTTTGGATTTTTCGATTATTATATCCGAAAAATCTATTTTTTTATTTTTGGGGGTCAAAATCCAAAAATTTCAAAAATCCGAGATAACAGTTTTGTAGCCCTGTCCAATCTACAGCTTTTATGTCTTTATCATTTTTCTGTATTTGCAAAGCTATAGGCCTGACAGCTCTTCCCGCGAAACCCTTTTTTGGGTCGAAAACGGCAGAACATGACGTCACTCTGACGTCATTTCCGGCCAACCTATCATAGCCTTTGGAAAAATTTTTGGTCACAATGTGTAAAATTGATGTCCGGGAGGGTACTGGAAGTTTCGTGACGATCGGCGCAGCGGTTCTGGAGATATATCGAAAAGTCTGGAGGGGGGGGGGCAAAAAATAGCCCCCCCCCCACCAGGTCGCGGGTTAAAAAATACATATGAAGTTGAAAACAGCTTTGCCTTCTAGTCGAGAAATGTATGCATGGAATTAGTCAACGCATCACAAGAAGTATAGTTGGCACATAATCCAAACGTTTGCCGTGTTTACGCTGGCATCTCCACTTTTATAACCTTGACTTGAAACTTTAAATTAAATGATTTTTTCTTCATAATAAAGTGTGATGCATGATATACCCGTTGCAAAGCCCATCTCTGAAATGATATCACCCACAATGCACTAAGTAATTTAGCGCCGTGAACAGGCCTTCACCAGCATTCGACATGGCGCCACTGCTACGCCATTTCCTTTCATTCGGCCCCTTCCGTGACGCCAGTATGTCGCCAATTGCGGAGGGTCTGGCGCCAGCCTCTGACTCAGGTGGCAGCCCTGTTTACGGCGCCGCCGCCGGACCTGGGGAGGGAGTGTGTGTGACCCGGTGGCCTAGTTTGGACGTCCTCGGCCGTCGAGGGGCGCCGCCGTCGGCCGGACCGGCACGCAGTCGGCGGCGGCGGCGGCGGCGGCGGCGGCGGCGGCGGCGGCGGCGGCGGCGGCGGCGGCGCTGGCCCTATCGATTGCACCAAGTCAGCGGAGGAAGCGGACGGTTACCGCGCGGCGTCGGCGCTCTGCCCGAGAGGCGGTCCTGCACAGAGACCGGCCCGGCCCAGCGCGGCCCGACGCCGGCCCCAGGGGTGGACTTGGTATGTACCAGGCCAGGGTCGGCCAGGGACTGATTCAGAGACCGAGCAATTCTGGTTACCATCACTTAGAGCAAGACAACAGAATAATAAATGATGGCTTCTATCATTCAAGTGCATATATTCACTGTCCAATTTGTAACACAGTACCAGCCATGCAAATCTGGTTATCACTATAGGCAGCCCCCAGTCTTTCACTCTGGATAGGTAGGCTGTACCGCACCACAGCCAAGCAATGCGGTGCAGTCTATCTCAGCGTCTACAAGGGGCCATAGCGCGAAGTTAGGCCCGAGACCGATAAAGCACAAAGACCAAATACGGGGCGGAGCTCTGGAGCTTGATCTGAGCTTTTTTCATCAGGCTGACAAGAAGACACAAAGCGTATTGTCCTTTTCACAGCGACTAGCGTACAGGAGGTCAAGCGAACCCACTCCACCAGCCGTTTGACCTGTGATTGAGCTATGGCTTCCCTAAAGAATAGGGGGGGGGGGGGGCGGGGGGGGGGTTGCTCGTGACGAGTCGAAGCCAATGCGACTCAGTCTATGCCCTAGGTTATCGTTGACCTACTATGTAGACCAGGTCAGTGAACATGTCAATGACAACTCTTATGAAAATGAGGATACGAAAGGTCTTTTGAAAAAGGCGTTTGCAGTGGTAATTTGGGGGTTATTTCGAATAACAAATGTTTTGTTCGAAATGTCCAGTTTCTGCATTTGGAGCGGTACAGTTGAGGCCAGGCCAAACATCCGTCCTGACCTGTTTTGATTATTCTGATCAATCAGAATAATAAAAAGCCAACGACCTTGACCTGAACTTCAAGTGATCTTGATACCATCATACTCAAGGAAAACAAATCATCGCACATGCTGACACGTTTCTAATCGCAAAGTGTCGGGGATCGCTCAGGCAACGCGTGTTAAAACGTATCGAATCGCATTTCTAACCCGGGAATAAAGTTTTTAGGGGGGGGGGTAGCGGTACTAGCCAAATTTTCAGGGTATGCATAAAACTAAGCGAGTAGTGAATTCGGGGCCACCCTCAATCTTTTTTCCTTGCGAGAGGACTAAAATAAAAAGTCCAGACAGAGTCCAGCCCAACCCCCATAAGCGCAAGGTTTAATTTAGCTTGCCGATAGGGTATTCTTATGAAATGATCAAAATTTAGCATGCATGCATAGCTTCGTATGCAAAACAATTTAATGAATTTTTTGAATGAATGGTAGAGCTGGACGCATTTCCGGGGAAATAAATGTCACCGATGAAAGAAGTCATAATGCAACCGATAAAAGCTGCCATTCATTCTCGGGAAGCGTGTCGCCGTGTCTGCAGCTCGGCGGCCCGGAGAAGGAACTGCCCCGTTCCGATGACGCGGTCCGATGACGTCACGCGGCTGGCCGGAGGTGGCGGCAGGCCTCCGCCCATTGATCGGCCGACCAACTGGAGCAGAGACCGGCCGACCGGCCGCCGCGGACCGGCCGGCCGGCGACCCCAGCGGACCGAGACGCGGCGCGTGGCACACAGAGGGTCGCACGAGCGGCCGCTGGCGCCAGACCGCGCCACAGGACACGCAGAGGGTCGGGAGACCAGTCTCCAGCCTCAGACAGTGGCACTCGACACACAAAGGCGCGAAGAGGGAGAGAGGGAGGGAGGTGGAGGTGAAGGTTAGAAACTGAAAGTAGGAAAGACAGGTACGACTCCTAATGACCAGATAACATAAATTACTATGCCCAGGAAGCCAAATGCAGCAAAACCAATACAGATAATTGTATTTAATCAAACAAAGAAGCGAACTGAAAATACGCAAAATCAAAAGTGTTCAAATAATGAGCCATCTAAACATCTAATACTTAGACGACAGCGGAGAAATCGGAAGGAAGAAAGCAGTGAAATAATTGGCAGTGCAGATTAGATGGAAGCAGAAGAGAATTAAGTTTAAAAAGTAAGGAAACCAGGAGAACCATAAAGAGGGGAAAGAGGGGGGAAGACAAGAAGGGGAAACGGAAGAAATGAAAAAGAAGAAATAAAGTAGCATATAAGGGAAGAGAGAAAGAGAGGAGAGAAAGACAGAGGACCTCAGCTCTGCAGGCGGCTGATTCTGAATCGTCATCTAGCGCTGTATAATAATGCCAAACGCTCGATAACTCCTTTGGGACGCTTACTCAATTCAGGAACAACTGAGCTTGTCCACTGTGCTTGCATTGTTAGCACTGTTCTGTCCTCACGTATCTGAGAACTGCGCGAATGAAAAAAAAAAACAAGACAAAACGAGCTTGGAATAAAGCAACAAGGCTCAGTTGAATATGTCGAATACCAGGTCAAGGGAAGGACTAAGTCAACCAGAAGCGACTGGGACATGAACTGTACGGAAAGCATGTCTGAAAACACGCTCGATATTGCCTCTGAGAACATGAGCATAGGAAGTTTGGATTATACCAGACACATTACTGGAAGGAATTGTTCCATTGGATTTGATTGAACTTATGGAACTAGCTTTTATATAAAAAAAACGTACAAGTAACGACAAGACCTTGACACGCAGCTGGCATACAGAATCGATGCATCTCATAGCATGTGTGACAGTATGTGTCAAGCTTACTTTTCCGGAACCATTTTCATTACTTTACTTTTGATGCCTTTAATTAATGAGCTCCAACAGACCGTAGGCCGGGCTGTGCTTCGGGCTGGGCTGGACTGGATCCTCAAATATGAAGAATCAACGGGCTGTACAGTCCACAGCAGAAGTAATGTGGGGTTTCGGTCATGGGTATGTTCTGCTTCTGAAGCTTAGGAATGATTGACCAGACTACAATGAAACTTTGAATGTAGCTTATATGTATCGTCACCCTTGCAGCTGCAACTTTAGCTATTGACATCTTCTTTTCGATCACTCCGCATTAAAAAATCGCCAGTCAAAGCCAACCGTTGAAATTGGTAAAACCCTACATTACTTTAGCGGTGGGCTGTACGTGTAATTGCATAGTTAGCAAAACAGTGCTAACTATGCAATTACAGTGGACAAGCTCAGTTATTCCTGAACGGGCCGGGCCAGGACACATGTTTCCAACCAGGGACGGGCCAGGGACATTTGTTTCCAACCTACTCAAATTAAAAGAAACATAAACCACACACACACATATCACAAAACAACTAATGATTCAACGACGCTGCATAAAAAGGATATGGCCACTCAATGATGAATTTGGTGTATCTTCTGATTGGATTCGTCTCGCTGAAGATGAACAGCGAGGTGGGCCGTCGGCCGTCCTGCGACGGCGCCGCGCTCTTCTTGGCCATGGCGGAGTAGCTGTAGGTCCGGTGCGCCGCCGGGTCGGCGCCGCTGGCTGCCGCCTCTCGCGCGCGGGCCTCCTGAGCTGCCGCTAGCCTGCGGAGAAGAGCGAGAACCAGTCAGAGCGGAGCACGAGCCAGAGGCGTCAGTCACAAGGAGGAGACACACACCCTAGTGTAGACGTACGGAACACACAGGGGAGGGGAGCACGCTGGTCTTTGCTGTGGATTATAAGTTGCTAGTCTGCAAATATTGGTATGAAAATTGAGAACCAAGAAGACCAACCATCACAATATGCATCACACAGTTAACACAAATCCACAAGCTGGAATGCACTGCCGGCAGGTAGACAACCAGAGCTGGTGGTTTCCCAGCCGCTGCGGCCTGGGGAGCTTCTGAGCTGAGCGACGCCAGCCGAGACTGCCTGCGCTGGTAGGCTGACCCGCAGCACTCCCGTGCCTGGCGGAACAGGCCGGTCTAATCTGAAACCGCTCCCTGCTGTTATGCTGTTCCATCGAAGTTTCATTTGACCATGTTTCATTTTTGCAGAGTTTCATTGACAATTGTAAGTAAAATGTTATAGTTCTAACCAAAAATTATAATTCATTAACTATCAAATGATACTGTTAGTCGAAACAGTCGTCTTTACATCGTGAGACAATCGTATCTCAACCTAAATCTTCATCAATGATCGCGGTTTCCTGCTGGCCAAGCTGACGGTCTGCCCACCCAGGAAACTGCGGAGCGTGGCTCTCATAGATGCATGTCCCTCAAGGGCTAAGTGAGGGCCTGAGGACTGCGGCTGTTCCACGCGGGGTACTCCCGTCCACACGATATTCGGCGCGCCACCCGGTAGTAGAATTCCCCATCAAAAATGTTGTAAATGCCACATGGAAAGCATCCAAAACTATCTCTCCAATCATATGTCCCTCAAAACTTACATAACATCCATATCTGGCGTACAATAGTCTGTGACACCACCTGTAGGTTCTGAATCAGATACTGCGCTGCTGGTGCGTGGCCGTCGCCAGGAGCGCACGGTGGACACAGTCGCCCGACTCGGCGGCCACAGCTGGCGCACCATTGGGACGGCCACGTGCGCCACAAGTGTGCTGCTTACTCGATGATTGCGGCCGAAACGCGCGCCTGTCGACCCGGTCCGACATGGGAATTAACCCCTGGAGGGAGGTGACTGCCCGTCGACTGGGCCCGGCCGGTCCGGCGGCTCGCGCGCCACGCTGCGATGTGTCAGTCAATACATATAGGAATTCTGACTACAACGGAACGGTTAGAGCAGCCCCACCACCATGATCACTGATCAGGTCAATCTGGCCACTAAGGACGGGTCAGATCAGGTCAAATAGTACGGGTAAATGTGAGCCCTCCCTTGGCCTGCGACGGCTCAGGGTCCAAATGATTTCGACCATCAATAAATAAATCAACCGTGTCCTTCAAGCTTCCTTATTCAGTGCTGTCCTTAAATTCTTTATCATTGGTTCGTTTTGACAGCATTTACATAAACGTCATGGACATAGCGCTGCTTATGTAATCCACTTGGTGGGTAGGGGCGGTCAGCTGGCAGCGCGCTAAATCTGTCCCCAAATCGATATGTGTTCTGCCAGAGGCTGCGGAATGCGGCATTTAACCCCACGTCCTGTTGCTAATCACTAAGCCTATGTTGAGCTGCCCCGGCGACAAGTATTGCGTAATGAACTGACCTCCAGCGCTGTGATGTCAGATTTGTGAAGCCCGTTTATTCATAGCGTCTCTAGCTTCATGACTGACGTACATGTTACATATATTTATGAGAAAATATAAATACGATAAAATAAATTCAACATCTATTTCCCAAGGTTTCGCTCCCTTTCAGCCAAGTTATATACAGTCGTCCTCAAAATTATTCATACCCTTGTTAATTTACGACATATTTTGCTTTTTTGATGAAAAGAAAACATTTTGTCGAGCTTATTTATGTTTTATATATGACCAACAGGGGAATGAATAACAGCAACATACAACTGACAAAATATTCAGTTTCAGGTCTGTTTTATTCATGAATCTTTGAAAACACTCATGTTCGAAAATATTCATACCCTTGGTTTTCAGAGTTCAGTGTCTTTCTTCAGTAGTCGGTAGCATATCCTTTGTTCCTTATTACTGCTTCTAGTCGGTTCCTGTAGGTGCTCACAAGCTTGCCACACGTTTCCTGTGGGATTTTGGCCCATTCTTCCCTGGCGAAAGCCTCCAGCTGGGTCAGGCTAGTCGGTTTCCTGGCCGTCACTCGGGTCTTCAAGTCCCGCCATAGATTATCTATGGGATTCAGATCAGGACTCTGACTAGGCCACTCGAGGACGCTGATATCATTGTCCTCGAACCATTCCTTGACTACTTTAGCCGTGTGTTTGGGATCATTGTCTTGCTGGAACTTCCAGTTGTTGCCTAGTTCCAGCTTCTCTGCAGATTCCTTCAGGTTTTCGTCCAGAATTTGGATATAGTCCTCCTTTCTCATGGTGCCCTGGATCCTGACGAGGTTTTCTGTGCCGCGGGAAGAGAAGCATCCCCACAACATGATGTTTCCGCCACCGTGCTTGACGGTTGGCACCGTGTTCTTGGGATTGTAGGCCTCTCCTTTACTCCTCCAAACATATGCAGCATCCACGTGCCCAAACAACTCCAACTTCGTCTCATCAGACCACAGGATGTTTGCCCAGAAGTTGGAATCTTGCTGCATATTGCCTCTAGCAAAGGCCAGGCGAGCCTTGCTAGAGGCAATACGCAGCAAGATTCCAACTTCTGGGCAAACATCCTGTGGTCTGATGAGACGAAGTTGGAGTTGTTTGGGTGCACATGGATGCTACATATGTTTGGAGGAGTAAAGGAGAGGCCTACAATCCCAAGAACACGGTGCCAACCGTCAAGCACGGTGGCGGAAACATCATGTTGTGGGGATGTTCTCTTCCCGCGGCACAGGAAACCTCGTCAGGATCCAGGGCACCATGAGAAAGGAGGACTATATCCAAATTCTGGACGAAAACCTGAAGGAATCTGCAGAGAAGCTGGAACTCGGCAACAACTGGAAGTTCCAGCAAGACAATGATCCCAAACACAAGGCTAAAGAAGTCAAGGAATGGTTCGAGGACAATGATATCAGCGTCCTCGAGTGGTCTAGTCAGAGTCCTGATCTGAATCCCATAGAGAATCTATGGCGGGACTTGAAGACCCGAGTGACGGCCAGGAAACCGACTAGCCTGACCCAGCTGGAGGCTTTCGCCAGGGAAGAATGGGCCAAAATCCCACAGGAAACGTGTGGCAAGCTTGTGAGCACCTACAGGAACCGACTAGAAGCAGTAATAAGGAACAAAGGATATGCTATCGACTACTGAAGAAAGACACTGAACTCTGAAAACCAAGGGTATGAATATTTTTGAACATGAGTGTTTTCAAAGATTCATGAATAAAACAGACCTGAAACTGAATATTTTGTCAAGTTGTATGTTGCTGTTATTCATTCCCCTGTTGGTCATATATAAATCATAAATAAGCTCGACAAAATGTTTTCTTTTCACCAAAAAAGCAAAATATGTCGTAAATTAACAAGGGTATGAATAATTTTGAGGACGACTGTAGGTCAGATAGGCAGGCTTAATGGCGCTGTACTTCGCATCCCGTACCGACACCCACACCACCCCGCCCCCCCACCCCTCCCCCCCCTCCTGGCCGCCCTATTCCGCCTCCAACCCGCCCTCGTCCGGCGCCCGAGCCGCCGTCAGTCTGTGACGTCACACCATCACCCCGTGACGTCACAGCGCTAGCTGACGACGCGGTGAGTCAGCTGACGGGGCGCCCGGTCACGGCCGACGGCGTCACACAGCATTTCCGGCTACGTCACGGGATGACTTTCTCTCCCCTCACCTCCGCCCCTTCCGGATCTGGTGGGCCGCCGAATTATACAGAGACACTCGACGTTCCGGACCGGCCTTCCGATGATGCAATCACGACTGGCTGACGTCACAGTCGGCCCATCACGCGCTGCTCTGACGCGCCAGCACCTACACTCTCAACTGCAGCGATGTTGCCGAATCGGCCCATACAAAATATCATGGATGGTGTTCCCATTATGCCGGACTGCGCGCACCGCTGCTGTTAGCCATGCTAGCACGGCTCTCAGGCTCTCTGACTTCCAACACTGTATCCTCGTTCCATTCCAATGCCAGTCAGCGGTGGCACACATACACAGCCGGTGTTTCGTCCTTTATGGCGCGTTAGTGGCTATGCGATGCCCGCTCTGGACAGGTCTTGGTCCTAAATCACAACAGTGGTGCTTGGAATGGTTTACTTTCACTAACCACAGCTATGAATTATAACTGTTGTCGTTTGTAAGCCACATAGCACGACCACCGCCACTCGTGCTCCAACATTTAAGCGCACGATGTATGGATAGCAGACGAGTCGCCTGCCTCTCGGCCTGGTCTTGATCTGACTCGGTCGCTGTTCCCCGCTGGCTTTGTTGGGGAGCCTCTCTTCCGGGAGACGCTGGGTCACCGGGGTGCAACTGCGCGTGCTTCGGTGAATCGGCACGCGTTTCCAATTAAGTGTTGGTCGGAACCGCCTGTCTGTCGCGGCTAGCGCTATTACACGGCACGCTCAGTTTGCATTGATCGCCAAATGTCCGGTGGATATACGGTGGCCATCAATATCTCACAAGGCGCGCTCGGCGGTCTATAAATAATCACCGCCCGAGGCACTCGCTGCATCGACCGCACACATATGAGACTCACTGCCGGTGGTCGACCTTCCAGAGCCCTCTGTGCGTACCAGTGGCAAATGCCGCATACATGTGCTTCAGAGGTCAGCTGTAAGACATACGAGCAAGTACAAGCATCTCCACGGCCCTCCATGCCCCCTGCTGCGCCCCGAATACCCAGCGTCACAGAACGACACCGAACATCAGAGCATCAGAGGTCATAGGGTCAACTCCGGAGCCGGGGCCATGATCTTCCGGGGCTTCCCGCGTCTTCCATCCCACCCCGCCCAGTTCATGTCAATGGCTGTAGGACAGGTAGAGTAAAATGCTTATCTTACATTGCTTATCTAGA